CCGCACTAGTCTCCCGACTGGGCCGCTGTCAAGCTGTTTCACTTTTGGAGTCGAAACGGGAATTTTCCTAACCTGCTAACTGTCTGATGGGTGTGCGATTTGGGCCCGGATCTATCTTGATTTGGCAGCTGTGTTGTGACGGTCTCTGTCTCGCTCGCTTGTTGAGTTCTGCGAAAACATCGGTCAGATTGCATCTGAAAATGCCTCTGATTGGGTCATTAATGTGTCCGGTCAGCTGGTCTGGTGTGTGACTCGCTGTGATGAGTTGGGTGTCTGTGTGTGTCCATCACTGTATGCGTTTATATTTCTGATGTGCTCTGTTTACCCTCTTCTTCAACTCGCTCTGCGGATCAGTCCCTTTTGCTGATTCGGATCAGATACAGTACCTAACTCGCTGATTGTCAGCTGGGTCTCAGTTTTCCGCACTAGTCTCCCGACTGGGCCGCTGTCAAGCTGTTTCACTTTTGGAGTCGAAACGGGAATTTTCCTAACCTGCTAACTGTCTGATGGGTGTGCGATTTGGGCCCGGATCTGTCTTGATTTGGCAGCTGTGTTGTGACGGTCTCTGTCTCGCTCGCTTGTTGAGTTCTGCGAAAACATCGGTCAGATTGCATCTGAAAATGCCTCTGATTGGGTCATTAATGTGTCCGGTCAGCTGGTCTGGTGTGTGACTCGCTGTGATGAGTTGGGTGTCTGTGTGTGTCCATCACTGTATGCGTTTATATTTCTGATGTGCTCTGTTTACCCTCTTCTTCAACTCGCTCTGCGGATCAGTCCCTTTTGCTGATTCGGATCAGATACAGTACCTAACTCGCTGATTGTCAGCTGGGTCTCAGTTTTCCGCACTAGTCTCCCGACTGGGCCGCTGTCAAGCTGTTTCACTTTTGGAGTCGAAACGGGAATTTTCCTAACCTGCTAACTGTCTGATGGGTGTGCGATTTGGGCCCGGATCTGTCTTGATTTGGCAGCTGTGTTGTGACGGTCTCTGTCTCGCTCGCTTGTTGAGTTCTGCGAAAACATCGGTCAGATTGCATCTGAAAATGCCTCTGATTGGGTCATTAATGTGTCCGGTCAGCTGGTCTGGTGTGTGACTCGCTGTGATGAGTTGGGTGTCTGTGTGTGTCCATCACTGTATGCGTTTATATTTCTGATGTGCTCTGTTTACCCTCTTCTTCAACTCGCTCTGCGGATCAGTCCCTTTTGCTGATTCGGATCAGATACAGTACCTAACTCGCTGATTGTCAGCTGGGTCTCAGTTTTCCGCACTAGTCTCCCGACTGGGCCGCTGTCAAGCTGTTTCACTTTTGGAGTCGAAACGGGAATTTTCCTAACCTGCTAACTGTCTGATGGGTGTGCGATTTGGGCCCGGATCTGTCTTGATTTGGCAGCTGTGTTGTGACGGTCTCTGTCTCGCTCGCTTGTTGAGTTCTGCGAAAACATCGGTCAGATTGCATCTGAAAATGCCTCTGATTGGGTCATTAATGTGTCCGGTCAGCTGGTCTGGTGTGTGACTCGCTGTGATGAGTTGGGTGTCTGTGTGTGTCCATCACTGTATGCGTTTATATTTCTGATGTGCTCTGTTTACCCTCTTCTTCAACTCGCTCTGCGGATCAGTCCCTTTTGCTGATTCGGATCAGATACAGTACCTAACTCGCTGATTGTCAGCTGGGTCTCAGTTTTCCGCACTAGTCTCCCGACTGGGCCGCTGTCAAGCTGTTTCACTTTTGGAGTCGAAACGGGAATTTTCCTAACCTGCTAACTGTCTGATGGGTGTGCGATTTGGGCCCGGATCTGTCTTGATTTGGCAGCTGTGTTGTGACGGTCTCTGTCTCGCTCGCTTGTTGAGTTCTGCGAAAACATCGGTCAGATTGCATCTGAAAATGCCTCTGATTGGGTCATTAATGTGTCCGGTCAGCTGGTCTGGTGTGTGACTCGCTGTGATGAGTTGGGTGTCTGTGTGTGTCCATCACTGTATGCGTTTATATTTCTGATGTGCTCTGTTTACCCTCTTCTTCAACTCGCTCTGCGGATCAGTCCCTTTTGCTGATTCGGATCAGATACAGTACCTAACTCGCTGATTGTCAGCTGGGTCTCAGTTTTCCGCACTAGTCTCCCGACTGGGCCGCTGTCAAGCTGTTTCACTTTTGGAGTCGAAACGGGAATTTTCCTAACCTGCTAACTGTCTGATGGGTGTGCGATTTGGGCCCGGATCTGTCTTGATTTGGCAGCTGTGTTGTGACGGTCTCTGTCTCGCTCGCTTGTTGAGTTCTGCGAAAACATCGGTCAGATTGCATCTGAAAATGCCTCTGATTGGGTCATTAATGTGTCCGGTCAGCTGGTCTGGTGTGTGACTCGCTGTGATGAGTTGGGTGTCTGTGTGTGTCCATCACTGTATGCGTTTATATTTCTGATGTGCTCTGTTTACCCTCTTCTTCAACTCGCTCTGCGGATCAGTCCCTTTTGCTGATTCGGATCAGATACAGTACCTAACTCGCTGATTGTCAGCTGGGTCTCAGTTTTCCGCACTAGTCTCCCGACTGGGCCGCTGTCAAGCTGTTTCACTTTTGGAGTCGAAACGGGAATTTTCCTAACCTGCTAACTGTCTGATGGGTGTGCGATTTGGGCCCGGATCTGTCTTGATTTGGCAGCTGTGTTGTGACGGTCTCTGTCTCGCTCGCTTGTTGAGTTCTGCGAAAACATCGGTCAGATTGCATCTGAAAATGCCTCTGATTGGGTCATTAATGTGTCCGGTCAGCTGGTCTGGTGTGTGACTCGCTGTGATGAGTTGGGTGTCTGTGTGTGTCCATCACTGTATGCGTTTATATTTCTGATGTGCTCTGTTTACCCTCTTCTTCAACTCGCTCTGCGGATCAGTCCCTTTTGCTGATTCGGATCAGATACAGTACCTAACTCGCTGATTGTCAGCTGGGTCTCAGTTTTCCGCACTAGTCTCCCGACTGGGCCGCTGTCAAGCTGTTTCACTTTTGGAGTCGAAACGGGAATTTTCCTAACCTGCTAACTGTCTGATGGGTGTGCGATTTGGGCCCGGATCTGTCTTGATTTGGCAGCTGTGTTGTGACGGTCTCTGTCTCGCTCGCTTGTTGAGTTCTGCGAAAACATCGGTCAGATTGCATCTGAAAATGCCTCTGATTGGGTCATTAATGTGTCCGGTCAGCTGGTCTGGTGTGTGACTCGCTGTGATGAGTTGGGTGTCTGTGTGTGTCCATCACTGTATGCGTTTATATTTCTGATGTGCTCTGTTTACCCTCTTCTTCAACTCGCTCTGCGGATCAGTCCCTTTTGCTGATTCGGATCAGATACAGTACCTAACTCGCTGATTGTCAGCTGGGTCTCAGTTTTCCGCACTAGTCTCCCGACTGGGCCGCTGTCAAGCTGTTTCACTTTTGGAGTCGAAACGGGAATTTTCCTAACCTGCTAACTGTCTGATGGGTGTGCGATTTGGGCCCGGATCTGTCTTGATTTGGCAGCTGTGTTGTGACGGTCTCTGTCTCGCTCGCTTGTTGAGTTCTGCGAAAACATCGGTCAGATTGCATCTGAAAATGCCTCTGATTGGGTCATTAATGTGTCCGGTCAGCTGGTCTGGTGTGTGACTCGCTGTGATGAGTTGGGTGTCTGTGTGTGTCCATCATTGTATGCGTTTATATTTCTGATGTGCTCTGTTTACCCTCTTCTTCAACTCGCTCTGCGGATCAGTCCCTTTTGCTGATTCGGATCAGATACAGTACCTAACTCGCTGATTGTCAGCTGGGTCTCAGTTTTCCGCACTAGTCTCCCGACTGGGCCGCTGTCAAGCTGTTTCACTTTTGGAGTCGAAACGGGAATTTTCCTAACCTGCTAACTGTCTGATGGGTGTGCGATTTGGGCCCGGATCTGTCTTGATTTGGCAGCTGTGTTGTGACGGTCTCTGTCTCGCTCGCTTGTTGAGTTCTGCGAAAACATCGGTCAGATTGCATCTGAAAATGCCTCTGATTGGGTCATTAATGTGTCCGGTCAGCTGGTCTGGTGTGTGACTCGCTGTGATGAGTTGGGTGTCTGTGTGTGTCCATCACTGTATGCGTTTATATTTCTGATGTGCTCTGTTTACCCTCTTCTTCAACTCGCTCTGCGGATCAGTCCCTTTTGCTGATTCGGATCAGATACAGTACCTAACTCGCTGATTGTCAGCTGGGTCTCAGTTTTCCGCACTAGTCTCCCGACTGGGCCGCTGTCAAGCTGTTTCACTTTTGGAGTCGAAACGGGAATTTTCCTAACCTGCTAACTGTCTGATGGGTGTGCGATTTGGGCCCGGATCTGTCTTGATTTGGCAGCTGTGTTGTGACGGTCTCTGTCTCGCTCGCTTGTTGAGTTCTGCGAAAACATCGGTCAGATTGCATCTGAAAATGCCTCTGATTGGGTCATTAATGTGTCCGGTCAGCTGGTCTGGTGTGTGACTCGCTGTGATGAGTTGGGTGTCTGTGTGTGTCCATCACTGTATGCGTTTATATTTCTGATGTGCTCTGTTTACCCTCTTCTTCAACTCGCTCTGCGGATCAGTCCCTTTTGCTGATTCGGATCAGATACAGTACCTAACTCGCTGATTGTCAGCTGGGTCTCAGTTTTCCGCACCGTTTCTGTCTCCCCACTGGTCCGTTCTGTTGTCTCCATCAACTCCTTTCTTTTTCAATCCAGATGTAGTGCCCATCACAAACTTTGATGCCAGAGCGTGAAGATGGCTCTCTCCACACCAACCCCTGACTCCAAAAATACGGAACTCGGCATTCAAGACCTTCGATTCAATGTACTTAGTCCCAGCGAAAAAAACATTTTCACTTTGTGTAAGTAGGCCTTGGGATCCCCACTTGATCACAACCGGCCTGGTGAGCTGATGCATAAAAAGTCATTTGATTGGCGGGGGCTTTATAGCGGCCTCTGCCACCTAACTCTGGGATCCAGGTGAAAATTGAGTGGAGGGCATCTGAGGCCTTCATACCAACCATGTTTCAAGGAATTTGGTTGGGAATTTCACCTGGGATCCCCAATTGCAATATGAGATCATTTATTTTAGGGCTAATACCACTAGGGCCGGCAGACTCCTTCCTCGCAACTCGCTCCTTCTTGCCAGTGGCACTCGCCCTGTTCTTTCGCGCCTTCAATGACGGTGCGGCGCTATGTGCTGGCGACGGCACCCTGATGAACCCAGCTTGGCTCTGGATGGTCGCGTTTTGGAACAGGTCGTTGAGCTGCACCCCGCAACCTGGCCAAGACTGGACCATGGACTTGTGCGAAGTTGTCATCAACAGACTGCAGTGTTATCAACCAAAAGATGTGGAACGATGAAGTAACGTGCGCACCTGTTTCCTCCCGCATCGAAGAAGCTCGCGTTCACTTGCACTCGATCCAGTTGCAAGACTGACTCCCAGATGTTCGTTACGCCTGAAACAGTGTCGACATCGCTGCCTGGGGCAAATGACTTGGTTGAGGACCGTCGGGACATCCGAGGGGGCTTCACTCTCGGGGCTGTGATCTTGGCCGGAGCACGACTTTGAACGCACGGGATAAAGTCGTCAAAGCACAGCTAGGTGAAAAGGTCGAGAACAGACACCGCCAACAACCCGGACGGAAGTTGTCCCCTCACCCTCTCGATGAGTGTTTGCGCCAGTAAGCTGAGGGACGTCAGCCATGAGGTGATAGGAAAGGACGGATGTGATCGTTACCTGATACCACCCAAATCGAAGAAACTACTCTGCCTAGAAGGCGCTGACTTCAGCGCGAGGAGATCGACCCAGATGTTGGTCAATTCCTGATGCGACACTGGCTCATTGGCCTGAAGTATGGTCGAGTCTGCCAAGGTCGAGCTGCGGCTGGAATCCTCAAGAGAACTAAGATCGTCTTCGTCTGAGCTCGTGCTGAAGGGTGTCGTTGGCCCAGAGGAAACTTGGCGTCCCTGATCAGCTCCTCCATGCGCAGCTTGATCACCTTGTGATCCATCTTGTCGCTCGTGTTCAACGACAGCCGTGGCAAACAGTACGCATTCCCCGGAGCCCAAGCATCCGCTTCAGCTCGGGCCGATTGCGGTAGCTGGACAGGAAAGATTCAGCCTGATTGTTCTGAGACACCTCGAATGGGTGCACACCCTCAGGCCAGTTGCAAGCCAGCCGGAGAGACCTCTCCGATTTCGTTGACAGCCAGCGGTCGGTCGAAAGAAGGTTGCACACAAACACCTCCGTGGGCGAATGCGGTTTGCCGATGTTAGCCGTGGAGGGCAAAATGTCACCCAGGGAACTGGGCTGAGGTCGGTGAGCCATGACAACCGTTCTGCAAAGACACCGTCAAGAGACTGTTCGGGAGTTGAGACGACCAGAACGTACGCTTCAGTCGGCCCATAGGCGTTCTGCAGGGTCACCCGCTTTCTCCAACGCTCAATCAGATTGTCGGGGACCATCTCTCTGCCCACACTGATGCACTCCAGGCTCTGCAATCTTCTCGACGCCGGCAGAGTGCCCAGCACATTCGGGGTCAGATGCATGTGCGTCACAGGATTCTTGTCGATCACATCTGCGAGGTAGTCCCCGATAAGGGCCTGAGGGGTATTGGCAAAGCACAGGCTAAACCCGAGAGAAAGCGCCAGCGACCATTCAAGCACGGCTGCGTTGGAAGCGAACGTGGCGAACAACGGCACACGGGAGAAGGGGCCCATGGCGAAAGATCCGGCTCTATGGGCGAAGCGATCCAGTTCGAGAGACTGCTATTGGTGATCTCGAAGCCTTTGGGCTGACCTGTGTGGGACATTGAGCGACATTGAGCAAGTCAATGCGAGAAGAAACAAATGGGAAGCATACCGGTGCTGCCGGAAGTGAACACAATCTACGCCAGGACATCGTCTTGCGATACTTCGTTCAGATTCTCTTTTGGAAACACGTCCAAAGCGCAGGTCTGCGTGCGCAGGATCTTGAGAGTCCCCGAGAAGAGGCCCACTTCGATCCCCATTCCGTCATCTCCAACGAGGTCGGGCTCGGCGACCGTCATCGCACTGCGCATCCGTTTGAGAGGGTGGCCTTGATCAGCGATGGCGTAGGTCGCACCGGCCTTGAGGAAAGCCAGGATCCAGCACAACGTGGAGAAGCCCCGCCGCAAGCGCAACAGGACGACATGTGTGTGCTGCATTCCCAGCTGACACAGCGCTGCGAGGGAATGAGACCTCGATGACACACATGGAGCACACAACACGCACCGTTTGCCATCTGATTCGCGCGCTCATTCAGCTCTCCGTAAGTCATGGACTCCTCTCGCTCCGCGCAAGTCATGGCAAGCCCGTCGGGGTTACGAGCGGCCTGGTGTTTGAATATGACATGGAAACGGCGCTTGCTGACCTTGTCCACATCACTGGCGTTGACAGATGGCAACGGACACGGGATGTGGTTACCCAGAAGCGGTTTGAGATCGAACGAAGTCTCTGCCATGGCTTGCGCCACGATCTGCTCAAAGTCCGCCTTGAGAGACGCGATCAATTTCTGATCGAACATGCTAGGGTCGTAGATGACCTGAGCCAAGCCAGCCAGCCCCGCCGTTTCTTTTTTCGGCAGGATGATCACGTACTCCGAGTGAGACGCTGTAGGCCCCTTCCAAAAGCTGAAAAAGAGGTCATATGGCCCCTCGCCAGGGTACAGCACACATTGATGATCAACGCCGACTGTCTCAGCTCATTCGGTTCGTAGTGCGATTCCGTCGACTGCCGCGGTTGCTGTGGGTAAGAAGGTCGTTTGAGCCCCGCAGTTAGAACCTCCTCTGGGAAACGATCAGCTTCAGTTGGGCCTGCGCGTCCAGACCTACCGGCGTAGATTTGCAGCCACTTGCGGTGCAGGTTGCAGAGGTCGAAGAGCGGTTTCCCGGTCGACAGCTTGGCGCATTGTTCCAGGCTCTGGCCGTAGAAGCCTAACCGACGAAGAAACTCAGCTGTAGATGGCTGTGAGAAAAGAACGGAATGACGGGCCAGATGCATGCACATGCACCGTGTACTCTCGGTCGAGGTGGATACTCGCACCACGGGAATGGGTGCCGATGGGAATGAACGGGTCTCCGGCCGACCTGGTGCATATGTGCGCTGTGTTTGGAATGTTGTATGAAGGTGGGAGAGTGTGCTGGTTCCAGCAGGCAGTGGTCCGAAGGTGCTGGTCGGGGTAGATGTGCGCTTCAGAAGGAAAGCTCCGTGGGCATGTCGGCAATCGCGGTTCCTCTGGTTTCTCGAGAAAGCGTCACGTGGAATGACGTGGCAAGCAGCTTGGACTTATGTAAGGCTGTGCCTTGATGATAGTCCTTAAACATTTCGATGAAGACAGGGATAGCTATTGGGATTCGCAATGCATTCAGTAGGACTTGACCCTAGGCTACTGCCTGTCAGTGAATTTGTGATATTAATCAGTCTTCAAACCAATTATCCGGTTTCCAACTCCGACTGGTCCTGCGATAGGAGCATCACAGGGCAGGATGACGAGTTTGCATACAGTGGAAGCTCGAAAAGCAAAAAAAACTCACCTGCGGACCTGCTCGTCCACATGGCCCCAGCGCTCCACCCCCTCCCCCCATTCCTCCTGGACGAGCGCATGCTCGAGTTGTTCTGATCACTACACAGCGCAGCATGTAGAGTGAGCGGACGGTGAAAGGCTTTGAGAGACGCACCTGCGGACTTGCGCACATCCACTCTGCTCGCTCGCCCATCCGACTCCCTGCTCCCATACCCCCATAACCTCAGTCTTGTTAGTTGATCCGGTTGCCGAAAGTCGATCAGTGGGAGTTGCGGGTGCGCGATCGGCGCAATGAGAGCGCCATGAAATGCACTGACTGTACATGAGGCGCGCCTGCGTCTGATTGCAAGATGCACGATGAACGCGATCCTCTGGTGCCTACGCGGCGTGATGTGTTGAGACGGCGGACAGTGGAGAGAAGAGCAGACAGCAAGAAGCGCACCTCTGAAGCTGCGCCCCATGCACTCTCGTGCTCCGCCCATTCACGCATCCAACTCCCACGCCCCGTTCCTGTGCGAGCCGACTCCCCAGTTGCGTTCAGCAGTCGCGGTCATTGGGAGTTGTTGAGTGCATGTGATTGAGTGTGCGATCGGTGCGCTTGAGGTAAGCGGACAGCAGCGCGGTATGCGTGATGCCGCAAATAGCACGATGTGCAGCAGCATATGAGACCGCAGGTTCGAGCCCGAGAAAAACAAACGCGGACTAGGGCCTCGCGCCCGTGGCGGGCGCAGAAACGCGCAAGAGCTGGGCGGTCTTTCAGACCCTTTGGAGCGAGGGCGGAGGAAGTGAGACTGCAGGATGAGGATGAGCGGTGGGAGGAACACCGGAGGGGTGATTCGGATTTGGATTGGGGTGACTCGGACGGGGAGGGTGACGCCGAGGATCATGGCATGCTGGTGGACCCAAAAATTGAGCTCGATGTTACCGCAATGTGTAGCTTTGCGAGCGGCATGAATGGAGAATGGAAGACGATGGAAGATCCGGCTATCGAGCAGAGAATGCGGGATGAAGACGACGAACAAGGCGGTGCGGGGAGCAGCAGTGACGACGGGGATGCAGGCAGTGAGGGGGGTCCGGATCATGAGGATGAGGATCTGGATTCGGCAATGGATACAGAGGAAGATCTTATGCTTGGGGAGAGCGACGGCCATGAGGAGGACCTCAGCAAAGAGGATGAGGAGGACTCCAGCGAAGACAATGGCTTTGACCAAAGCCCCCGGGTTGGGTCTCAAGCCCGGATGGAACGAGTGCGCAAAGCCGCACATTCCAGACACGTCGACGACGGTCTCGAGCTGATGGATGACATCAAGTTTGATGAAGAGGATGACCTGCAAGGTCCCTTTACCGATGCAAACTGGGCTGAGCTCGAGGTGCGGGGTTTTCTATTCGTCTCCTGCCGCTTGCTGACCATCTACAAGACATCCTGGGGAGTACTGGCCGGCGTGGATGGAAGAAACCATCGAGTGCGATGTCCAGCAATGACTTGATTGAGTTGGACGAGTTCTACTTGCCAGCCAGTGCGTCATGACCACCCTCGTTGACATCTCACTAACCACAACCTCAGGGCGCGGTAAACATGGACGGCAGGACATCTCGGATGAGCTGCAAGGACAGTGGGACCGTGACCGGGACAAGAAGGCCGAGTGCAAGCGCCACCGCGAGCTGGCTCGTCTTGCAGCGGTGGCGGACCCGCTCAGCACAAAAAGGGAGGGAAGAAAGGTCGGAAAGCAATGAAAGCCGCGGCACGACTGGACCCGACTCTCACGGTACTCCCCAACCGGGTGATCCACATGAGCTCGCTCGAGTAGCAGATACGGAGGTTCATTGGGAACATCGGTGGCCCTCAGATCATGACGCTGCCACCGTGCGACAAGACGTCCTGCAAAAGTGTGCACGAGATGGCGATGGCATTTGGGTTGTCAAGTGTGAGCGAGGGGAAAGGCGACTCCCGATACACGACATTGACCAAGACGACGCGGACCGGGCTTGTGGCGAACGCGAAGAAGATTGGGAGGACCGTGAGACAGGGCGGATCGCGAGGACACGAGTTTGTGCAGCCTGCGAGAGGGAGAGCGCTGGCGATGCCCAAGCACCGCGACGCAGATGAGGTTGGCAAAGCTGCACCCAAGATTAGCCAGTCGAACGTTGGGTTCAAACTGCTTGCCATGATGGGCTGGGCTGAGGGTGAACGGATTGGAGGTTGGCAAGGATGGTCTACATGTTCCGCTGACGGCTGTCATCAAAAACACGAAGCTTGGCTTGGGCGCGATCCCTTGATCACCTTTGCTACTTTTTGAGCACTTCCTTGGTCCCTGACCGTCGACTTAGAATGTTTCGGCCCGGTAATTAGACGACAGGGTGAGGGTGTAGTACACTAGCAACAGCGAATATGCAAATATCCCAAGGTCGGCAGGGTCTTCAGGGGTGCCGGTGAGGGTGCACGCGTCCGAGTGATGCGCGAAGGGGACATCTTGGGCTCTAGCAGGAGCTATTTCGGCTCGGGAATAAAGTGCCGGGGATTCGAGTTTGAAGCAGCTGGCCAGGGCTGCCAGCGGGTCAGGGTGTTAGAGGTGACAAGAGTCAGGCAAGCTGTTACCCGTGCCGTGATCCCTTGCAGTCAGTCCTCCAAATCAACCCCTGGGAAGCACAATCCCAGACGGAAAGCACATGCGTGATGATCCGAGTAAGGCTATGGCTCAACGACAAAGCAGAGGAATTAGAGAGGTTACTGACTACAACGGGATGTCCTCCGTCTCGCCCAGATTGTCATCTACCTCACCCTCAGTTCTCACACTAGGTACTGTCTCCTTCTCTACGACCGGCGGCGGCGAAACCTCAATGCTCAACGGCTCAACGGCCACAGCCGCAGCATCGGGATCCTCAGGGCTGGGACTTGTCGGAGACGTGGGCGGAAATTTAAACTGCATGTCCATCGTCCCGGTCTTGCTTGCCCGCTTCTCCATGAGAACGAGCTGTTTTGCCTCCAGCTCGGTCACGTCAGATTCTTCATCCTCCAAGTGAGCATCTTCGACAGCGACGACCGGCACGGTTGGTGGTGGGATATCTCTAACCGACTGCCCTACGAAGGTCGCAGGCTGGCCAATGGGCGAGACGGTCAGTGGCATTGACTGTCGCACAGCGGCTGCGCTGACGGGTGAGCGTTGGGTGGGAGATGCAGCAGACATGGACTGAGGGCGCCGAGAGGGTAGCGCGTTCGGCGGTGTTGCTCCCAGTCCGAACAGCGCGATAGGAACTGATCTACAGCCAGTGAGCTTCCCAAACAAGAAAAAGCGCAAACAACGTACCGACGCTCAGACTGGTGCGCAAAGATCCAATGCGACTGGACGATGGGCATACTCAGCTGCACAGCGCGCTGATACTCAACCTCAGGCACGCCGGTCAGTGTATGCGTATCCGGTGCGGTGCACACGAAGTGCGTCCTACTGTATCAATCTCAATCTTCTCGATTCACCGTGCGCCGATACGCTCCGGGGCATCTTTCGCCTGCTCGACGAGCCCTGCGTCATCGACGGTCCCGAAACATACACGCACACCGGAGGTCTCGGTCCTGGTATGCGTGTGTACGTGAAGCAACTCCGAGGGGAACCTCCCCGCAGTCGTGCGCAAGGTGAGCTGGAATGTGTACTCGGTGTCGAGCTCGAGCCCCGAGAACTTGCTAGAGGTGTTGGTTGTCGGGTTCGGTATCGGTGCGAGGCGCTGCCCGTTGCGGTAGAGGTCCAACAATCGCAATTCGGCCGTCGCCAGCTTGATGGGCAGCCACTCAAGGGTCACGGACATCTGTGTCACATTGGGCAGCTGGGGGAAAGGAGGTTATGAGTATGCATTCATTTCTGTAAGAATAGATTGCGCACTTGGAGTTTCGGTGGCTCAGGCGTACGCACTCCAAACTCGTCGACTATCTCATCCTGCAGCGCCCAAAACGCGGCGTCTCTCCTCTTATAGCATGCAGAGAGGTGATTGCCGATGCGCGGTCTGGGCGATGCTGCGAAACTATCCTGTGTACTGCGAAAAGTCACCGCGTGTCCTATTCCGAGGCCTAGGACAACTGCCTAGTTGAGAGATGTCGGAACGAAGGACAGTGAGCGGTAGAAAGCGAAAGAACTTACCTGCGAACTGCTCTCCCATCCGAGTTCTCAGAATGCTCCACCCTTCTCGATCCGTGTCCTCTGCCTTCAGATGTCCCCAATTCATTCTCCCATCGCGTTCGTTGAGCGCCGCGTGTTGCTGTTTGAGATGTGCAATGGGTGTCCGATGAAAGAGCAGACCGCCGCGCCGTTTGTGATGCCAAGGAGCCCGTGATGTGTTGCGTGAGGTGAGGCAGAGCGTCCAATTTTGGGGCGCACGAGACCCATCCTAGTAAGTGTCAAAGGAGGGCAGTGGGCGGTCTGCCCAGTGCTGCTCGTCGAGCGAGCTCGTGGTGCCATGCGTGCTCCCGAGATTCGCCCAAGACTTTCCGGCTCTTTCCTGCAGTTCCTGGTGACGTGCGTGCAGTGTGCGTTGTTGTGTCGGCCAACAAAGGCCGACAAGGATGTGCAGGTGCGGTGCACGTTGCGTCGGGAGGTGTGAGCGGGATGGCGCATGAGGGCGAAATGACGGTGCGTTGCGTCTGATTCTAACTGTGAGGTGAGAGACGAAGATGTGCAAGAGTGTGATGACGGCGTCACACCCTCCGTCAGCTGTTCTTGTGCGTGAATCCTGGCCTCTGGGCGCATTTTCCGGCAAATTTGAGTTGCCAGGAATGTTCTGCTCATGCTGAACTTCAATTGAAGTGGCGAGGATTTTCCATTGTACCCTAGTTGACTCTGGGATCCACAATTCTGGCCGTGTTCTCGCAGACTTCATTGACAGCTCCCATCATTTCTCATCTCCGCGCCTTGCTCTGCCTCCCCATCCCTCCACAACGCGGGGACAGCTGTTTCGTGTGGCCCACTGCGTATTACATGTGTTCTAGTTCATACTTTGTCAAATGAGTAAATGAATTCGAAGAGGTTTGCCTATGGGATCCATCGTCGAATCAGCATCAGTGTTTCTGATTGTGCTGCGGGAAGATGTCGACATTGCACCACAACGGCTGGTTGGATAATTATGGTATTCGGCATGTGGAGTCTACCATATGTCCATGTAAGAATGCATGAAAAAAATCGGGAGTGTTGAGTAAACTGCGGTTGGGATCCATCCTCTGATCATCGGGCCAGTTTTTTAGGGTGCAAAAAAAGACGCCTTCATGGTGGGGCTGCTGCATAGCCCCACCCTCTCAGACCCATGGATCCATGTGGATCCCGGGTCCAGGGGAACTTAAGCTACATGTGGATATAATTTTCGCGAAATTTTGTGGAGAAATGAGCTCGGGATCCACGTTTGCAATGGGATCGCATCTGGGAGGAGAAATAGACATAGTGTTTCAGCTACTAAACCACCCTACCCTAACCCCATGTTTCCACCATGAAAACACCCGTACCGTGTTTGGCCCATAACTCATATCTCCATGGAAACACTTCCGATCACCGAGATTTTGTGACCAATGGATTCGCACTGAAAAATAGTCCTAGAAACCATCCTGGAAACACTTTTTGATCAGTGTTTCCGTTGTGAAAACACTGAAACGAACGAAAACGAGCCAAAATCGGCGCTCGGACATGGCCATATCTCGGCGACCGATGATCGGATCGCTTAGGTGTGGCTGTACAAAAGGATCCTCGACCCCTGAAACCTGTTCAAAATTTTCTTGGCAGGGTGCGAAACACAGCGGTGGCGAAAGCAGCGGAAACACTCTACTGTTTCCAGGTATTAGGATATTAGGGGTCGCCAGATCGCCTGTTGTTCATCGGGACCTTTCCGATGTGTGGGTCTGGGTGCCTTCCCCATCTTGTGCTGACTTGCAACACCCCCAGGTCAGGGGTCGCCAGATCGCCTGCTGTCGTTCATCGGGACTTTTCCGATGTGTGGGTCCCGGTAGTTACTTATCTCATCCAGACTTTACCATCTGGCTTTCTTGCTCTCCGTTTCACGCTGCTTGGAGGGGGCAGTGGACTCCCTGACGTTCATGGCGCTGTTCCATATCATCACCCCGCAGCAGGAACTGCCTTGTCAAAACAGATTTCAGTCTGTTTCAAAACCCAGGGTGACTCCATTGGACTCTCCCGATGCGTAGCCTCTGTCGACCTAGAGGCATCCTCGCAGGCACGTGTCGGAACACTTCCGATGCGGGGCATGCACTCCCATCTTGTCACATGTCCTGCCGATCAATTGTTGTCACTCGTTTCCAGGTCAACTTCCTGTCTCTGATCACTCACGGTCAGTCACCGCTCGACGATCCAGGCCTGAAGCTGGTTCAAGCGTAACCCTAAACGGCCAGGGAGGCCTCGGGAAACCCTGCCCTGGGGTTAGGACTGGCCTAGGGAATCGACCCTAGAGCACTTCTAATAACCCTAACCCTAGGTAAGAGTCCGGACTGACTTGTCAGGTAGCCACACCCGGCCCGTGACCATCACGGCACGTGATCTCATCACGGGGCATCACGAGGTATGTTATCACATCAGTACGATCACTGATCCAGTCATCAGATCTCCTCTGTTGGCATCAGTGCTTGCCAATGTTTGCCAGTCTGTCTATCAGATCTGATGAACAGGTGATGCGGCAGTGTTGATTCGTTTTGTTTGCTTTGCGTTCGGTCCAGGCCCTAGTGGCCCTTTGGTCAGGCTTGGACTGATGCGGCATCAATTCATCGCACAGCTACTGATCCCTAGTAATCTTATCTTGATTAGATATGATAGGCAATCTTATTGTCTCGCGTCGTCGATCAAGGTCTATTGTCTCTATTGTCCTATTGTTCTTATTGTTCTAGGACTGCACTATTGTTGTGCGCATGTAATCTGAATGTGTAAGCAGGACCTGAAGAGCTTATAAGCGAAACAGGTGAGCCGGTGAGTCTTCACCAGCCTGTTGTCCTGCAGCAGCTTCCCTCTTCTTGTGTGTTTCAGCTACTAAACCACCCTAGTCAGCCGTCAGTTCGTGGTCGAAGTGCGTGGTGTTGGCGATATGATAGGGAGGGTGTGCGATCGATGGGTTTGATTGAGAGGTACTCTGACAACTGCACAGGTCTGTGCGTTACCGCAAAAACCAAGACCGCCAGGGTTCCGATTTTGGTGACTGCGGAGCCCATTGGTGAGTCCTTCTGGTGGGAATGCGTCCCGGGCTTCTCATCGAAATAAACGGGGCGGACGAGAGAGCGCAGAGCGGGATACCAGGTAGCTGCAGAAAACATGCATTCAAGCGCTATCATGTTTACATGTACGCTAGGAGCGCCTTCGGGCACATGAACGCTCCCTTTGATCGAATGAGGCAGGGGTGAGGTGTGTGCAGGTCCGACTGGGGGCGTCGCGTTGTTTCGGGATCTGAGGGCTTGGTCAGTTGGCACGGTGAGGCTAGCACTCACTTGTAGTCCCACCTCATTGCGTCAAACCCTCCCGCCACTCGCCCGAATCCCTCTGCTGCCTTATCCCAAGGAGGGGAGCGTCGAAGACGTCGTTCTTCAGCTCTGCACTTCTTCTGCGCGTGTGATGCGTGTCATGGTGGCTTTTAAAAGTGCAGGTGAGCTGCGTTTAACGTCTTCCCGCCGTGCGATGATACTTAACCGTGCTCGTCCTTGCTTTCACCATCAAGGCTGCATAGCGTGGGTTGGGCGTATTGTACGTGGATGCGTACGCCGGGCCCATGATTCATTGCTTCGATTGATGATGATCATGGGTTGGATGGAAGGATTTTGGGCGCTAGTCGTCAAGATCCAGATGTTGACCTCGGGGGCAAGTGTCCCAATAAGGAAGTCGTTCCCCATTGGTGCTGGCAGCTCAGAGAGAAGAATGCAAAGGTGAGGAGTCGGTATTAGCGTCGACGGATGAGGGGCATGGACCTAGCGAGGCAATCCCGTCAGCTCCGAGACCGCGACAACGACTTACATGTTCTGCTATGGCTTGGCAAGCCCAGACGTTTTCCCATTCCTTTTCTAACCGGTGCTGTCCGATCCCACCATCCGTCTATCTTTATGCTTCCATTGTCCTAGATCGTGTGTTCTAGTGCCCATCATGCGCGGAATCCGTGAGGTGCGAGTTGAGGTCCGTGAGGTGCAAGATGAGGATGTGAGAGGGTGTGACGATGGCGTCACACCCTCCGTGGGCTGTTCTTGTGCATGGATTCTGGCCTCTGGGCGCACTTTGCAGCAAATTTGAGTCGCCAGAAGTGTTCTGCTTATGCCGACCTTCAATTTGAGTGGCAAGGATTTTCCATTGTCCAGGAGTTGACTCTGGGATCCACAATTCTCGCTGTGTTCTCCTAGACTTTGTTGACAGCTCCCATCATTTCTCATCTCCTCGCCTTGCACTGGCTCCCCATTCCTCCTCAACGCAGGGACAGCTGTTTCGTGTGGACAGATGCATAGTAGATGTGTTTAAGTACATAATTTCTCAAACGAGCAAATAGATTCGAGGAGGTTTGCCTCTGGGATCCATCGTCTAATCAGCATCAGTGATTCTGATGGTGCTGGAGGAAGATGTCGATATTCCACCACAACGGCTGGTTGAATAAATATGAAACTTGGCATGTGAAATCTTACATATGTCCATGTGAGAATGCGCAAAAAAAATCGTGGGTGTTGAGTCAACTGCGGTTGGGATCCATCCTCTGATCATCGCACCAGTTTTCCAGGGTGCCAAAAAAGACGCCTTCCTGGTGGGGCTGCTGCGCAGCCCCACCCCCTCAGACCCATGGATCCATGTGGATCCCGGGTCCAGGGGACCTTAAGCTACATGTGGATATAATTTTCATAAAATTTTGTGGAGAAATGAGGTCAGGATCCACGTTTGCAACGGGATCACATCTGGGAGGAGAAATATACATAGTGACCCTTACAAACATTTTGTCTGATTTGACCAATGAAATCCGGGCACTCCCTGCCCCGGGATCCCCGATGCAGTACCCATCACAAAATTTGATGCAGCGGAGCAAAGATGGCTCCCTTCCACACCAACCCCTGGCTCTAAAAATATGAAACTTGGGATTCGAGACCTTGGATACAATGTGTCGAGTCCCAGCAAAAAAAAATGGAGATGTTGTGTAAATAGGGTTTGGGATCCCCGGTTCATCAAAAACGGCCTGGTGAGATGATGCAAAAAAAGTGATCTGATTGTCGGGGGCTGCTACGCAGCCCCCGCCCCCCAACCCTGGGATCCAAGTGAAAAATGGATGAAGGGCCTCTAGGGCTTTCATACAAGCCAGGTTTCAAGAAATTTGGTTGAGATTTGAGCTTGGGATCCCCGTGTGCAATGAGATCATTTATTTCGGGGCCAATACCACTAGGGGAGATGAGCAGAGTGAGGCCGTGAGTTGATGCCTTCATCGTCTCCGTGAGCAGAGGACCCGGAGGATGCGTGATGCGGTGCTTGTGCATGCACTGGGAGAGATGTCGCTGCGTGCGTCGTTTCGTCTTGGTAGAAGTCGTCCCAGTTCTCGGCGCTATTCTGGGACTCCTTGTGGACGTGTTCTGGACGTGGTGGTGAAGAGCGAATGTCGTGATCGTGAGAGGTGGATGCGTCGGACGGTGAGCTTCGCGCGCTTTGGGCGTTGAATTCAAAGTCGTCATCCCAGTTTTGGACGCTTCTACAGAGGTTGATCAGTACAGTGATAAAGAGACGAAAAGCGAGGGTTCCAGTGATGTCCGTCACTGTCCTTGCCTCGATCGTGGGCACCGCGCACGCGTCGCCATCGCCCCATATGGTAGGTGGTTTTGGGGTACTCCTCGCAGTTGAATAGCCGGTACCCATACGTGAGCGGTGTGGCAGTCTGCGCCGTCGAGCTCAGACCACTGGTGGCATTTACAATCAAAGGGGGTGGGACTCACACAGGCAAATGTAGTCGAGAGCAGAAAGGTTGCAAACAGCACATGTCGATATGGACTAGGACACGTACTCGATCCGGACGAAAACGATCCATGCTGCAACCATCCGTCATATCAGCCGAAAAAGCGGGTAGACTATGCAAAAGGACGGACTGCAGCAAAATAAGTACACGGCCCGGCATCCTTGTACGTGCACACCGCAAAGTCTCCTGGCGCGGCGCTTGTGCTGAGCAGCCGCGACCCATCGTCAATAATTGCGCAGTTGACTGCCCAGCGCACGGATGCAGGGGCAGCCAACACGCACGCAGCAAGTAGAGCAAATGAGATCAAGGTGAACAAAGGGCGCATCATTAGCTCAGCTAGTGTGAAGGGCTATGAAAAGAGCGAAGATTGGCACCGGTGCCTTCGTAAGGTTGCTTGTCGGACCAGCGCGCCAGCAACGGGGGAAAGAGAAAGAGGCTGAGGAAGGAGTGAAGGAGGCCTAACTATAGGCACCTTTACGCGAAAGCGCACAATCTCAAAGCCCGACGCGACTGCCGAGCACATCTTTTCAGCATGACTGTAGCTCGCTATAGAGGTCAATCACGCACTTTCGATACGCAACCAAACTGACGTCATCGCGTTGAGCAGCTCAGGTTTGCACTGCGCATTGAATCGCGTCACGTTCGCCACGATCCCCGCTACCGCATCCGCGTCACATTCCGACATATCGAATTCCCGCTGTGCCCAGCCAACCACAAGGTCGTCGAGGTTGTCGGGGTCCCAGAGGCTGGCGTCCCAGCTATATGCGAGGAAGAACTCTGTTTCTAGTTCGCAGGGCTTGAGGTCGCCGATGTTGAGGACCCAGATTCGGGTCGCTTGGCGGTCAATGGCGATGGACATCTGTTCGTAGATCTTGGAGATGTGGGAGCTCCGCAGCCGAACGCACTGCCCGATTGAGCTGGAGCACAAGACATTCAGCTATGGCAGATCGCAAGAACGGAGAGCAGGGTGCCCTACCCGGCCAGATGTGGTTCGCCTTCAAGCGCAGGAGCAGCTCAAAGATCAAACGGATGTTGAGCCACTGGTAGGCTGTGGCGAGACTTCCAGCCTCACGGCCGAGTGTAAAAGAACCGATTGAACGGTGAGTTCCCGAGACTCTGCGCCTCCTTCCCACGCATTCTGGTGACTTTCGAAAGACCGCAATTGAGGCGGTGCAGCTGGTGTGCAGTGCGGAACGTCGAATTCGCATACGGGGGGAGGTAGCGGGGGCAAAGGATCACCTGCGGACCTCTCCCCCATCCACGTCCTCAGAGCGCTCCACCCCTCGTTCATCCATCCAGATCTCCATTTTCACTGCAACCAAGCCCCTCTCCATCCCGACAGGACTGCCCTCGAAGGATTCGAATGCAGCCGCCGCGGCCGTTCATAGCTCCCAGCGAGATGATTGTACAGCTGCGCTGTCTGCGATGCCGCGACAAGCGCGATGTGTTACATGAAGTGACGCCCCGCGTACGATTTCAGGGCGCATGACGAGCGCGTTTTGGAGACGTTTCGGTTGGTATGCGGCGGGGATGGTCGACTTGACGAACTTTGGGGAGGTAGCTGGTCGAGGAAGGCGCACCCGCGGGGACTTCTCCACATCCACACTCTCCCTGCGCTCCGCCCACTCGTCCATCCTACTACTCTATCCTCGAACCTCTGAGATCCTGGTCTCCAGCCTTGATTGTCAGGACACACAGCTTCTCTGCGATCAGACGTCCGGTTAGGAACCCGCTGCTGCTAGGGCAGCGATAGCGCCTTGGAGTAGCAGAAGCGCAGATTGAGTAACGTTTTCCAGCCATGCTGCCGATCCTATTTCCGACATCGGGAGCCTTCCGTCATCATCGATGATGTGCAAATACGGCACGGCCGAAAGTGCAGACACATAATCATTGGATGGCGTGAGAGCTTCTTCATGGCCGGTTCGAGCTAGAGAGATGGTACAAATGATACATATGATGAGAGATAAGTACGTGCAAGAGTGTACATAGATATCACGAACGTTTATGCGACGAAAGTCAGATTGAATCCGCACGAGGAAGACTCGGGGGTCGTGGGAGTGGCCTCAGAGGACGGAAAGTGGACGGCGTTGCTGCAAGAGGCCCTGGGAACTCCTCGAAAGGCCCTTCCACGATGGGGGTCTGGAGCGGAGATGACGAGCTGAAGAAAGGGCCAGTCCCCGTGCTGACACCGGTGCTGACAATCCCGGACTTCGCCCTCTCCACGGCTTCGCCAAGCTGAGCAAGCCCTTCCTGCGTTAGTCCGTAACTCTAGCAGCGGGATGCGCGCCGGAATCGTCGTCGTCTTGTTGTCCACCGAGCCGCCGCCGACGTGAGTCTGCACCAAGAAAACACTGTGATCAGAGCGCTGGGTCAACGTGACTCGGGGCAAAGACGCACCGCAGTCGCACCCGGCAAACCAGACCTCGTCGATGTCCGTCTCCTTTGTCCTGTCCTGCGAGTAATGCTGCTCGATCCGCTTCTGTGCGCGCATTCGCCTGCCGTTTACGTGCGCGTAGTTGCCGCCCCGGTCGTGGTGGTGGTGGTGCCGCTGAATCTGCTGGTCCGTGATGCTGAGCAGGCGCTCGCGGTCATTGGGCCGGTTCCACAGGTTGGGCTTGAACTTGGCCCGGCACTCGTTGAGCGAGACCGAGTGCCGGAATGTGCAGAAGATGGCGTTTGAAGCGGTGATCGGCAGCCTGTACTGCCGGTGCCATGTCACTGGAGACGACGAGAGGGGTGCAAGGAGACACGCACCTGCGGGGAATGAGACCAACAGAGCTCACGGTGTCCCAAACGCCAATGCATTTGAATCGATCCGGTCACCGGAAGTCGATCGTTGGGCGTTGAGGGTGCGCGATCGGCCCCATGAGAGCGCCGTAAAATGTGCTGAGTGTAAGTGAGGCAGGCGCACAATCTTCCAAAGCATCCGCGGCGCGATTTGTTGAGACGGCGGACAGCAGGAGGAAGCGCAGACCGCGAGAAACGCACCTGTGAGCTTGAGCCCCATGCACACTCGTGCTCCGCCCATTCGTGCATCCAACTCCTGCGTACCGCCCCTCTGGGAGCCGTCTCCCCGGTTGCGTTCAGCGGTCACGGTCGTTGGGAGTTGTCGAGGACATGCGATTGATGGATGCGGCCGAGGAAAGCAGAAAGCGGCGCGGTGTGCGTGATGCTGCAAAGAGCACGATGTTCTGCAGCACATGAGACCGCAAGCTGGTCAGAACGAGACTAGCACAGGTGCGCAAGCGGTACGTCGATGGAGCGCTGACGGTCCGCAGATGCCCTTGAGCCTTTCCCCTTTGCGTTGCCGATGAGGCTGAGGATGAAGAGATAGTGGCGATCACATTTCGAGTGAAATCGGAGGCTCAGATGAACTAGGATCACTCCGTCAGGTGCACGCCCGGGTGAGCGGAGGCATTCGGAAAATCACCACATGACATTGATTGTGAGGGTAAAAAGTTCACGTGACTGGCCGCGCGCTGACGAGAGCACACTTTCAAATTAACGTCTACGATGGTCGTGGTCGCGTCCCACTGGATCCGCACAGATATCGATCACGTCCTGTGAGAAATGGGCCGAGCTCCTGCAAGTTAGCGCTGCAATCAGGCGACAGAGATTGGGAAGGACCGAGAGGGTGCAAAGCAAATTCGAGATCTTCCGATCAATTGCGTCATACATTGCAGCCGCTTGATCTTTCTTTTCCTCCCACCCCGCATCCAGCCGTTTGCGCCGTCCGCGAAATGTTGACCCCGCCGCGACGCGACCCGGCGCGCTCCTCGGTCAAGGATATAAGAAAGCGAGCTGGCCACGGCACCTACCTCATCACACATCTCCCCCTCACACCATGGCTGCCTCCGGTTCCTCCTCGCTCACGATGTCCCCTCACCTGGCGGATCTGCAGCCTGTCCGTGTCAAGTCGCACGATGACGCCCCCGGCGCCCCTGACCTCAGCTTCCCGTTTGACACGACCGACACCGCAGAGGCCGGTGTGACGAACGAGTACCGCGCCGCGACAAAGAGCGGTCTGATGTCCGCAATGGAGGCTCTGCGGCCCATACCCGCACACACGGCCGTACAGCCCCACGCTCTCTCTGACCCCGAAAAGGCGAAGGCGCTTGAAAAATACGAGTTTGTGACTTGGAAAGTGAACGACCTGAGGGACCCCCGAAATTGGTCTACCCTGTGGCGGTGGTGTACGTCTCTTTCAGCTCGTGGTATCGAGTGCTTATGTCTGGCTCTCAGATATCACCGGTGTTGTTACAATCGCCGTCGTCTCCGTTGCCTTTGGTAGTGCCGTCATCACGGGCGACTTCAAGGATATCCAGTCTGAGCTGCACATTGGCGAAGTCGTCGCTGCCCTATCAGTCTCTCTAATGGTCGTCGGATTTGGGTACGTCTATTGTCTGCTTCTCTCAAGTCAACGCTTATCAGAATGAACAGTCTTGGTCCTCTCGCATGGTCGCCGCTGAGTGAACTGTACGGGCGGAGACCTCTCTGGTTGATACCTTCCGTCTTCTACGTCGGTGGGTATCCTACCTCATCGATCATCTATGCAAGCACGCTTACAAAGACCCCGCAGTCTTCAACATCCCATGTGCCCTAGCGACAAACATTCAGACGCTGCTCATCTGCCGATTTTTGTGCGGCTTTTTCGCATCTGCACCGCTCACTCTCGCCGGTGGCACAATTTCTGACATCTGGGACAACAACGAGCGTGGGCTGGCCATCGCATTCTTCGCTGCTGCACCGTATGGCGGACCTGTCCTTGGGCCCATTGTCGGTGGATTCGTCGGTCAGAGCATTGGATGGCGTTGGATCATGTGGGTCAACATGATCTTTGCTGGTGTCGTGTGCGTACCCTTCTTCCTGCGAGTGCTTTCGGTGCTCATCTCTCTACTAGTCTGCTCTTCTGTGCCACTATTCCGGAAACTTTCGCGCCTGTGTTGTTGCGCAAACGTGCTGCCGCCTACCGTGCTCAGACTGGTCGGGACGACATCGTCACTGAGCAGGAGTTGTTCAAGAAATCGTTCGCCCATATGCTTATCGACACTCTCATTCGACCTTTCCGTTAGTGTTATCCGTGCTCTCGTGCTAATCTACATGCTCACTTCGCAACAGAAATGATCGTCACAGAGCCCATTCTGCTGTTGATGTCGCTGTACATTGCTCTCATCTACGGCCTTCTCTACGCGTTCTTCTTCAGTTTCCCTGTCGTCTTCGGCGAAGGTTATTCGTTCAGTGATGGCCTCGTCGGACTCACGTTCTGCTCCGTATTGATTGGAGTTGCATTGGCTCTAATTGCGACGACCCAGCTGGAGAAGAACTATCTCCAGCGTGCTATGGCGAAGGGCGGTCGTGCTGATCCCGAGGATCGTTTGGTGGGAATGATGCTGGCTGCGCCTTTTGTCCCCATATGCAAGTCTCCTCTGATCCACTTGGGAACATCTTGGCTCATTATTCTCTCTAGCTCTCTTCATTTTCGGATGGACGAGTCCCCCATATGTGATGCCGGGTGGTGGGAACTGGGTCGGTCCTGCCAGTGCTGGCATCCCCTTCGGATTTGGCAGTACGTCCTTTTCCATGACTGCGCTTTCGCCTTGACTCATCGCGATTTTAGTGGTCGTGATCTACTCGTCTGCCAATGCATACCTCATCGATGCGTTCCCCGGCTATGTGGCCTCCGCTCTGGCTGCCAAGACGGTCATTCGTTCTGGTGCTGGTGCGGCCATGCCTCTGTTCATGGTGCAAATGTTCCACGGCCTGGGCAACGGATGGGCCGCGTCACTGCTTGCCTTTGTCTCGCTCGCCATGGTCCCTATCCCATTCTTGTTTTACAAGTTTGGCCGCTCGATTCGGGCACGCTCTCAGCGTGCGGCTTAATATCCCCGTCTCTGTTATTTAAAAGGTATTGTAGCTTCCACTCGTGCTAGAGCACAGCGAGCTATATAATTTCTTGACCTATGTAGTCGTATATCTGGCGTTTATAATAGGGATAATAATCGTATACCGCGTCTGAACCTGGAGTATTTCGGACCTATCGTGCCCCTTCGCCATCGCATCGCACTTCTTGGTCACAGCCGTGACACATAGATTTCCCCACTGGCTATGTCGCCTTCTTCAGTTGCTTCTGCTTTCAGCCCATTATGACTTGTTCTCGCGCCCTATTCCGGTGCTTCAAAGCTCTGGAGAGGCTGGGAGACCGACTTACAGGCGCCGCAGGGCCTTTCTCCGTGACATTCGTGGTTGTTCTCATTGGTGCAGGGATTATTTGTTTCTGTAAGCGCAATTGAGTGGCATCTCACCGAAGTCTCAGCTGACTGTTCAAGACCACATCATACTCCTGGACCTCAACTGACCGCTCCTTGTGCTCCCGTGTGCATTTTGATCACTCTCAACCTCGTGCTGCCCTACTTCTACGTGGTGACCGTTTCGCCGGGGTTCGTGGACGACCCGCCCCCAAGACTCTCCACACGGGATATTTTGGGCGTCGAAGAGGCAACCCTCAATCCGCTGGTCCGCTGACCTCAATGTCACGGCGGCAACAACGGCTAAATGTCGGAAGTGTAGTCAGGTCAGACCCGAGGTATGCTTCCGCGATTCACCTTCCTCCGCTTCGCGCTGACCATCCTGAAGAGAGCACACCATTGCCGGATATGTAATCGTTCTGTTCTCAAGTATGACCATCATTTTCCAGCGTGTCCTTCCTAGTATATCCCGTTTGGTGTGCGTACCGATGCGGTGAATCAGTGTGCGAGCTTTCTCCATCACAAAGATTTCATCCTTTGACAATGTATGCGCAGGGACAAAGCAATGCGTCGGCCTACACAATGAGCGCCATTTCGTGATGTTCATGGCATACCTCATCATCCCCTGTGCGGCGATCAGCATTACTGGCCTCCCACATGTCATGCTCGCGCTCGGAGTCTCAGCATCCTACACCTATTAGGTTCCTTTTCTCATTCCGAAGCACCTTGACCGCTGGATCTAATCGTGCTTGGTAGGTCGATTGGCTGTACCTTGTGCCGCAGGTCATGTTCATCCTCGAGTACATCCTCGCATCGGTGATGTGTCTTGTGGTCGGAATCATGTGCAGCTATCATCTCTGGACCGTCGCGCCTGGAGAGACGACTGTCGAGGCCCCGGATCATGAAGTATACCGCAAGGTCACCTAACCGCGAGATGAGGTGAGCCAGGGTCGCACTGAGCCAGTTCCATCTCATCTGCATCCAGACCTTCGTCAACTTTTACGACCTCGGCAAGCGTCGGAACCTCCAGGTCTTCTTCGATGTCGGAGAGAATGGATAGTGCGTACCGTCCGATGCTGTCACCCTGGTTCGTGCTCAACGCGATCAGCCCTACTATACGCTGTTCATACCTTTCCGAATCATGCATGCCCTACACCGATGGCCGTTCCTGGGCCCCCAGAGAAGGATACAACGGTCACCATGGTGTGCGGCGCGGGGAGGAGCTGACGGACGATGAGGGTGAACGTCTAGCATAAGGTGTGTTGCGTTCGATTATGAGGTGTGGTGATGATCTCCGCCGGGCCATATGACACTTTCGAATATGCTTGTCGTGCTCGGGAAGTCGCTTGATCAACGTCCGGCTACTGGACTCGATTCCAGTTCATGTTCTGAACGCGCTGTGATTTGGTGAACGAACCGATGCTGACTCTTCGCAGATCTCAGCCTGTATATCATTCGGAACGCGACCATGTTCGGTACTCTTAACCCCGTCTGCGCAACCCCGCCATCCTCTTTTGCAATATGCGAATTAGATGATCACGGGGTGTGCGGATCTTCGTCACCGTTGTTGCCGTCTCAATCCCCCTTGTTATCCTCATCCCTCGAGCTTAACTTTGGTGCAACACTCTCTGCGTGGGAGAAGCAGCTTCTACCGGGCAGCTCCCCGAAATCAGGCAACAAAGCTTCTCACACTTATCCTTCAACTACGCCCTGTGGTGAGCTCGAGAAGGGGCCTCGACTAAGTAGTCTTTCGAACTCGGTGGCCGGGAACCACGCGTTCGCTGACTCGCACTCTCTCCTCATATTCATCTTTGTCTCCGAATGCTTCCAGCCCATCGCGTCGACGCATCCATTCGCCGCATTCATTGTCGTGCTTTGCACTACGGAACTCCCAGATATCAACCTTGACGCCGAATGGAGCCAGCCTCCTGACCCCAGAAGGACCAAATTTGGAACTCTGTTCTGCAACTTCATCACTATCGTTGCATGAGGGTGTGCTTGGGGAGCACACCACAAATCCTAACTAGCATGAGGATGCTTTCGCAGTCAGTGACTCATCCAGATATAAGTAGAATGTATCTGTCTACACATCAAAAATTCCCCGACGGGGAGTCGAACCCCGGGCAAGTGCGCTAATCAGACACAAAGTCGCTGAAAAGCACCTATGTTACCGCTACACCATCGAGGACTCAATGGGATCTTTCATGACTGCACAGGATCTCCCATCGATTGGACAGGTTCCTGATCCAAGAAGCCGACATGTGCTGGATCTTTCTGAGCCGGTGCCCCATACCTGGCTCTGTCGTCGAATGCATCGGTCTTTGTAGAAGGGTTACAAAAGCACTCATCTAGCTGTCTATTAGTGAAGGAAAATGCTAACCTCACGTCATTCACACTTTGGGCCCAGGAGCCAGAAGATGAGAACCAATTGGCTTGTGATCCATAAACGATAGAAATACTAGTCACAGTAAAAGAACAGGACAACAACGGCCGAGTCTGCGACGTCTAGATAAGTAGTTGGTACGTAGGTAAATAGATTATTTTCTCGAAACTCAAGCACTGTCTCCATCAGCGACCTTCTCGTGATGGTGGTGGTGATGACCTTCCCGGCCACCAGCCTGAGCATCAGGACCACCATTGATCTCAAGGGTGTGGCCGATCTCCTGCTCGAGGCCAACGTAATCGTAGGCGTATTCACCCATTTCCGTGTCGTCAATGCCAATGAGCTCGCTCTCCTCTGACGCCCGCAAACGCAGTGTGGGGATGAAGTGCATGATCCAGAGAATGACGGTCTATCGCCGGTCAGACCGGCGGTATACTTGCAAATATAGGGGCACTCACGGTCATGACAAAGCTGTAAGACATGCTGGCGACTGAGTCGGCGAGCTGGTACGCAAGCTGGATGTAGTGATGGTCGAGCCATCCTCCAGGGATCACGGTAGCTCCGTCGTAGAACTAGGACAAACATCAGCGTCGAAACAAACGACAAAAAGACAATGGTGACGCACGGCAATACGCGACTGGGCGAAAAGACCGGTGAGCAGGTTGCCGATGACACCACCAATAGCGTGCGAGGCAAAGATCTATGGAAACAGATTAGTCAGCATGGGGCCAGGGGTGGACAAGCTCAGGCACATGGAGATAGCACCGTCCAGCGAGGGACAGGGGTGTGCTCCTCCAGATAGTGAGAATCAGACTTACATCAAGCGTGTCGTCGTATCCGAACAAGAACTTGAGCTGCGTCGCAAAGTTGCAGAGCGTGCCGGCCATGAATCCGAAAAGGACCGAAGCAGGGGCTCCGACGAAACCAGACGCAGGGGTGATAGCGACGAGACCCGCGATGGATCCAGAACAGAAGCCGACAGCAGACCACTTACGTTCCAGCCGCCAATCCTGCAACGAATTAGTCCGGGGCTTATGTCAGCCCCTCGAAACACGCACCCAGAACATCCAAGTTAATCCACCCACGCTAGCAGCCAAGTTGGTGATGATGCAGGCATTGGCAGCACGCATGTTGGCTGAGAGCGCAGAGCCGCCATTGAAGCCAAACCACCCGAACCACAGGAGGACCGTGCCAAGAACGACATATGTCGTGTTGTGGGGCTTGTATGCCAGGCGGGCAGTACCCCATCCAGTACGCTTGCCCAAGTAGATGGAGATAGCGAGCGCCGCAGAGCCGGAGGAGATGTGCACGGGGGATCCGCCGGCGAAGTCGAGCCCGCCAAGAACGAACGACCAGCCGTTGCTATTCCATGTCCAGCAGGCAATGGGGTCGTAAACGAGCGTGCTCCAGGCGAAGACGAAGAAGATCGACGGCCAGAGTCGGCCGCGTTCAGCAAGAGCGCCGATGGCGAGGATAGGGCTTCAGATGGGCGTCAGTGAAGAAAGGAGTAGCCGGTGCCAACGTACGTGATGGCAGCGAACATGAGCTGGTAGATGCAGAAGACGATGCTGGGGATACGGGTCGAGCCAATGGAAGGCGACTCGAGGACGCCCCGAAGGGCGAAGTACTTGGATACTCATAAGCGATCTATAACATTTCAAGAAAAGAATCGCACCTTCAAGTCTCCGATGAAAGCACTACCAGTCTCACTGAACGCCAAAGAGAAGCCCCAGAAGAACCACTGGAGACGCGAATGAATTCCCCGCTGGTCGGACATCGGTGCAAAGCGCAACGTACCTGGAAAGAGACCACTGCGACCGTCATCATGCTGAGCCATATCATGCTCAACGCATTCTTCCTTCTCAACAAGCCGGAGTAGAAGAATCCAACACCAGGAATCATGATCCAGACGAGGGCCATCGATGCGAGGACCCATGCAATGTCGCCGAGGTTGTACACGAACAGAGTGCCCGTGGAGGGGTCGACATAGTGCATGTCGTTGGAGTTGGCATCGTAGCTGATGTTGAGCGTGCGCGCGATGTGGGTGTTGGTGAGCGTGCGCGCGATCAAGTTGGCTGCGGCCATCGCGTAAGGGAGAGAGGAGAGGGAAGGAAAAAGGAGGGAGGCTTCTTCAAAGCAAAGCAAAGCAGGAGAAGAGGAAGCTGCACAGCAGAGCGGATAAATGAATCCCCCCTCGCGAAAGTTCGCACGCTTGTCGAGCGTCTTATCGCCCAATCATATACCTGCCAAGCTAGCGCACACGATACGGCCTGTCAACCATCCGTCGGCCGTCCTGGTGAAGTGAAAGATGCTGAGCAGCTCTGAGACCGAGTTCACGATCTCTGAAACTCTGGATGTGCAGAGGAATGACTTGAGCTCACAGTTTACTTCTCCGCATCAGATTTTTACACCAGAAACAGATTTCCGGCCCGGCCCCACAGACATTGTCGTGGAAAGATTCCGTCCCGCACCCGAAATCTCCGAAGCCCCCTCAATCAGTTTTTATGCCGGCTGACCGGCATTCTAGACCCGATGCGGACTTTGCCGCCTACTTCTTCCGCCCATTTTTGAGCCCCAGTTTGCCGCATCCGCAAGAGTGAGGATCTAGTACATATGTAAGGACTACGAATTGTCATGTTCTAGGCGTTGTTACGCAACGAGCGAGTGTCGGACTGAGTGCAGTCTTCCTGTGATAGTGTCAAGATCGCCGGTATCACTGACATCTTGTGACGTCCGCCCGTCCCCTTCGCTCAAAGCACCCAGGGAAATTCAATTCCCTATCGGCTGTGTTCATTCCCTCTCGCTATCAGCTCCTCTGAGCAGCGACTCGTCTGACACTAGGCGTTGCTAGTAAAACCTTCATCATTCGTCTGAGCCTCAGTGACGTGTATGCCGCATCCGTGCATCTCAAAACGCCGTTCATTACTCACTACTGAGTGTCAAAACCCCGTAACGGCCTCTTATTCGATGTTGAGGAGATATTCAGTCCGGAGAGTGACTTTCAGTAGCAGATGCACTGCACTCTACATCTCCCGTCGTCCAACCTCCCGCGGTGGATCAGTCTGGACTCGCCCTAGCATGGCACCTGACAAAATTCGGTGGATGTGCTCTTTGGCGCCAAGTGGCAGATCGGACCTGTCATAGTGAATGGGTTGAACAGTCGAGATCAACCTTCGGTGCCTGATACGAGCGCGTGACTTCACGTCCCGGCTCTGCAGTACCGGAATCTTGTCTACAAGTGACCGAGAGCTCGCACGGTTCTAGTTGAATTTCAACAAGTAATCCTTCGTGGCGACACTGATTACCCGTCAAGAGTTGAATCTTCCAACGATTCTCGCATACTAGCAAGAAATAGGTGTGGGATTAGTGGATAGACTTCGGTTGTAAAGGACTGGACGCATCTACCTGAGAGACGCCAGACATCTCCGTGCTTCTTACCACAATCTGAAACTGACTCAATTCGCCGATAGCTCAATCGTTCGACGGATCCGTCAGATCTTTACCACACTAGAGACTTCAAGTAGTAAAGTGGTGGTGCAACACTTTAGCACCTCCAAGACTAGATAGGACTAGACAGACACCGCCATTTTCGCTTGTACTTAGGACAGGTTCACTTAATGAAGACCCATGGGCAGGCTGTGGGGGGTCCACAGCTCTGCAGGCTGACTGCCAACACGTCCCACCTCCGTCTCCATCTGTCAGTCCGTCTGTGTTTCAGCCGAAATTGAGTTGGAATCATAACTGAGGGAGCGTCGGCGGTTTCGTCAAGCGAAATCACCCTAGTCCCCGCCCAATGGGAAGCTGAGCGTTGCCTGGGGCCAACATTCACATCTGCAATCATCCTGTGCTGTGCAAATCGTCTAGGACACTTCCAGTTCACAGTCATATCCCCTTGCTTCTATATTCCTCCAACCCGGATAAGGCTGGGCCCCACATCTCTATTTCGACCCAGGCGTCAGTAGATGAGGTCCCTTCTCATGAACAAACATGCAAGCAACTTCCACGCTATACTTGTGTATCCCCATGACGAAGACTAGACTGTGACCGCTCCGAATCTTGTTGGCGGGCGCTAAGCTCTCAATATTTTCATCTGTTTTCTCAAAACCATTTTTTAAATTCACGGTCACATAAATCGATCGCGAGCTTGACAACGGGAAAGTGATTACGGTGCTGCTGCTACTGGTGATGATGGCGGCTCCAGTCAATAGCTGGGACTGGTGATGTGTACTTGGTTCCCTATTCATCTGATCTGTCGAACGAGGCTGTGAACAACTGACGAGTCGATTCAGCGCTACCGCTTCTCCGAGCGGGTTTTCTCAGCTATTCGGCTGAATCCGAAGTCGGAGGATGATGAGTTATGACGACTTCCAGAAATCAGAATAATCTAGACTCAATGAGATCTAGACTGAATGAAATCGTCTTATGTTCAAAACTGCATTCCATTTCACCTTCATGAGGAGATGTCGAGTTCACCCGGGAAGCCAAGATGTCACACACTGGGACCCATCATTGTCAATCGGGATAATCAATCATTCTCGGGTGCTGGCTCTAAAGAAGGATCATCCGACACAACCACTTGTCGGATCTGCGCCGCAGCCTATGCTCTGGTAGAAAAGATGCGTTGCCAAGGCATGATTCCAAATTGCACATACAGCTTTCGATAGCATCGACGCGACATCGATTGAGTAGGACTTCCCGAGGAAGGTCCGCGGAAACCAGTCAACTACACTCTTTCCGAATCATTCGGGTACGTACCGGGTCATTCATTAAGCGTTTCAGACGGTTGAGGGCAGTCAATTAGGGTAGTAGGGGCGGGAAGCGTGTCATGTAGTGCATCCCATAAATCAAGTGTGGATGAGAGTCCCTCCGATTCGTTCAATGGATCGATCAGGATCACGCCGCGGCATGGTACCTGGAAATCGAACACTGACATGAATCCAAGTACAGTATAGCCACGGATCTATCTCGGCCTCGAAAGGTTGGTGGGGCTACCCAGAAGGGAACTAGGGCCCCATCGCTCCATATTACCGTCGTCCATTAGGGTCAAGGTCTATCTTGATGCCAGGATCTGACTAAGTGCTGGGGGTCCTGGCACTCCGTGACCATATGCCTCATATCTGCTTAGTAAGGTGATATCGGGTGATATTTCGGTATAGTAAGTGTTGTCGTCGTCGTTGATGGCGATAGCGGCTTCTAGTGCTTTCAGACTGCAGAGCCAGTTTTTTCCTGTTGTACGGCGATTATTGGAGTGCAACGTATGAAGCACGTGAAATTTGCATGCGAACAAGGGACACAAACCCTAATGGTCGAGTCAACTATCATTTCAGGTAGGGCTAAGCACAGCCTTGTTGGCACGTGCAATGATCTCCGGTAGTCTCCGGTTCATTTGCGCTATGTATTGGCTGGGATCCGGATTGTACTTAGCTTGGATCATTGACCAGACTCTCCGCATCAGGATTGACAACAGATATCTCTGCCCCACGCTGTGTGGCCTTCCTACGAACAGCCGCCTGCTGTTTCAAGCGATCCAAATCAATCCGCGGAGGTACATTTTGGAATTCCGATCGCCGAACAAGTGACACACCGTGGGGAAAATGAGTTTTGTGGTCGCGTTCATTTGGGCGTTTCCTTCCTATAAAAAACTACAAAAATGTACAAAAATTTATTTTCATCAAATCACTATTAAAGAGAGGTGCCTTTGCGCACTGTACATGCAAAGAACCCACGGAGTGCACCGGTCCAAGCGCGACGCGAGAGATAACGACGAGATGAAGAGATGGCGAGGGCGATGAGCAACGCCGAATGACACATCAGGGAGGGGTCACGGTGTGACTGGAGATCACTGGTTGGACCCCAACATCGAATCATGATCACACTTTCCTAAAACAGACCTTGACCCTAATGGACGACGGTATCCATATACATTCCATTAGTGGGTGAGGAGTGCAAGGCGGTGAGCATGATGACGCTACGGGACGATAGACACCGCGAATGGGGAAGAAGGTTTGGAGCTCATCGGCAACCGATGCAGTGGATCGTATTGTGTCGAATCCCGCGATAGGATGTATGAATGTTGCGGTTCCAATGCGGTCCCGCTTATCTCCAGCCCACCCTAACTGATACTCCAAAAATAAGCTCGGAAAGGTCGACTGCGGATAAGTACAGCAATGACTACGGTACTCGAACTGAGACGGCCAACTCCAAGATAATCACCTTCATCTCAATTTTTCAAATGAAGCCATAGCCATAATCTTAGTTCGTTGAAACAACAGTCATAAAGTGAGGGAAAGCTGGAAACGCGTGCTCGTGATCCGTGAGCTCAATAGCGTCACGAGCTCGGCGGCCGAGGAATGCTCCACTCACGGTGCATTTTTTTGTGGGATGAATGCTTGCGAGACTATAGATTTAACGGTCCGTCTTCCTCATTGGCACAGATATGTACTTGGGGACGGTGAATTGCGCGCGGAATCCGGGCGCTCGGCGATCGCACATTGCTGTTTCCCCTGGTTTCCATCTTTAGACTTCAAGCTACCACGGTCTTCCCATCAAGGAGACAGTGAAAATTCAAACATCAAATGAAGTCCGATCACTCATCGCCGCATTGTCCGCGCACTCCTTCGAACGGCTCGCTCAGTTCTTGTGCCTGCACAATGAACAGAATATGGAATATGACAAGCTCAGCCTAGAACCCCAGTCGACACCTTCTCGTCAATGAAGCTCAAGCCAGAGACTGACGGTTCAATAATCAAATCGAATGCCAAGAGCACTGTGTTATCTGCCATCATATGATTTGTCTTATCTCTGATCGCTTCTTTGCTCCTGCCACATGGCACTCCTGGTGTGATCAGTCAAGATCTGGCCGAAGAGATTGGGCGCGCTTCTGCGCTTAAAAACATGAATCCCCAGAGCGGCGATTCTTCGAAGTGTCTCCATCCTTCCTGCTCCTTGCGTGCCTGAGCTCTATGGCTGCCACTGAAGCACCGACACTCGAGAAGGTTCACGACCCACGGTCGGACTCTGCGTCTTTCGACGACAACGAGAAGGGCGACTACCACCCGGAGAAGGTCAACCTCGACGATGCCGAGGAGGTCGGGGAGGTGTTTGCGGATGGACCGCGTCTCATCGACATGGACGAGACGGGCCACGAGCGACCGATCGGTGTGTCTCTTCTTCACCACGGGTACCCAATGCTCGTGTGACTGATTGTGGGATGACAGAGACGGACATGGACTATGCGACTCGTCTCGTTTCGCTCGATGATGACCCTCTGATGAGGGTTTTTACCTTCCGGATGTGGTTCCTCGCTCTCGGTCTCTCCTGCTTTGCGTGAGTGACGGTGAATCGATGTTTGCCATGTGCTCAAACCACTCTCAGCGCTGTCCTTGGCCAAATCTTCTACTTCCGCCCGCAGACCATCTACGTTTCGCAGCTCTTCATTCAGATTCTTGCCTTCATTCTCGGGCGTGTATGTGATTTCGCGCTGGTCTGACATCTTGATGCTAACGTGTTCGCAGGTCATGGAGGTGATCATTCCCGGTCCCTCTGAGCGTGCCTTGCTCAAGACACCTGATAACGCGTTCTGGCGATTCATGAACCACGGACGCTTCAACCTAAAGGAGCATGTCGCTATCGTCATCATGGCTTCCACCGCCTCTTCCTCTGCGCTCGCCATCTCCGTCTTTGCTACCCAGGAGCTGTACTACAACGTCAGCACCAATGTCGGTGTCGGCATCTTCACGTCAGTGGACCCTCTACACATATGGGTTTGGGTTGCTAACGCGCCTGCAGCCTGATCGCATCGCAGCTGATCGGCTACGGAATGGCTGGTATCATGCGAGTGTTCCTGGTGTACCCCACGTTTGCCGTCTACCCTCAGATCATGCCCACCGTCCAGCTCTTCGAAGCTCTGCACAAGGGCGAGGGCATGATGACCCAGTCGAAGCGCAAGAAGATCTTCTGGTACACGTTCATCGCCATCTTCGTGTGGGAATGGTTCCCCGAGTACATCGCCCCGACTCTCACCGGTATCTCCATCTTCTGCTTGGCCGACCGCAAGAGCCCCTGGGTCAGTCGCATTTTCGGTGGTGCGGGCAACAACGAGGGACTGGGCGCGTTCTCGATCTGCCTCGACTGGGCTTACGTCGGATCTGGAGGAGGCTCTATCGGTTCCCTGTTCACGCCTTTGGCCACTCAGCTTTCGCTGTACGGTGGTTGCGCCATCTGCATGATCGCCTTCTGCGCCGCTTACGCTTCCAATACCTGGAATGCTCAGAACTACCCCTTCTTGTCGCAGCTGCTTTACCGCGAAAACGGCAGCGCCTACGACCAGCTGGCAATCCTCAACGGTTCGTCGGCCGCGGTCGTTGTATCATTCTTCAAACTGACATTGATGTCCAGACGACTTCACGCTGAACTACGACAAACTCAACGCTTACGGCTTGCCGTTCTATGCTGCTTCTCAGATGTTGTACAAGGTTTCTCGCACTGTCTATATCGGAGGTGTGTTTCGCTGTCTTGCTCTCGTCCTTCACTCACGATCATCCCAGCCGCTATCACCCACTTCGCTCTGTGGCACTCCAAGACCGTCTGGAAGCTCATCCGCGGCGGTCGTGATGCGATTGACGACCCACACTTCAAGAAGATGAAGGTCTACCCCGAGATCTCCAACTGGTATTATCTTGGCCTCTTCGTCGTCTGCTTCGGTGTTGCGATCGGCACGACCTATGGCGCCAAGTCTCAGCTCCCGGCCTGGGCGACTATCATCGCGCTCATCTTCGGATGGTTGCTGGTCCCCGTCATCGGGACCTTGTATGCCACCACCGGCTACGCGCCCTCGGTCGAGAATCTGATCCAGATGCTGGGTGCAGCTTGTGTCCCTGGGAAACCGGTCGCCAACATGTACTTCACTCTTTACGGCTACAACTCGGTTGTCCAGTCCTACACCCTGACTGGTGACTTGAAGCTCGTAGGTGTTCTTCCCATATCGACAGCACGGTGATCGATAACGGTTTCTGCAGGGCCAGTACACCAAGCTTCCTCCTCGGGCAACCTTCACTGTGCAGGCCATTGGATCCATCGTCGGTGCCCTGCTCAACTTCGTGCTGATGAAGACGATCATCTCCACTCACCGCACCATCCTGCTCGACGTGCAGGGCAGCAACATCTGGTCCGGCCAGCAGGTCCAGTCGTTTAACACAGCCGCCATCGCCTGGGGAGCGCTCGGCAAACCTCTATACGCGACCGGAACCATGTATGGTGTGAGTTTTGCCCCGTATTCAGCTTGTTCTTTCGCTTATTGGGTGACAGTTCATTCCGTATATGTTGTTCGTCGGTCTCGCCTGCCCCATTCCCTTCTGGTTGCTGCACAAGAAGTACCCCACCGTTGGTTTCAACAAGGTCTTCACCCCCGTTCTGACTGGTGCGTGTCTCTGTCTCCTTCGCCAGCAGATTCGTTGTCTGATGAGAGAAAACTGTAGCCGAGCTCGGATACCTTGCTGTCGGCATCAACTCGTCGGTCTTCACCTCGTTCTGCCTCGCCATCTTCTCGCAATTCTACCTGCGGAAGTACCGAGCCACCTTCTTCCGCAAGTACAAGTGAGTCAGATACGGTTCATGACCCTTGTTGATACTGATCCCTGGCCAGCTTCTTGTTGTCCGCTGCCCTAGATGGTGGAACGTCCGTCATGATCTTCGTCTTCACGTTTGCTGTCGCCGGCGCCAGTGGCAAAACGACACCCTTCCCGACATGGGCACTAAACCCGGCATCCAGAAACCCGGATTACTGCATGTCCCTCAACAACTAAGGGTTGTTATCACTACTGGTCTCCTTGTATGTATTTCGCACGTAGAAAATAGAAAAATGCATCTGTTATCCCAATTTTGGTGATCGATTATGCGATCTGGAATGACTGTTATTGAAGAGATCCGTCACCACGTGTCTTGTCTGTCTGCAAGATTGAGCAAGTGTTTCCGTCAATCTACATGTTACACTTGATTTGACAGCCTCCAAGACCACCTCGAAATCACTTGAGAGCTACAGACTGAGAGCGGAACTTGACATTCTCCTCCCGCTCCAAAACCATGAACTCCATATTCCCACTAAACCATCCGGAAGACTGCTTGCCAACCAGCTTGCCCGTCTCGCGTGCCTGTGCACTATTGATGTGTACAGTGTGCGTTCCCGATGCTTTCGCCGCCGTATCTGCCAGCAGCTGGACCTGACACGCTCGTTCCATGGCGATGTAGAAGTGGACAGTGGCTTCGATGGACGACGTGGCCACGAGCAGGCCGTGGTTCTGCAGGATCGCGGCTTTCTTGGACCCAATGGCGGCGGTGATCGCCTGGCCTTCGAGCTCATCGAGGACGACCCCGTTGTATTGGGTGTACAAGGCATGGTCCTGTGCATCACAGAGCGATGAGTCAGGGATAGCAGACTCGTCTATCTTTCTCTCACCTCAAAGAACGCACACGCATCCTGCGATATCGGATCCAGCATCTTTCCCAGCGCTGAGAAAGCCTTGCCGTACGTCGAGTGCGAGTGTGCCGCGCACATGACATCCGGGCGGGCAGCATGAATCGAAGAGTGGATCATGAAGGCGGCAATGTTGAGCAGCCGGAACGGCCCATCCTTCTGACCAGACTCCTCGTCCAAGATGTTTCCAGCGTGGTCGACGAGTAGAAGATCGGAGGGTTGGATCAGGCGGAAATGCAGACCCTATGTTCGGTGAGATGATGATCCCGGCCGCATGTCATTCGCGACGCACGAATGGGTTGACCCAGAAACAATCGGGACGGATCGGGTCCTTGACCAATAATGAGCCAAACGGACCTGAACGTTCTGGATGAGGATGTACGAACCCGGACGGTGATGTGTCCCGCAACTCCCTCGTCGTATCCTCGATTGCCTAGATTTCATCGTGTCAGTCTCAGCAGCGACGGAAAACCTGCTCTCGGCACCGAAAATTCGCAGGGCTTGAGCCAAGCGGAACTTGATCCATTCCCGTTCTTCTTCTTTGGTCTCGAAGACGGGAGGCCTAGGTGCTTTCCCTCGAAACGAGTTCCTCGGAGGATCATCGGCGAAGTCGGATTTGCCATTCGTGTTCTGCATCTGTACAATGGGCGGGGGAAGAGAGATCGATATGAACTCCGTGTGAGCAATTTCCGGTATGTCTCAAGTACAGCTGAGAGAAGGTCTGCTGACCTTGCACCTCACACCTGTAGCGCTTCTTGCATCAAAATGACCCATCTTCGTCCCGAAGACTAAGTTAACCAAGCTCCAATCTCCATCCAGGAATCATTCCGACTTTGAACAAGAATGAGCGTCATGTATTCCATCCGGGATTCGAGATTGTAGTTTGTATAGGGGAAAATTGCTTGATGGATTTATGTGATCCGAACGGTGGCAACAGACCCGGGTGGGCATCACTGTCACTGTCACGAATTGACCCAAGCCCACGGGCCGGGCCCATGAAAAGCAGTCGAAATCTATGTAAGGGCGACTCGGAAACTCTAGCTCGGAGATCGGACCCTTTTCTGCCACTCGGACGATCTTATGGCCTGATCTCTGCCGCCCGCCTGCGCCACCTTCCTTTCTTAACCATCTAGAACAAGCGATCGAGTACAGGCGGCTTGGTACTCTGCACCTCGAAGGAGCGACTGCTTGGCGTCTCTCGGCAAGATTATCTGGCAGCGTCAGCGAGGATATCAGAAGCAATTTCACACGATGGTCTTGATTGGCAAGCATCACGCCTGCTTCTGCCGGTACTGGTGAAGAATATGCCACGATAAGTTACTCTCTCTCGAAAAGGATGTTATTTCCAGTTGAAGCGCGTCATTTAATTCAACTATTTCATTCTTACACATCGCAGAGGCTAACCATTGCCATTCTAATATGGGATTATCCCCAGATCAGGGCACATTGTCTAATTTGCCAATTCAAAAAGATACCGCAAACTCACCTGGTAGTAGAGTCTCGAGACAAAACAACATCTATTGGAACTGTATGGGCCCGGGCTATTACGTCACATGAGGGCACCCTCTCTAACAGGAAGCTGGCTAGTATACGAGTATATGTAGACTCAAATACTGTCAAGTAGATGTCCACCGGTATCAACCCCAAGTCTTCTGACTCCTGAGAGGGGAAAAGAACATGAAGTCCACGCAATCAAAGCCCCCATTACATTCTATAGTACAGTAGGCCCGCTTGTTTGAGGCGGCCCTCGATCTCACTCTCCTTTTTGTCGTGCTTTTTCAACCAGACGCCGGGATGCACAACATTCAGTGTCGTGATCGCGAGCGCGATCATGCAACCATCGAGGATGTTGAAGTAGCGCTGGGTTGAGATGATGGGGCCACCGAAGCCGTCTAGAAGTTCGACTGTTCGATAGATCGCGCTGCGTCATTCTTTAGCCTCTCAAGGGATAAGAAATTGGGAGAGAGCCACTACCGAATGAAGAGACACGCCGTGTTGAATGTTAAAGCACCGACCACGATCTGCATCGGGTAATCAAAATTTCCCCGCCCGTCGCTCCTCTCACCGAGAGGGGAACTGGTTATCAGACCCCCAGACAGCTCATGGTACTCGGCCTGCTTGCCACCAATCGGCCAGTCCTTGAAGTAGCGCAAGAGGAATTCAGTGGCGAGCAAGATGTAGATCGTGATCGTGACTGTCGAGCTAGGTTCAGCGGCGAGAAAATCATGTATGTATCGCCCACGGGGCGTACCCATTTGAAAGATGATCCCGATCAACATGATATTTGCACCGGACTTGGTGCTGGTGCCGTTATGTACCGCAAGACTGGCTTTGGTGGCACCGAATCCTTGCACGGTCAAAGAAACAATGTCCTGCAAGTCACGTTAGATCTCTGGCACCCACGAAATCGAAGGCTTCGGCATACAAAACTGCAGAATATTATGGAGTCTGAGGAGGTCAGCTCATGTGCGCGTGAGGAATTTCCAGGCAGGGACTCGCACATAATTTGGGGGACAAACGGCTGTATTGGATGCCCAATCGCTGGATAATCCGCCCTAGAATCATAAAGTCTGCGGCGATCAACGGTGTTGGGCCTGCAGCACGAGAGTCGGCCGCGGAAACAATTTGAAGAGTGATGCTCACCGATGATGGTTCCGATGGTCCTACATCCCAACGTCCTTGAGCGAGCGGAATAAGAGTGAAAAGTCACCCACTGGATCTCGAAAGCCAGCAGGACGGTTGGATCGAAGCTAGACTTGAGACGAGCACCCCTGCAATAAAATTGATGTCATCAAGGGGTAAGGAGGGCCCGTGATGAAACATCTTGTCGTCTCTCTTATCAGATATGCACTGATGTGCGAGCGGGATCAATAATCTCGGCCTGCCGATCATTGGAACGGCGCCTGTCCTCACTCATATTCTCCCTGTCCGCATAGAAAACGCAATCACACTACAATAATTGTTGTGGGTCACAATTTCTTGAATCCAGAATGTTGATTGTGCTGAAAATAGGGCGGTGCTTCGTTCCACATTCGCAAATTCAAGCTGACAGAAATGATTGTCGGGCCGGGCTGCAATCTCCGTGACACTGACAGCGCCGATAGTACTTGACATGATCATGTGCATTTCCGATCACCATCTCGTGCGTTTCTTTCGTTTGCCCACCATGTCCACGACCGTCCAGGACGAGCAACCAAAGGCCGTGAGCTCACTCTCGAGCATTGCAAGCCCCCAGAAGGGCAGGATCGCGGGCCTGAAGACGAAGCTGACGACGAGGCACGGGTGGATGGGGGACTACGACTACGCATGGTGCGCCGTTTTTCCGTCTGCACGCTCTCGTCTTCTTGACTAGGAATGTAGGCTTTGCACACCGACTCTCCCGTTTGGTAATGCCCGCAAGAAATCGCGTCAGCCACCCTTTTACGCGCTCGATCAGGAGCTTCCGCTGTTCCTCGCGATAGCGACCGGGTTGCAGCACGCGTTAGCAATGCTCGCGGGCCTTATCACTCCTCCTATCATCTTCGCGTCGTCCCTGAGCCTGGATGCGAAGACCTCGGCGTACATGATCTCCGCGTCGTTGATTGGCTGTGGTGCGCGCCTCGGTTCCCTTCCGTCCTGCAACTAACCCTACCTTTTGTCAGGAATACTCAGTCTCGTGCAAATGTCGCGCATCCCGCTGTTCAAAGGATATTATCTTGGTACTGGTCTCATCAGCGTCGTCGGCACGAGTTTCGCGACACTGAGCACGGCGAGTGCGGTCAGTCTGGGCGTTCTAGACTCGGCGTTATCTCAACGTCCTGCCAGATCTTTAACGCGATGTACGCCGACGGCACCTGCCCATCAACGACGGCGGCAGATGGTACGATAACGCGAGGTCCCTGTCCGGAGGCGTACGGAAAGCTGCTTGGTGAGTTTGTACCTCTGAATTCGATGGCGCGTTGCTTACGAACGCGGGAAGGAACATCGCTTGTGTGCTCATTGCTCGAAATTCTCATGTCCTTCGTTCCCGCCAAGCGCTTGCAGCGACTCTTCCCGCCAATCGTCACGGGCACGGTCATCGTACTCATTGGTGCATCGCTCGTCGGGGACTCGGGTATGCCGAACTGGGGAGGCGGATCCAGCTGCATGACTCGCCCGGCTACCGGCTTCTTCACCATGTGTCCTAACGTCGCTGCCCCGAGACCGCTTCTGTAAGTACTTTCACCTGCTGTCTGTGTTGCTCTCATCTCTTCCCGAATAGATGGGGATCCGCTGAACTAATCGGCATCGGATTCCTGTCGTTCATCAGCATCGTGCTAACCGAACTATTTGGATCGCCGTTCCTGAAGAACATTAGCATCATCGTCGGACTCGCGATCGGCTGCATTGTCGCTGGCGCAGCGGGGTACATCGACGGTAGCAGCATCAAGTCGGCGCCGGCAATCACGTTCTTATGGGTCAAGACGTTCAAGATCAGCGTGTACGGCCCAGCGGTGCTGCCCATGTTTGCTGTTTACAGTATGTGATAGCTGGTCACATTACGGTTGCGTTGACTAACTCGTTTCTTTCCGTAGTATCGCTCGCGATGGAGGCCATCGGAGACATCACGGCCTCGGCTGAAGTTTCACGGCAGGAGGTCGATGGTGAGGTTTTTGATTCACGGATTCAGGGAGGGGTTTTGGTCGGTGATCAGCTTGAGTTCCAACTTGCGCACGACTAACCAGGACGCAGAGCGACGGTCTCGGCGGCTTCATCTCTGCACTGTTCACTGTCGCGCCCTTGTCTATCTTTGCGCAGGTGTGTCCAAACGCGATGCGTCTCGTTTACTTGCCGATTCCAACAGAACAACGGCGTCATCGCGATTACCCGCTGTGCCAATCGGCAGGCCGGCCGATGGTGCTGTTTCTTCCTCATCCTCTTCGGCATCCTGGGCAAGATTTCCGGCGCGTTCCTGGCCATCCCCAATCCCGTTCTCGGCGGGGTAACGACGTTCCTCTTTGCGTCGGTCGTAGTATCCGGTGTCCGGGTTCTTGCCTACGTAAGGTATACACGCCGTTCGCGATTCATTCTTGCTGCCGCATTATCGTTTGGGCTCGGCAACCTTCTCGTCCCGGGGATCTTTACGTTTTTGTTCGAGCGCGTGCACAACCCCAGTAAAGGCCTGGAAGGATTCTTTAGCTCGATCACGATCGTGCTAAGCACGCCGTGTGAGTACATCAATTCCTGGTGACGCGCTCGCTCATCACTTTACAGTCCTTTCGGCCGGAATCATCGCGTCACTGCTGAACCTCATTCTCCCGGAAGAAGATGCCGAGGAAGAGAATGACGACGATGTGGTAGAAGAGGTTGAGGATACCGAGTCGCAAATGGATAACAAGAAGGATTAATCTACGTCGTGTCTAATGAAGTACTGTAACGGCCCCCATTGAAATGTCTCGTAGAAAGTAGAACAACAGTTTATGATTATGACAAACCATTTGAGCAGTGAACGGTTGGGCACGGTTTGACCTGATAAGGACTTCTCTAATCGACCACGTGTGGGCGCTACGTCTCGAACCAATATGAGCCATTGATACGTCTACGGCGGGCCTTGAGGGGATGATTATTGTAAGTATGCTTGCCGAATTAGTTCACATCCTTGATCTTCCCTAAGCCCTTTATCGAGAGTTCCTGACGATGGGAATTCAGAAATCTCTGCCCATGAGGTAAACACAAAGAGAATAGATGAGCACTGGGCGGCCCAACCGATCGTCCTGAACGCAATCGCAATCAGATGAGGATCGGTCGCGGTCACTAGATAAACCGAAAACAAAACACGCTTTTCACCTTGTATCAACGAGTGCTTTGAGCTCCATCAGCAGTTTGGTTTGCTCCAGTATCGAAGATTCTGGAGCTTCCGTGCCATCTACTTACGAGCTCATCCGAGCATTGAAATTTATAGACCAAAACAAGGTCTGGGACGGAGAGCTGAAGTCAAGCATGCTTTTCGTCCTCCAGGACTCTGAAGAAGTCATATCGTGATCCAAGAATGAGCGGTGGCCTGGTAGATTTCTCTATTTGATTGCACTTGGTATATTCTTTGAAAAATGGGACATCGACAAAGAGACGAGAGTTCTAGATCGACACGGCCACTCGATCAATCGACATTGACGGGTCAAATGCCGTTCCTCTACTACGACACAAAGAGCGACCCGTCCTCGACTGGCAAACTACATCCGGTCCGCATAATCTTTCTGGCGCTCCGTCCCGGGGACCCCAACTGCTGTGCGACGACAACGGGGCCTGACTGCTACGCCACGTCTGGACGAGAATACTAGACTGACGATGCACCTTTCAAGCAAGTGCACTGCCCTGCCCGCCGACACTCGCCTCGGTGACAAACGTGTTTGATACTGGTCTATCTGCCCCGCACTGTACCTTATTCCGGTGCCATACTCCCCGGACCAGTGACATTTCGACAGAACGGTAGAACCTCCACCGATCCGTCTGCTGAAGATGTCTTACTAGGTAGCTCAAGTCTGGGTCCTGGGTGGAAGCCGCCGACCACCTTCTGCGAGGCCTGTCTCGGTGATCGTGCCCTCGACTATCAGTATCGGTGTTACAGATGACGCCCGATGAGATGGGTGTCATCCCATGCTCCATCCACTCGAGAGGATCGCATCGGTGTGCATGAATCCCGCCCTTTACCCCGTTGGTTCTCATCCGATTCTCAGTGTCACGCTTCCCAGGGGTGTTTTCCCCTGTTTTCCGACCCAGTATCGGAGATGCAATGGCGAGGGAGAAGCCTTCGCACATTCATCTACGGAGAAGCGTCAAGAAGCGCAAGAGATGTCAACGTGCGTACGAATCGGCAGAATGGAGAGCAGAACTACCAAATAGTCTGATAGGCGAATCGCTTCATCGACGATGCGACCAATATGTTCGAGATCCGTCTCACCAATCTGGTTTCCTCGTTACCTGCTATCAGCCAAGGCCGATTCTGATAAAGAATCCATGCTTTTTGTCTGTGCTTAGGCCAGGTCTCCTCCCTCTTCCCTTCATGTCCAGCGTCCAACGTCATATCCCGCTCGTGTTGGCAGCCATCGGTACCGTCGTGGTTGTCTATTTGGGCCGCCGTCGTGCGCGCCGCCTGCCGCTTCCTCCAGGCCTCCCAAAACTTCCGATTCTGGGGAACCTCTTCAATCATCCGAAGGGTCAGCCCTGGGAGGCTTATGCACAGATCAGCAAGGATGTTGGTGGGTGGTAGACGTCGTTATTGGAGTCATGCTCACTCTGCATCCTGAGACTCGGATATTCTGCACTTCGATCTAGCGGGAACATCTCTAGTTGTGCTGTGCTCGGCCTCTGCTGCAGCAGATTTGCTGGACAAGCAGTCGGCAGCCTTTTCTGACAGGTCTGTACCATAGCCCTGCTCTGTTTTTTTTTTTTGATTCGCTGAGATGGTCTCGCGAAGGGCACGGAGGCCGATGGTTGTCGAAGTCATGGGATGGGACTTCAGCGTCGGTGCGTTCAGATCACGCAAAACCTACAACCCGGAGCTAATTTTCTGGCAGCGGCAATGAAATACGGTAAGTGGGTGTGTATTCCAAGCGGTTTTGATAGCGAACTATGACCCAGGGGACAAATGGTTGGCGTGGACCCGCCGTCTCGTTTCGAGTGCCGAACTGACCCTTGTGGCAGGCGCGCTCATCGGCGATTGATGCATCAAGTCCTCAACGAAAAGGCCGCAGTCCAGTATCGGAGCAAACAGCTCGCCTCGGCACATGAAGTGCTGCGGCGACTGATGACTACACCTGAGGAGTTCATGGATCACTTCAGGCAGTGAGTCGTGGCGGTAAGCGGGATTACGAAACATCGATTGACTCTGCTCCCAGCTGGGCCGCTGAGATTATTATGTCGACCACTTACGGAATCACCATTGCGAAAGAAAACGACTTTTACGTGGATTTGGCGCATGCAGCGCTTCGGACGTTATCAGTCGCCGGTGTCACGGGGACGTTCTGGGTCGTGCGTGAACAGGGCTTCTCCTTCTGGCCGGTGTTGATCCGCGATCGATTCAAAGGACTTCTTCCCCGCCCTGCAACACATTCCGGAGTGGTTCCCCGGGGCGAAGTTCAAACGCGACGGAGCCGTCTGGAGGAAGATGGCGCGTCAGATGGTCGATGTGCCCTTTGCAGAGACAAAGCGGCAGATGGCGAGCCCCACTGTCTCCGGCGGTGATATCTCGCTCAAAATATTGCACAGGCATCCGGCGAGGCGCCCTCGTCGATCGTGTCGGAAAGCGTGCGCACGATGTCGGATTCCTCATTCTACAATGAGGAAACAGTCAAGAACTCCGCGGCGACCCTCTTCCTCGGCGGCGCTGACACCAGTGTGTCCGCCCTCCAGACTTTTGTTCTCGCGATGCTGGCGAATCCTGAGGCCCAGGCCAGAGCACAGGCCCAGATCGATGCTGTCACGCAGGGCCTCCGGCTCCCAGATTACGACGACGAGAAAAACTTGCCATATGTCATGGCAATCGTGCGAGAGACTCTGCGCTGGAGAAATGCAACTCCAATGGGTATGCTCGGGTGTGCTCCGGACTGGGGATAGATTTCACATCTCCCCATTAGCAATCCCGCACTTCACCTCGGTCGACGGCGAGTACAAAGGCTTCAGGATCCCGGCCAAATCACTAGTGATAGGCAATACTTGGCGAGTTGCTTCTCCGCGTACAACGGAGTCGAGTCTGATTTCCCACATTAGGGCTATCACGCATGATGAAAGCGTCTACCCAGATCCAGACAAGTTCAACCCCGATCGGTTCCTGCTTCCTGACGGACAGATCAATCCCGATGTTCCGTTTCCGGATTCTGCATTCGGATTCGGTCGGAGGTCAGTGATCCGTTGACGAACATCTCTATCGCTGAAATGACACACAGAGTCTGTCCAGGAAAGCCCATGGCCTTGGCTTCGCTGTACATTGCTGTGGCTTCGATCTTATCTTCGTTCAAGATCTCCAAGGCTCGCGACATCAACGGGAACGAGATCGAACCGACTTACAAGTATCTCGCGGGCTTCATAAGGTTTATCCTCTTTTTCCATTCTCTCGGCAGTTCCGATCGCTGAGCATACGTTTCCTCAGTGCACCGGCACCTTTTGAATGCTCCATACTGCCCCGGTCTGATGATGCTTCCAGTCTGATCATGAACACCGTAGATCTGTGAAAAGATTCTCTTTTGCGAGTTTATGTATGATTATTAAGACTTCAGATGTTTCTGATCTTGATTACTGTCCCTTCCCAATGTATCTGATCTGAACTAGAGCTCGCCTTGTAGAATAAAACCGGAACGAGGCCGCTCCACAGAAAGATCCGACCAGCGGTCGTCTGGGCTGATGGCTCCACATTTGTTAACTTAGTTCTCGCATCGATGACATCGCTAGGCTCCATTCCTCTTCAGTGAAATTTGCCCTACATATAATTCATCACTGGGTTAGGATACCATGTAGCGAAAGAGATCTCACTGTGGCGTAATGCTGAAGCACGAAGGCGGCCTCTGGATGCGGCTCTTCGCAACAGGGACTGAGCAAAACCCAAGACCCGAGAATTTGTGTACAAAAAGGTCGATCACGGACTGATATAGACTTTAATGCTCTCTGATACACCCTATCGTCGATCGGGAGTGACTCGCATCAAGTTGGAGCATTCTCCCGCGCTGATTGTGTGCTGTTGCTCACTGTGTACAGGCTGTCATCGTTCACCACGACTCTATTTTCTGTGCTTTGAAGCATCCTAGGTGGTTTCTAAATGTTTATCGTGCCAGGAATGAACACATAGCGAAGTCGATGCCAACGCCTCAGCACGAGACACCAGATGGTTCTGACGTCATTTTCTACGTCACTCTCGCTTTGTCTCACTTTGTTCCTAGTTCTCAACCTGCAGCTGCCAAAAGAAGGCCTTGCCGTAGGATCCTCTGCAAATTTCGGAAGTAAGCGGTGAATGCCGATGTCTAGTATTACCCCTGGTGGATTCGGGGGACGCCGAAAAATGTGATCAGTATATCAAGCCTACGCTCTCTCGTGCTTGCCCTCATCTCGGATGTGGATCTCGAATTTCCTCCGAGATGAGCGCACACGCGTTTGCGGGCCTAAACTACTTGCTACCTGGATGTTTTCGCCTCCACGAGACAAGTTCCTTTCTGTGATAGCATCACTTGACGGTCACAATATTCCCACCCATATAAGTAGTCTCCTGGTCTCAGATTTCTTAGCGCAGAAGAGCGTCGTTTCATTCCAGAGAAAGCTGGCCAAGTGGCTGACGGTACTGGAAATTGACCCTGTGACAGTCGAGAAGATGTCGCTTCTTCTAGAAATTAGCATCAGGTTTCCCATGCTCGAGCGGCTGCTTCAGTTAGGTTGCGCTTAGGTCAACCGTGTATCGCAGAAGCGTCCGGAAAATAACTTCTTTATTGACGGAGGGTTAAATGATGGAGTGAGCGAGATAGAGTAGGGTTACATCGTCAAGTGTTTCGTACTTATGTGTCCAGTCCTTTACTTTATGGATTACAAACGTGTGAACTGAGGTCCTTATAAAGTGAACGTGTGTGAAAATAAAACAAGAAGGTCGCGGCGGAGAAGGGATCAGGTCTACCATTCAAGCGTGATTCCCGAGTGAGACTGGGCCTCCGCAGCCGCAGCCGGTCGCGGTGTGTGGTTGAAATGCTCGTCCTTCCATTTAACATCAGAGGCAGCATAGCCCAGTGAATGGGATACTCACAGCTAGCGAATCAAGCGAAACTCTCGACACATTTTCGGGGAAGCCCCGACTATGAAGAGCTGCATCAGACGCAGATGGCACTGGGAATCTGTAGAAGGCTGTAACGTATCGCTTGCGCGAGGAGGATCTTGACGAGCCGCGACTCAGCGACCGGCTGTCTTCGGTAGTGGCGGTGCGTGGGGCTGAGTAATGCGGTGAGAGGATGCTCGTCTGGGAATGCGCGGGTGTCATCGTAAGAATAGGTGGCCGGCGGTTGATGTGGCTTGCGGGTGGCGGGCCCGGCCGCGAAACCGCAGTCAGTGAGACCACGGGATCCACTTGATGGACATGACCATCGGTGTCTGGGGCTGTCGGAGCTTCTAGCACTTCCGGGACTGGCGTCGCGCCCTCATCAGACTCCGACACCTCGCATATGTCGAACGGCGCCCGAGAGGCTATGTTCACCATTTTGCTTCCACGGTGTGAGATGACGCCGGCAAGGCGCAAATCGGGCTGACATACCTCTCCTTCGCACGGACAATCCTTTCGAGCCGTTCATTGAGCGCGCTCTGGGCAGCAACACAATCCCCCGATGGCCCAGGTCTACCTCCAAGTCATCGTACAGGTTGGGGTTAACAAGAGATTCCAACACACATCGCATCGGAGTCAGATTGGTTGTTCATCAGACGCGTACGTTCGTCCGGGATGACCTGGGTCCTGGTAATCACCTAGCCAACCCCGCCCGGACCAGAAGGACGTACCGCTTCTTCGACATCCCGGACGCGACTGCGCCGTCCTCGCCTTCGAAAGCAGCACCAGAGCCCCGACACCTCTGGGTTGGGCATCGATGCATGAAAATGAGAGAGAAGCTGAAGATAAAGTCGGAGAGGGGCTGAGAATAGTGGCAGAAGGAAGAAGATGGGAGTAGAATGACCCGACTCACCGAGTTATCACTATCACGCGGTCCGTCTGACTTGTCATCGCCATCAGTCCATCCATCGTTCCCCCTGCTCTTCAGCCTCCTCCCGATTTGGTTAGTGCGGTGGTAGCCATGGTCGGGCCGGAATTGCCTGGGGCATATGCTAGTCGCACATGTAATAAAACGTAGAGGGGAGCACTATGTATGTCGCTGAGTTGAGGAGCCGAAAGCTACACTTGTTCGCTCTGAGACGCGAGGAATGACTCACTCGAATTCAAGCCTCGCCGCGTTCTCGAGCTCCGCGGACGCTATCTGATGTGACTGACCTAATCAAAGTCTCTCAGCTCCGGATCCCGCCGAGCAGAGATCGGCGAACAAGCCGCCGCTGGCACGATGCGACGACAGCTTACTGGCATGCAACGTCATCTGCATTCCTCGGTGATGCCCGAACACGACTGTCCCTTGCGCCCGACCACGACCGAACCATGCACGGTAAGCCAAGTCATCTATTCACAGCTGTCAAGCCCATTAGCATATCCGATCTCGCACCCGAACTGCTCTGCCAGATCTTCAAATGGTTTTGTATCCATGACGCAGATCAGAGGCCTTCAGGAATGAGGGTCTATACCCTCACTCGCATCTGCGGACTCTGGCGCACACTCTCCCAGAATCTTCCCGAACTCTGGACCTCAATTTATATATCCCGAGTCCAACCACTACATGCTCAGATGGTGGATGAATGTTTGCGCCGCTCGAAGGATCTCTCGCTCGACGTTTCTCTTACGATGAAGGAGACGAACGGAATGTGGCCCATTCTCTTTCTTATTTGGGGGTCTGTTGGACGAATACGCTCTCTCGCGCTCGATCTGACTAGATCCACGTTCGAAAACTTGGGTCTCCAAGTGGCACCTGCTTATGCGCCGCGCTTGGAATACCTTGAGCTCCATGCTTCGGGGCCCGAAACATCGTCTCAACAGCAATTTCATTCTTCCATCCAACTTCGCCACTCGCCCCTCTTGAAATCCCTCGTTCTTGGTGGAGTGGGGATTCAGCATCCCGATCCCGCCGAATTTGTCCACAAACTCGAGGTGCTCGATCTCGACGCCGGCGCGTTTGTCAATGACCGAGGTCTTCCGGGGCTCAAGATACTGCTAAGTTTCTGGGCAGTAGAGGAGGTTCGGGAGACCTCGGCCCTTCGCCTTCTGGCGATCCGCGGTTTCGCAGCCGAACTCAGACCGTCCCCCGATGAGGCTGTGTCTTTTGCCAGCTTCGTTTCTTGCGTCACATCCCTCTTCATCGGATATCGTTGGGCAGGACCCAGCGTCCTTGCGGCGTTCCGATGCGCTCCACTCCGTCAGATCACGATCCTAGACGAAGCACCGCAGTTCGCTACAGATCTCGCGCAGCAGGACATGCAGTTCCCTACAGTCACATCACTCGACATCGAAGACTCGACGGCGATACCTGGTCTGAAGAACACGCTCCCGGCCATCTCCAGACTTCGCATACGAGGGACCGTCAATCTCCCTGACCTGGAGTCCCTATCGACCGGCAACCAGTGGGCCGACCTGCGAGTACTCATTGTCGAGGCTTCTGGCATCAGTCTGAAGAACTTGTGTGCATTTGTCGAAGCTCGAGCGAGTGCTAGCCTCCCATTGGCTGAGGTCGTTTATCGCATGCCAAAGGATTCATTATTTGCTGTGAATTTATGGACCAAGTGGCTCAAAGAGCACACGGATTTTAGGGATGAACGCTTGTAGAACAGAAATAATGTGATATGTTACTGTTGTAGCTTCGTTTCCAGCGAATTTCGGACTCAACCGCTCCACGACGCCATGGTAATCTCACAGCATGATCCGAAGCCTGCCGCCTTCACGTGACATCGGAAACAAAGTGGACACACATGTACAGACCGATTCTTCGATACTTCCCAAATTATTTGGATTTGCTGCAGATAGCTTTGAAGAGTAGTTCAAAGAGTAAGATAGTAGCTTCGAATGTTATGGCTAATATACTCCGATTGAAGTGCTCGACTGATCAATTCGACGTTCCTTGTGTGTCCCGGGCCGGCTCGGTCTCGGGATTCCGAAAGCCTAGCCTCCTTGTAACCGGAGCCAAGCCAGCAACAAGACTGAAGAGAATCAATCGCCCAGATCATTTACAATTAACATACATATAGCTGGTCTTTCCAGGCTGAATTGATCCTCGAGCAGAGTCCTCCCCGCTTGTCTCTGAGGATACTGAGGCTTTCTCGACTTCGGTGTTTTTGTGCCTAGCAATTCTAGTCACGTGTTGACAGACATCGACATGTTTGGCATAGTCCGCTGATGATCGAGAGTCATATCATGATCGATGCCTACAGCCACGCTGAAAAAATGTGCTCGGCAGTCGCGTCGGGCTTTGAGATTGTGCGCTTTCGCGTAAAGGTGCCTATAGTTACTTCTCCTTCACTCCTTCCTCCGCCTCTTTCTCTTCCTCCCGTTGCTGGCGCGCTGGTCCGACAAGCAATCTTACGAAGGCACCGGTGCCAATCTTCGCTCTTTCATAACCCTCCGCGCTAGCTGAGCTAGAAATGCGTCCTTCGTTCACCCTGACCTCACTCGCTCTGCTCGCCGCGTGCGTTTCGGCTGCGCCTGCACCCGTGCGCCGGGCAGTCAAATGCGCGGCGGTGGACGACGATGGGTCGCCGCTGATCAGCTCTACCGCCGCGCCGGGAGACTTCGCGGTGTGCACGTACAAGGATGCCGGGCCGTGTACTTATTTCGCTGCGGTGCGTCTTTTTGCGTAGTCTACCCGCTTTTCCTGACTGATGCCACGGATGCTTGTAGAATGGATCGTTTTCGTCCGGATCGAGTACGTGTCCTGCTGGACTGCCGCAAGACGCGACGTTTGGACAGAACACGCAGTACGTTTTGGCAAAGTCACGAATGTAGTCGAGGTTTCGATCTCATCGCGTTTTGAAGGTCCAAAGCACAAGTCGCGCCTCCTCCTCCTCCACCTCCGCCTCCTCCATCCCCTTCCCCGCCCGCGCCGCCCAAAACGACCGCATCTCCGGTCGTAAAGACGATCACGATCGTCAAGGCGCCTCCACCCAAGACCACGAGCAGCACGAGCTCAGCGGCACCGCCTCCCCCACCCAAGACGACTGCACCGCCTCCCCCGCCGCCAGCGAAGACCCCTTCTCAATCCTCGTCACCGCCCCCGCAGACGAGCACTACTTCGTCATCGCAGCCACCGAAGACGACGAGCATCCCTCCGCCCCAGACGACGAGCACACTGCCCCCGCCTCCTCCGCCGAGCACGGCGAGCACGAGCGCGAGCACGAGCACAGCTGCACCGCAAGTCACTACCCAGACTGTATCGCCTCCCCAAACCACGAGCACATCTGAACAGGCTCTGACGACCAGTTCATCCGCGAGTGTTCCCGCACCGACTGTTCCCGCACCGACCGCGATTTCGACCGCGGAACCATCGATCTCCCCGCCGACCGTCACAACTTCTTCGAGTGCTGCGCCTCTCATCACTCTTTCCTCTGCACCCAACGCGACTTTCAAGTCCAAAGTTGTTGCTGTGCCGCAGACGACCATTGCCGCCGCCGCCGGTGTGCCTAGTGCTGGTGCAGCGAACGCGAGCCCGGCAACGGGCGGGTCTCCGACTGCAGGATCTGGGAATGCTGCGGGTGGTGGAACGAGTTCGGGTGCAGGTGGGCAACTGGGCGCAGTTGCTCAGGGCTCCACTGGCGGTGCAGTTTCTGGCCGGCACGGGGCTTCGTCTGTGGGTGTCCTAGGCCTCGGGTTGGTGATGGGTGGTCTTGTGTTGCTTTGAGGACCAAGCATAATGTTTCGCTAGCGCGGGCTTCATCAAATCAGCCTGGTTTGCTCTCAACCTTCCGATCGGTGGCCAGGTTTCAATGTTGAGGGAGGCAGAATCGACGTTTTTCAGGGACATTTCACATTTCAGGAGACATACAGTACAGTACATCCTCGTATCCTACCATTTATGGACTCTTCCTTAATTTGCTTGCTATCGAAATCCTACTCAAAACAGAATCGCCCTCAAAAGTTCTGCGGATTGAATTCCCCCACCTGCAGCACGACACAAGACCGTCAAAACCTAGTTCACGAACGACAACTGAGGGCACACCTTACGCTCCTACCCCCGTTCCTGCATGTTTTCGTTGTTCGTCAGTCGGCCAGCCATTTCTTCAGCCGTGCCTTTTTCTAGTGTGAGACCAAGCTCATCAGTAAGCCAAGTCCGTCTCACCCAAGGCCTTGTCGGCAGTCGTGACTGCATTGTCCCCGCGGCTGTGCCCATAGTATCCGAGCCCGGAACCTTGGTTGCTTTCGCATTGGTCTCATGCTCTGCTGCATGAGCGTTTGTTGCTAATATCAAGAACAGCTTGGCATGGATGTCATGTGGGTTCATGATGAGTGCTTACAATTTCTCGACTGCGTGTTAGACGAGATATTAGAAACAGTTGAATCACTTTGAGAGTCCATCGTCGTCGCCTAGTTCGAAGTCAATGATGTAAGTACTGGCCCGAGCTGCAATCAGCGTCATAACACGATGACGCCATGTTTGACACAGCGTAACACTTAATTTTGAAATAATATGTTTGATACAACTGGGATTCTTCGATGTACAAGTACAATTTGGTCTTCGTGTCGGTTGGACAGCCCTTAGATATCACGCTTCTCGCGGAATTCGCCCATCTGCACGTCATGTCAGCCACTGAGACTTCACGATTATAAACCCGCCACGTACCTTGCGTTGCTGACCACGTTCCTGCAGTCCCGGGTTACCTGTCATCTTTCCAGCGGCCTTCTCCAACGAGCCTGTCGACTGGCGGTAAGACAGATAAACAGATGTCAAAATCTACGAAGACTCACCCTGGATCTTGTCCCCGGTGGAGACCTTGTAACCGTCCGGCACATCCTGGCTCCACGTCGCACTGGGGTTATACTGTTGGTCTCCTGCCCCGGCGCTCATCCCCATCGCCGAGTTGTCGTATTGCTCCTGGCCGCGCATCGTGTTGCCAGCACCGTGCATTCCAATCGATGACAGATCGTCATGCATTCCCGACGCTCCGCTATTCAGTCCGCCTCCACCTTGCAAGTTCGTCGAACGCTCGTTTCCCACAACTGCACCAGCGAGAATGCAAAGTCAATTCAACTCGGGACCAGTCGAGCGGGACAAGTCACGACGCACCGTTCTGCTTGTTAAGCCCACTGCCCTGGTTCAGATTAAGTTGCTCGCGATTCGCGGCGGCATGTGCTTTGGAGCGCGTGTCCATGATCGATGCGAGGATGTTTTAAGTAGCGATGGTCGTATGAGCAGTTCGTTTGTCTGTGAGTGTGAAGGATATTGGGGGTGCAGTCATATCACTCTATATACAAGTCGACGACTCATAGGAGTGTTTCCCGTGATGCGTGGGGGGGATGACGACTCAATACACTGGAAATATTGATTTGGGACAGATATGGCGATGACGAACTTCAACGGGCTCCTGCCAAGAGACTCACGTGAGAAGTCTAGATCCGCGCTGCCGTCTGATTCAATTGATGCTCATCAGATCTTGACCTCTTGGCAATGAGCATTGAGCACAACATCGTTCGAAAACATCCCCGCAGCGGTTCAATCGTATCGTCTCAACCAAGTGGCGTCTGAAAATCCATAATGCGTGCGCATATATCGATGCCGGGAGAAGTAGTTCTCCCTGCGAGAAGATGACTCATTAAGAACTGTTTCGGACCGCTGTATTTTAGTGACAAAACATATGGAAAAGAATCATGCTTTTCACGGAAGTTGTCAGATTCTTACTCGCGTTCTCAAGTAGCATGATCATAAACGCATCGATGGATAGGGCTAGTGGCTTCTCTTTCTGCGCTTTGTTTCCCTGGTGAATAGATCTAGTTCTTGCGGCAAGTCAGAGTTCGATCCCGGGTATTCACGGCGATCCAATGCGAGGAGACACCCTCCCTTTGAAGTCCCAGAAGCTGACAATCTTGTAAATTTGATTGAGAAGATCAATAGGGGGGACTCAAGACTTGCGCAATCAACCGACCTCGCTGATGTGTAGGATACACGGGCCCCCGTGGATGAGCAACAAACGAGGGCCATAGTCCCTTGTACGAGGATTAGATTGTTCGGGTAACTGAAAATCACGCCGCTCCTGAGTGTCAAGAAACCCGTGTTGCAACTATCATGACAGCTAGACAGGGCTAGCAATTGAAGGCATCGGAGAAGAAGCGAGCATTCCATACAGTTCCAATCGATATGAAAGGCGGTTGGCAAAACTTTTCCGCCACTTGAAGGCAACAAACCCAAAGTATTCGGACCCATCGCCCTGACAATCGCCTGACGACCAGGAAGACAGCTTGGACCCGAGTCTTTGTCTCGGCAACTGTCGGGGTACTACTTGAACCACCAAATTTGTGTGACGTGAAAACGGTTCTATTGCGCATTGGAGAGTTAACCTTGAAGCTCTTGATCGCAGAGTTTATTTTCAATCTCACACCGTGATATTTCCGCTCATCGGCGGTCGGAATTCTCCAATTTCTCTAAAGCAGTTCCAAAGAGTCATTCCGACGGACTACGGTCGAGCTCTAACCCCGAGACAAAAAATCTGGCATTTGTCTTAGCCCCTCTTCGTCCGTGCATAAGCCCACGTATTGCGGAAACATGTGGCTGCAAGGAGAAACATCTTGTCGCGCGTTGGTCACCATCGGCAATCCCGGACCGGCGGGCCTGAGAAGCGTTCTCGTTCTCATATGGCTTACACATACACTTTGATACAGAAGATAACGTGATCGGAGAGTGTTCTGAACGCACTTTTCCATCAACCGTGCTTAACTCTAGAAGTCCCCCCTTGTTCGCTCTGAAGTGAGCCTTTTCAGTCATGGAATGTGCAAATATAAATACAAATGACGAATCAAGCTGATATCTGCGTGAGTTTACTTTGCACTAGTCAATCATGGCTCAGGAGAGTTTGATCCCTCAGACGACAGAGGCCCCGTGGGACCCTGACCGCAAAGTAAACACGGTTGTCAATCCAACTGTGGAATGACACCAATTCGATCTAGATGCAGCACTCCTTGAAGCAGTCCAGGGTGCCCTGTGGATCTTCGATCATGGACTGGTTTTTCGTAAGAAATTTAGTGGAGAGGCACAAGCGACGTAGATGACCTACAAAATGATTCGCGCCATCAACCATCTTGAATGTGATCGCGCATTCCGGCCTTGCCTCGGCAAGCATTCGCTCCTCCAGCTTCCAAGAGGAATAAATTGACGCCCACGAGTCAGCGGAGCCAGCCACAACAAAGAACTTGGTGTCCTTCCACAGCTCGCCCCGCACGTGAATGTCGAACAGGGTTTGATCAACTAACTTTGCGGTAACGCCACCGAAGTGCGGCGAGATGAGGGCTGCATCGTACTTGGAGCTCGCGGCAAAGTCGATGAGGTGATCCATGGCAAAACGGGTAATGGTCGGTGGGCGGAGGGCATCTGTGCGGTCGTATGTCAGACTGCTTGGGTCATGTGTTGAGAGGTCGCCATGCACGAAGAAGCTGGAGACCCAACGTGCAAAGAAAGGCCCTAGCTCCTCGGCGGAAATATGAGGATCGTTTTGGGGAATATAAAGTCCTTTTGGATCTGGAATATCGAACACTACTGTTGGACTTTCTGTAGAATTTCCCTGTCAGATGTTGTTCCATTCTTGGAAAAGGATCTCACGGAAAAGAATCATGCTGCGAACAGAGCCGCGCAAAGTTTGTCTTGTGCCGTCCGGTAATTTTTCTAAGGCTGCCACAATTGACAGCACTTTGAGAGCTCCAAGCGACCATCCAACCACGGCAACACCAGAGGGCAGAGAGAGAGTGTCGATTAGGCCAGCAATGAACAACGCCAGATCTCGCCCCATTTCTGCTAGCAGCCGTTCTTTCTCGTCCATGTTCTCGCTGACAAACAAGCTCAGCTCTTCCGGCAAGTAATCAGTCGACCCCGGGTAGCCACGGCGATTCACCGCGATGACGCGGACCCCGTTTGAAGGGCCGAGGTCCGCGAGGGATGAAAATGTTCCTGAACGCAGATCGCTTTCAGCTTCAGAGAAATACGAGCACTGTTAGCTTGCCATTGTGGAACATGATCCCATGTATGAGAATGAGCGTAGCATAGTCTGTCTGGTTGGTGAGGGGTGCTCCGCTGTCGGTGTAGCTGAAATCCACGCCGTTCTGTAATGTCAGGGAAGGCATTTTGGGACTGCCCAGGCAGGTTCGTGATTATAAGCACTCGTGCTACTGACGACGTTTCCATGAGTCGCGCTAGTTCCATTGAAGGGCAGCATGGGCCTCTCAAGCGTGATAATCCACGTTATACCTTGGCACTTGACGACGCGAAGTCTTACCGCTGTCTAGCATTTATCATGCCAGGGCCGTAAGCCTCAGTGCTAGACTCCATCCACCCAGGGACTCCGTCTGCCGTAACCCTGTATTGGAAATTTCAACCTTGAAACCGATTTCTTCGTAATCTTAATGAGTAATTGATGACTAAGGAGGGCGGACTAAATCCAGCACTTCAATCACAGTTCAATTTCCGTCCAACACTGATGCTCGGATGTGTCCTGATCTTCTTTGCCCCCTTCGATGCCGCTTTTTCGCCTTCACCCTAAGGTACTTCTGGCTCTCTGCGTCGCGGTTCTCAGAAGACAGGAGAGGATCCTTCCCATAACGTGAGGGAGCTAGGATGCCGTGTTGTCGAAGACTCTGTGCTTCGTGCAAGTTTGTCAGGCTAGACGTCGCCTGCTAGCATGCGAGATGAGACCAGGGGAGGAAGTGAGGAGTATGGTTCTACATCCGGTTCAGTCGGCAAGCCGCCCGCTTCGACTGCATGCCATTGACCAGGAAAATCAGTATTGTTTTTTTGAGTCACACAGCTCCATGTGCCGTCTCTCTGAGATTGATTGGAGAACCTCGTATCATCTCATATAATGCGACCGCCGTGAGTCAGAATTTCAGGACCTAGACCCGAAGGGTGGCCCTTGCCGCCCTACATCTCAGGCTTGGGTGCTGCCAGGTTAGCACCGTGCCGGACAATTGCCATCAGGAGGAGGGTGGAAATTTGCCGCCCGTACCACATTGAAGTACTATATACCAACATAGTGCGTTAGAGATCGGCAGTTTGAATCGCGCGTAGACATACAGTATACTACACCGACTAACGGTTGGGAGAAGAGGAGAATTGGTTATCCGTCACAAACCTACTAGAATGTGACTGGTTTGCCCGGAAAAACGTCCACTTTTCCAGAGAAACTGTCCATCATCTGTGCAAGACTCTGCCGGAAAGAAAATTCTCGAATTTGAGACTCCTTAATACAGATAATCACAGGTCCCATGACTCACCAAGCCGTCTTACGACAAATTGATTAGTACTCGCACGGATGCGTGCGTTTTTTCTTCTCTCATCCCCGTCCTTTCACAGTCAAATTTTCCGGCAAATGCTTTCAGAGGTAGAATGAATTGGATTAGCCATGCGCATAGGTTGCAGTGGTATCAAGTTCTAGTCGAGTTGCTTTGGGGGAGGTGTCTCCACGGCACGCACTCAGACTCAATGATGATTAGGATTCTCTACTAACTGCTTCAAGGTACTCAGACCCTACAGTCAATCAAACTGGAGCGCGTCAGCAGTTCGGAGGTTCGATTTCTCTCTCTCGTCCAGTGTCCCCATCTACCTGATGACACATGTTCAAGAACATAGGTCTATCCATTTGCTCAATCGCAATCACGGCTCGAATCTGTGCCAATCTCAGTGAAGAGGTACAGAGTTTTATTTTACGATCGAATGACTAGTGGGAGTCATAGAAATCTACACGAAGCATGTCTTGAAGCAATCCATTGCCCCCTGCGCATCCTCCATCACGAACTGCGCTGCTGTGAGAAACCGACGCACGTGTCGTAACTGAGGGCACTCACGAAATGATTCGCGCCTTTGACCAACTTGAATGTGATCTCGCATTCGGGCTTCGCCTCGGCACGCATCCGCTCCTCCAGCTTCCATGCGCCGTACATCGTATTCCACGAATCCGCGGACGTAACCACGCAGAAGAACTTGGTGTTCTTCCACAGGTTGCCACGGATGTGCACGTCGAACAAGGCTTTGTCGAGCTGCTTCGCCGTGGCCGCGCTGAAGCTCGGGGAGACGACGATATCATCGTACTTCGACGCCGCCTCGAAATCGACGAGGTGGTCCATCGGCAGACGGACGATGGATGGTGAGCGGTCCGGGTCCGTGCGGTCGTATGTGAGACTGCTGAGCTCGTGCTTTGACAAGTCCCCGTGCACAAAGAAGCTGGAAACCCAACGCGCGAAGAAGGGACCCAGCTCGGCAGGGGAGATCGCCGGATCGCTTTGTGGCACATAGAATCCCTCGGGATCGGGGACCGCATACACGATGCTGGGGCCCTCTGCAGAGATCACGCTTAGGCCACCTTCTGTCTCTGGTTGGAAGAACTCACGGAGGAGGATCATACTGCGGACCGAGCTGGTGAGAGTCTGACGGGCGTCTTCTGGCAACGTGTCTATCGAGGCCGCAATCGAGAGCACTTTCAGAGCTCCGAGCGACCACCCAGCGACCGCAACGTGAGCCGGGAGGGAGAGCGAGGTGATCAGCCCAGCGATCAGCAAGGCCAGATGCTGCCCCATTTCCGCTAGCAGCCGCTCCTTATCATCCCCGTTCCCGCTGACGAACAGCGTCAGCTCTTCTGCTGAGTAGGGGGTCGTTCCCGGGTATCCACGGCGATTCACCGCGATTACGCGAACCCCGTTTGAAGGGCCAATCGCCGCGAGCGACGCAAATGTCCCTGGCCGCGGATCCGTGTGAGTTCCTGAAGTACAGGATAGACAACAGTAGCTTACCGTTGTGGAACATGATCCCATGGATGAGGAAGAGCGTGACATAGTCCGTCTGGTCGGAATGGGGGATCCCGCTGTCGGTGTAGCTGAAAGTAAGACCGCTTTGGAGGGTGAAGAAAGGCATGTTTGAGTGTCATGATAAACAGCTAGCGTCGTGCTTTTAAACACTGAAGCCCAGGCGGGACTGCCCTGGTGGTATGGACAACGAAAGCTCAAAGGCGGCGTGATGCATGATGAATGTGTCAAATCATTTCTGAGCGGTGTTCCTTTCACGGTTCCTTTGCCGCCAAGTATAGCGCTTTGAAAGCACCGCCTAATAACATAACCAATCACCGCCCGCACCTGCCAATGACCTTGCCCCTCTGGGATCACAGATTGACATGACAACCAACACGACACTCTATCTGCACCAGGTCGAGTAACATGGATTACAGGATTCCCAACTCTAGGGCCCTGATCTGAATGGCCTGTGTCTGATAAGGGTCCTGGAACAGATGAGAACAAGGACACCGTACCAACTGTTTGGAACAAAACCGTGAAAGGGTAAAGTCCCCGGTAGCAAACCATAGCTATGCGAGCCGTTAGCATGGAAGACAAACAGGCAGGCGGGGACACACTCCCGGATAGCCAGATGGCCGATAACACCCATGCAGTTCTCCTTCCTCATCGACACCCCAGACAGGGCTCGTCTGGCTGATGACATCGTCGCCGAAGATCGGACGCATGGTGTCTCGGATACTCTCAAACGACGTGCTATTGTGGATCGGTAAGTTACGCTGATAGACAGCAGCTAGACTCACGCGTAAACGACGGCATCGACCTCGGCTTCTGTGCCGTCGCTGTAAACTACACCGTTGAGCTTGAATCGAGCGAGTTCGACACCGTGCTTGACGAGGACTTGGCGGTCCCGAATGAGTTTGGCGGTCCCGAGATCGATCCCTGGCCTTGATCAAAGATAGTTCATCCCTAGTGGCATTCGCACTCACAATATCCTGAAGTCAATCAGCCGCGACAGTCGCAAGTAAAGCTGACCACCCACCTCCAAATCGCTCATAGATCATGGCAAACTGCCCACTTCCGTCTTTGCCCATAGTAAGACTCAGTCCGGCTTCTCTCAGACCTTCATGGAGCTCCTTCTCGGCATCCCAGAATGACTGCGTGAGCGAGCTGCTCACTTCGCGAAGCATGAGGTACGGCATGGCCTGTGTTTTGAAGTCGTTAATCTGTATCGGCACATCCGCAGGGAACGCAAGGCTTTGACGCTTCCGCGCGCTAGACTGAGACACTACACAGCTGGAAGACCGCTGGAGCATCGTTGCTTGGGCGCCATGCGCGTGCAGATCTTGACAGATGTCTGCTGCGCTGTTGCCTGCACCGACAACAAGGACGCGTTTACCGGCATATGAGGCCCCGCCCGAGTACGACGAGGAATGGGTGATTGAACCGGTGAAAATGGATGAGTCGGGGACATCAGGCGTGCGAGGTTTTCCGAAGGTGCCTCCTGCTATGACGATATGCGCAGGACGTAGTGGAACATGCTTGCCGGCACGGTCGATGACTAAGTTCCACTTCCTGCTGTCTACATCGTATCTGGGCACCGGCAGAAGCTGAGAGCTGGTCCAGACGACTAGGTCTTGCGTGACAGCGTATTGCTCAAGCCAATCTGCCAGCTTGTCGCGTGGAGTGTAGGTTGGCCAATTTGAAGGGTAGGACTGATATAGCACTGGATTGGCAATGAGCGTTAAGCAGGATAAATCAACAAGTACCTACTTTCATGATGGCTCTTGATGGTGTGCAAAGTGAGCATAGGATACCGCTTCCTCCACACATCGCCGACCCGCGCCATTTTCTCGATGATCAGAGTCCGTATGCCCATTTGCTTGAAACGAGCAGCGACGTTCAGACCAGTCTGCCCGGCACCCACTGCAACCCGTGAGCGATGGAAGATTGCACGGACGATACGCACCGATAAGCACATGCGGGTCACGCTCGATATCCGCTTTCCGTCCAGCCCGCACCTCACCCCACGACACTGTGTGACCGCCATAGATACCGCTCTCCGGCCCACTCTCCTCATGTCCGCGGATGTCTTCGAGGTGCACAAAGACCATCAACGCTCTCCAAACGCCATCCTCACCCGGTGTCAGCGAAACGTATCCCTGAACGTGCCCTAACGCCGTCTCGAACCTGAATCCAGATGACACGCCTTCGACCAGCGGTGTGATCGGACCGAATGTAGGGCTCATGTGCGTGCGGGTGTCGAGTGCCGGTCGCACAACAGAAGTGAGCGGTGTGCGGGCAGTGGACAAGAAGGTCGATATACGGGCGCGTCCGCGGAGAGTGCGATTGAGCCAGGTGAAAACGAGAACATCGCGGAGCCAGCCCTCTGGGTGAAAACACTCAGCGACACGCGGGATGTCGGCGGCGCCGAGGGCAGTGGAGAACGCCTGCAGCCAGTTGGAGGCGATGCCTTGCGCGTCGACTGGATGGGAGAATGCGGGCATTCGCGATACTGTTTGGGCTGAAAAGAACGATTGATGAGTGACCCAGTCGTGTCTGATATATGCGTGAGACTGCGAACTTGTCTTTGGAAAGCTAAAATTACCACTTCCGTTTTGCGCAGCCAGTCACGGGCCCATAGCGCTCACAAACGACGGGATATCCTTCATGGACTTGAGTGCCCTCAGTCGAGGACGTTCACCAGAGTGGTCGAATAGGATCCGAGGGTGTAACGGTGCCTCATCCCTCAGGAGCGAGCGAAAGAGGGGCGCGATCATGTGATGTTGCGCGTCAAAATGGATCAGCCAAACAACCCACAGCAACGGTCTGTTGGAACGATAGATTTCTCTGGTTGTGCTACGAGCTGCTTCCGCACGGGTATTCTCCTCTTCTGTGAGCTCTGTAGGACCCCAAAATTCTATCTGTCAGTCTATTTAAGTCATGACGGGCCTCACTTCCATCGCGTGTACGCTCCCCGCTGATTGCTTTCACCTTGCGTTAAACGACCACCTTCAGCACTTCAAAAGCGACTCAGATGTCTCCAACCCAAATCAGCACTGCAATATCTAGCTCTGTTCTACAAAGTTATGCGATCCAAAAGACTGGAGCCGAGACCCCAACCGCGGCGTGCAATACAATTGCCCCAGGTCGGTCTTGGGCGACTTGGGGTCGAAGCCTACAGACCCCACTCACTAAACGCGTCTCAGAATCTCTTACACAACCCACGTTTTGGGGCAGTTCCATGCCCCCTTCGAGTCTCTCACCGTCATCGACGTCCCCAATCGAAACAGGCAACAAATTCATCCTCAGTCTCGGGGCAACAGGCCTGCGCGGCACCGCAGCAGGATTGGCGATCGGATTTCTCGCAGCCTCCGTGGCATGTTTTCTAGGCCTCGTCCTGACTGTAACTTTGGTGAAATGTGGGATCTTGAACCGCCGTTCTGGAGCAGTACGCGTCTTTGCCACTGCTTACGATCCGTTGTCGAGGCGGAGCCTGTTCCGTTGATTGATAGGAATGAAACTTGGCGTATTTTCACAATTTTTTCACAAATGAGTGAACAAACTCGATCGGTGGCTTGAAGCGACGTAGCCGTCCACGCACAATATCAAAACGGGACTCCTGGCTCCTCAAGCTTAATATCGGACAGTAAGAGGGCGTATCTGGAGCTGACGCATTCCGCATGCGCGCCAAGTTGCTCAACGCGATTGTATTCCGGATTCTAACTCACGAGCAAGTCCTGTTTCCGGTGATCGGTGCTTGTTTGGGACCGATGAACCGACCACAATGTGCATGGGAAAGCTCGTCTCATGCACTCCTGGATATTCTTCTGTGCCTGACACTCAGCCATCGGAGCTGAATTGGATAATCCAGTCATCCAAGCATCTGTCTGTGTTGAGATGATGGCGCATCAATGTGTGGGCGTTCAGTGCCATCACGTGTCGGGGAGCGATCGGACTGAGCAGTAGTAAAGTTTTCCGATCGCTTTTCCCTCCCTCAGTCTTACACTGATCTTCGTGTGACTGAGGGTGGGTTTTCTATTTACTCACATACTTCCTGTGTACTTACCATTCCTTGTAGACTTACTACGTACGCGTCGTCTACAGGTATAGAAAGAGTCTTACACTGATCTTCGTGTGACTGAGGACTTACTACGTACGCGTCGTCTACAGATTCGCAGTCAGACGCCGACTTCAAAAGCAGTCCAAAAATCAGTGCATCGAACGAGTCCCCGCAGACGAGACGCCATGGCAAACAATCTACCGAATACCCCGATCCTCCCAGACGACCTGAAGCTGGCCGTAGACGGATCGAATTGGTCGAGCTGGAAGGAATCCATGATTAGCATGGTCCGAGGACGCGGACTAGACGGATACCTGTACGGAACAATCACACAGCAGTCTGGGGGATTTGTCCCTCCCTTGACCGGTTACACTCTCCTCAACTCTTCTATGCCTTCACAAGACGAATTCTTGATGCGTGATGGATGGACAGCCGCAACGCTCTACCAAAACATCAAGGACCCGCGGTCCCACGACTTGACTGGATCGGATAGTGCCCACCACATATGGACGACGTTGGTCACGAAGTTCAGCCGGAGCACGGATCTACTCATTGGCATCAAGGTCGAACGCCTGCGCAGTCTTGAGCTCAAAGACCCACGGAACTTGATGAACCACATTGACGAACTCGTGAAGCGCCGGGCCGATGTCCATGAAGTGGGGGGCAGCATCCCTGATCCGCTGATGTGCACCATCGTGCTCAACTCACTACCGAAAGAGGAATTCGGATCAGCCCTAATAACTCTTCAAGTGTACAAGGTGGTCGCGCACCTCGTCCAACATCTTCGGGAGTGGTGGGATCTGGTGTGGAAGAAGCGGGTCGAGGAGGCAGACACCAGCTCCAGTGCGTTGGCCGTGAACGTATCACCAGGATGCAGCAACTGTGGAGCGCGAGGGCATAGTCAGCCAACGTGTTGGGCGCGAGGGGGAGGGAAAGAAGGCCAAGCCCGGGGTGGTGGAAGCCCCCACGTGGAAAAGAACCCAGTCCGACCTTGGTGGCAGCTCATCAGCAATCAAGAGAGACCCGGCGAGCACAAACTCATACCTCCGCAGACGACCGAACGGAGCGGCTGCCAACCGCAGCATTCACCACCCCAATGACAACATACGTCCTCGCCGCCAACACAAATGACTATGGTGTGTCAGTTCACTCGGGTGGCGGGCATCGCGTATCTGACGACCTGTTCAGAACTGGACGAAGGGAGCCAACTCCTACCATTCTGAGCAGGTCGGAGGAGCGTATGTACACCCCTGTAGTCTACACCGTCAATCCAAGCGCCCGAAATGATATCCCCACTTACTTGGACTCCGGTGCATCAGACCATTGTGTGGTACAGCGATCAAGGTTCATCACATACCAAGAGACGCCAGGCATGGAAGGGAGCACGGCGGTACGGTCCAAAGGGAGGTTCCGTATATGCGGCCAAGGAGAGGTTGAGTTCACCATCAAGCTGGTCGATGGGGAAACGCGTCGAATCCGGTTTCACGCAATGCATACCCCTGATTTCGGGATGAACCTCATTTCGTTGTCGACGCTTGACACGCGGGGATTACATGGGACGTGGGGGCATGGGATCATGACCGTTGTCAACAAGGACGGCGTCACGGTTATCAGTGGACGACAGGAGCCAGGCAGCACACACGGACGACGGCTGTATCGAGTCTCAGTGATGAATGAGGAAGCCGGGGAACGACTCACGGTGGCGATTGCCGGTCGAAACCGAAAGCAGCCGACATCCCTCCAGAATTGGCACCGGCGGTTGGGGCATGCAGACGTGAAAGCAATCGAAACAATGGATACAAAAAGTCTTGTCGATGGGCTTGACATCGTGAGCCGGGACATGCGGGGAATGTGCCGCGACTGTATCCTGGGGAAACATGACCGCATGCCGTTTGACGACGAGGTTGTGCACGAAAACTTACCTCTCGAGAGAGTACATCTGGACCTGTGGGGCCCAGCAAGAACTGCAAGTCATGGTGGAGCCGTGTACATGCTGCTGATATCCGATGGGGGTTCAGGGATGAAGTTCCCGGTCTTCCTCAAAGACAAACGAAAGGAGACAGTCTTGGCGGCATTCTCGACGTGGCTGGTCAGCGCCGAAGTCCAGACGGATCGACGCCTTAAAGTGCTGAGGGTAGACCTTGGCAGCGAGTTTGACAATGAAGCCTTTAAAACGTTTTGCCAAAACCGTGGCGTCGATATCGAACGGGTTCCCAAAGCATCGTCATCAGCGCATGGACATGCCGAACGAGGAAATCGTACCGTGATTGCGGGGGCACGAACCCAGTTGATCGAGTCAGGGCTGGACACCAGGTTCTGGGCCGAGGCAACGGCGGCACATTGTTACGTGCGCAGCTTCATCCCTTCGAGAAGGCACCGCGACTCTGTTCCATGGGTCAGATGGTTTGGGAAGAGAAACGCTGAAGGAACGTTGATCAAACCAAATATATCGCATCTGCGGGTCTGGGGTAGCAGTTGCTGGGTGAAAGATCTTGACGACCTGGAAGGGAAGTTAGGAAGGCAGAGCTGGGAAGGCCGAATGGTCGGGTACATGGGACGACGAGGATATCGTGTATACGACCCGCGCCGCCGCAAGGTGTACGAAGTGCGGAATGTCATATTTGAGGAAGGGGATGCACATCGTACAAGGCAGGCGCCGGAATCAGAAGACGGAGGCGACACGACACCCGATAATCGGCCCGCTCTCGAAACATCAGCCGAAGCGCAACCAGAGAACAGAGCACGCACGGCCGAAGACCCAGAGCCAAGAAACCCGGTTACCAGCGAGGAAATCAGCAACAACGCTGAAGGGCAGGATGGAGAGAGCACGGAAACACCGCCCAGACCTCGGCGTAGCGCAAGAGTGCCCAAGCCAAGCCGGCGGTTGCTGGAAAGCGAGATGACTGGACGAGAGGAGGAGGAAGCGCGGGTAGCCGGCGAGGACTGGGCGCGTGACTCTGACCATCCCACAGTGAACTACGTGGACATGAACGCAGACTCGTTTCGAATCGAGGACATTGCAAGCCCCCTCGTGTTGGCCAGCGTAACAAAAGGGCGGTTGCCAAGAAGCGGAGTGGAAGCGAGAAAAGACCCCGTGTGGGAAGAACCGATGACTGCGGAAATGAATCAGATGGAAGAGAGAAAGGTGTGGAAACTGACACGGTTACCGCCCGGGGAGAAGGCGATCGATGGCATGTGGGTCTTCGATGTCAAGCTGGACGGGAACGGCGAAATATTGAAACGGAAGGCTCGGTACGTGGCAAGGGGCGACCAGATGGTTGAGGGACGTGACTTTGCGACGAAGTGGGCGATGGTGGCTCGAATGGAGTCCGTTCGGATGGTTTTTGCAGTGGCGACAGTGAAGCGGTTGAGTGTACGGCAATGGGATTTTTCGGGGGCATACCTGAATGGGACCATGGACCGCATGGTTTATATGAAGCAGCCCCGCGGGTTTGAGAAGGAGGGGGAGGAAGAGAAGGTGTGTCTCCTTCTCAGACCCATATATGGTTTGGTGCAGGCGGGCCACATTTGGTACAAGACCCTGGCAGCAGGATACAAGGAGTTGGGGTATAAGGAGAACGCGGCGGATCCATGCGTCAGGACAAGAGATGAGCGAGGGGAATATACGATCACAAGCACTCACACAGACGACGTAATTGGGGCCTCATCGACGGTGTCAGAAAGCAAGCGGGTAGTGGCGGAATTCGCGGACATGTGGGATCTGAAGGAAGTGGACGTCAACTTATTGCTGGGACTGACGATCGAGAAGCTAGACGACGGGTCGACTTCGATTGGCCAACGCCAATACTTCGAGAAAGTGTTGGACCACTTCGGCTTTGCGGACCTACCTCCCTTATCAACTCCACTACCTCCAGGATACCAGATACGAGCATCCGAATCGCCACTCAGCACCGATGACGCAGCGTTCATGGCAGACAAGCCATTCCGCCAGATCCTGGGATCAATCGTATGGGGGAGCAGCGGGACAAGACCGGACCTGGCGTACGCGTGCTGTGCTCTTGGACACGTCCAGGCCAACCCGAATCCCGAGCACTGGAGGGTCCTCATTGGAGTACTGCGATACATCAGGGGTACGCTGGACTACGGAATCAAATACTCACCGAACGCTCAGAGACCCGGGTCAAGTCTCAAGCCAGTCGGTTACGTGGATTCGGATTGGGCGGGGTGCGTCGACACGCGGCGATCAACGGCCGGGTACATCTTCTTCATGGCTGGTGCACCAGTTGCGTGGTCGTCGAAGCGACAGGCGGTCGTTGCCCTGTCGTCAACGGAAGCCGAATACATATCCCTTGCTCGAGCCTCCCAACAGGCCATGTGGATGAAGAACTGGCTGTCGGAAGTATTCCTCCCACAGGAAATGCCGATCGAGCTCCACGGCGACAACCTCGGGTCGATCAGCCTCACGGAAACCACCAAGGGGCACGGCCTTACGAAACACATCGACACGCGCTTTCATTACATCCGCGACCGTGTGAGCCAGGGGGAGATATCCGTGATGTCAGTACCGGGGAAAGAGAACATGGCCGACATCATGACGAAAGCGCTTGGACGTAAGGATCACGAACGCATCTGCCATGCACTCGGGCTCGATTGGAGACGGGGGTCTGGGAACTGAACGCCAGGGGGAGTGTTGAGATGATGGCGCATCAATGTGTGGGCGTTCAGTGCCATCACGTGTCGGGGAGCGATCGGACTGAGCAGTAGTAAAGTTTTCCGATCGCTTTTCCCTCCCTCAGTCTTACACTGATCTTCGTGTGACTGAGGACTTACTACGTACGCGTCGTCTACAGTCTGACTCAGCAAAACGCTGGTGCCGTTGAGGAATCTGGAATTCGGTGTGGGAGTCAACTCTGTTATGATCTCGGAACAAGTTGAAACAGTCATCACTCCGGCGCTTCTCACCAGCGGGATCGCAAGTCGATGATCGTGACTTAAAGCTGTGGTTGGAAACTTGCATGGGCCTCAGCCTCCCTCCCCCGTATGTGGCCTGGGATGCTCTTCTCTTACAACGAGGCCGCTGTTGCGGCGGCCATCGTCAACCAGCATTTCTACGATCTGAATCTGGGTCCCTTCTTGATCGGGTGAAACGAGTCGCAGCAATTCATGGATCCCCTCACTGAGTGAGAAGCGCAGGTTGTGGATGCAGACTTTCATGATGGGCTGTCTCTGTGCGTTTCTTTGCCAGGGCCATACACAGACGTATCGGCATTAGCTTTGTGGTCCGAGATTTGTGCTGTTCACTAATGCTGAGCCACCAGGCATACAAATGTGGAAATATGTCAAAGAATACCACCAGGATCTCGTGATTATCCGAAGCTTCGTATCGGCCTTGTTTCTGACGAGTAGCTTTCAGTTTGGAGCGGATTTGTACGTTTCCAACTACTTTCTGCTCAGTTTTTGTTCACCGATTTATCCATGGCATTTCAGCCAATTGATGTACAACACTTTTGTCGTAAACTACGGGAACGTTCTAGCTTGGAATGCGTGTCACTGGACATTCTTGTCAGTCGTATCTATTTACCATTTCTTATTTTTTTCCGGACTTGGTACAGATACTTGTTGATGTCGAGCCCGCGTCGCACCCGGATGACGGTCAGAGACAGGGAGAAAACTCCCCAATCAATATACAAACAAATGTACAAACATTGATGGACCCTATCTTAACAGTCCCCCTCGTGCGAATGACCGCTGCGTCTGAGCACGACGCACAAATCTGAAATTTCGTCACTTGAATTCCAGGCCTTGGCCTTTCGCGTATCCATATCGCGCCAGCCGCCCGTAAGCCATGACGGTGATAGGCTGGCTACCAGACGCGCTCTGCACCAGCTCTGTAAGGGCGTATTTTTGCGCTTTTTACAGAGTTTACTCTTGAACCATTCGGTGTATCGTGTCGCGGTTGACAGTGTTGCGCTCAGTAGGACTTAAGGGTCTACTGCCCAGTCGACGACTGTGGATAGTGTCGACGATAGCAAGGCAGTCAGACCACTACTGTGGAACTGGTCTTATGGGTCTACACCAGGCTCAGGGCCATTAGTGACGAACGCTTGGACCGCGACCATTCCCCAAAAAGGGATCTGTCGTTGCGTCGACTTCTCGAAAAGGGTCATTCTCTGCAGATGGGAACTTGGGCTGAAGGGCTGAGCAATGCGCGACGTTCTCAATAATAGAACTACTACTGGACAGGACTTGGCGTTACGAGACTTAAACCATCTTGTCGCGGCAACTCCCGGTTTTGAGTTGGACGTTTCCTCAGATCATGCCACGACGACGACTTGTCACATGTCAGGATCCATTCGATCACGGGACATTGTGGACGCGTCGCGGTGACACTTCCAAGTGTCACGGCGAGTCGCGTCCATACCCAAACACACTAGAAACCGACACGGCTAGATCCGTGAACCGAACCATGTGGGGGACGACTGGTGTGCCTAGGGCCATACGGCTTCTTGGGGCGCCCACGTTGGTCTCACTTGCCAAGACATACCCGTTGGCCAATCCAACACGTCGTATTCCAAAAGTATGACGCGGTGGGTTGACCCACATCAAAAGTATCATATGGACAATGGGGCGGGGTCCTGATCACTCAGGACCTGTCCGATCGTTCAACTTTTCAATTACCCTAAAAGGCAACCGATCTTAGATAGCGTAGCTACTATGCAGTTGTACAGGACTTTACTAAGCAGCGTCGTAGACAGTATAAGTAGCACGTCGTTTCTTTGTATTGGGGAGCTTTCCCCGGACTGTGAATCACTATCATTTCAGATTGTTTTGTACAATTTGCGTGCCGCGTGATTCCACCCTAAGAAGTTCTGCCATCCCTGCCCGGTCGCGACGAGTTGCTCCCTGAGCACTTGTAGCTACTGTGATTTGAGTTTTGAGTTTTGAGACATCAGAAAGTCGGATTCGCCGCATCTGGTTTAGTCGCGGCATTTAGTGTCGTTGCCTTCGGGCTTTGTTGAGATCGTTCCACACCTCTAGCTTGGCAGTGCGTCGACTAGTTGTGCTCGGGTTGTTTTGGTCAGTTGGCAGTGCGTCGACTTGAGAACTTTGGTTCCACACTTCTTGCTTGGCAGTGCGTCGACAAGTTGTGCTCGGGTTTTGGACATTGGATATTGGCTGTTAGTTGGCAGTGCGTCGACGCGGCATTTTGGTTTACTAGTTGGCAGTGCGTCGACTCAGTACTTTTGGTTTACTAGTTGGCAGTGCGTCGACTCAGTACTTTTGGTTTTGTCAGTTGGCAGTGCGTCGACTTGACATTTTGGTTTACTAGTTGGCAGTGCGTCGACTCAGTATATTGGTTGTATCGGTTGGCAGTGCGTCGACTTGATATTTGAGCTTCGCGTCGCCATCTGGACGCTGTCGCTACAAGGGATCTTAATACTTCGTATTAAGCTCTGACTTGTTATATTGTTGTTTGTGGATTGGATTAGTGTTGGTTGTGCTCGTATAGAAGATATTGGTTGAGACACCATTGTTTGCTATATATAAATTCTTGTCGTCGACTTCGTCTCCGCGACTATTGGATCTGCGTCTATTGAGAGTTGTGATACCGGTGCTCTGTCCACCCCGAAGCCCTCGCATCTTTCACACACTGAGAAGCTGATTACGAGGAGTGTGAACGTGTTTTATATTTGGGTTTACTTTCATAGTAGATTCACTTGTGAGCACGCCCTCAGCATTTCAACGGTTTCCCTTTTTGAGTGCCCACTCCCACATGCGTGATTCCGCCTTGCCGCTCCGTCGAGTCCTCCGAATCGCCTTCGTCCGGCTGAGCTTGGTCCGACCCGTGTTGCAGCGCCCTGCGTTCGGCTCTGTGATCCAGCCGCCCGCCGTACCTGTCGCACTCTGTGACTCTCCACATCTCATGTGTCTGCTCCCTCCCCCTGCTCCTGCGTGACGATTCACATCGGGAGCATCTCCAATGCTACGTCCAACTCTCGCACCGTCCGCACATCCTCGGGCCCGCCCTGGTCCCTCGTCACCCCTATAGTCCCCCTCACCCAGACGACCGTTGCGTCTCTGGGTGACATCTGTCGACATTGGGTGAGGAGTTGTATGTGTGGGAGGGAGGGAGGGGGGGAATCGATATCTTGTGCCTGCAGCGAGTGCCTGTATTCGGGAAATGGAGTGGGGGATTTTTGAAAGGCAAGATGTGGTTGATTAGGGTGATATTGACAGGGAGTCGTCCTGCCCAACGCCGGGCCTGTGTTCGCGAGCGGGCCGCGACGATGTCAGAGCGGGTGAATCCCGCAAGTCTGACTGCGAATCTGTTGATGTCGAGCCCGCGTCGCACCCGGATGACGGTCAGAGACAGGGAGAAAACTCCCCAATCAATATACAAACAAATGTACAAACATTGATGGACCCTATCTTAACAATACTAACTGCATGGACGATCTGTGGCTCTCAACGTCTGGAGGACGATCGAGATAACCTATTGTAGGCCACGATCGCAGCCCTGGTTCGAGCCTTTTTTATTCACCGGTGTTGGACCGTCACCCATTCTATTTCGATCCTCTCGGCCGCCATTTTAGGCATGCTGGTTGCTCTGAGCGCCGGGATTGCCACGGCCATTGGGCTCATTAAACGTCCGTACGACACTTGAGCCTTCTTTCACCAAAAAGATCCTGTTTAATCTCGCGACTGTACTTTTACAGCGAGACTCCTCATGTTGCGCAAGTCACAACATGGCTGATCGCGTGGGGATAACTGTCTCAGTTGGGTCAGTTCTCACTCATGTAGCTGCTAGATCTGCGGGTAAATGTCAAGGAAACTAACTCTTGGTCCAATCTGATTTTCAGTAGCTACGGAGATGATCATCTCCATTGTCCTGGTGCACGCTTGATCTTGTATCTACTCCGTCCCAGATAACTCACTTACGGAGAATACGAACTGGATTTAAGCAGTGAGTGATAATATGGATAGCTTTCCGATCGGTGCCTGACGCGAGAGACCAGCACGGAAAAGGTTTCCTCCGCCAATCCAACTATCGAACCGGTTCCTCGCCCTTCATCTCTAGACTTTGTCTAGGATCGTGCGCTTGACCTTCGAAGCCGCTGCTCTGACATCTTTCGTCGCGCTGTTCGATCTCATTCTATATCTCGCCATGGATGGGAAAGCAGAATTCCATCCATTTCGCTATTGAGTCCTGTCAAAATTGCCCTCCCGCATTGCCTTACCCGATCAATTCCGCACCCACACAGTCCAACTCATTGTGAGGAAAACCTACAATCATTCAGTAACGGTCACACTGCTTGCTCGTTCGGTGTGTCTCTCTCACTGCCTGCTTCGAATTTCGAAACCGACGCACTCAATTCCAGAGGATTCGCCAGGACTTTGAACCTCACAGCAACGATCCTGTCGGCATTTCGGACACCGTCAGTCGATGCGTCTCGAAACGGCAAGCGCTGATGAATCTTCAAATTAGCCTTTAGTCAGGAGCAGACCGCGCAATCTCGGTTCAAGTTGAGTGATCGTCACCAGAGTGAGCTCTATCGAGGTATATGTTCAGATTACTAAAGCTAAGCACAAGACACAAATTCGAGTGACTGACGAACATCCCGCTCCTTTTCACATCGAGCCAATACCTCATCGGGATCCCGAAGGCACGATTACCAGTTCGGCGACTAGGGATTCCGAGATGGTTTAACTAGGGGCATCACTTTGCTTATGTATGTATCATAAGGATTGAGCGACATCTAGTGATGCTTGCGAGGAGCTACGAGACTACGTTAGTTTATAAATGATGACGTCTCGGAAGTAGAAGCACTTTTAAACGTCGCGGTCATGCTGAGTACGCGAGAAGTAAAATACACTTCTTTAGAATCGGTTCCCATCTGTAAGCCGTTAGCTTAGAGATGAAGACCCGAGGAACAGGACAAGATATTGATATTGGGGGACATGTTGTGCGGTCATCATAGTCGCTTATGACTGATCAAGATTGCCAGTCAGGCTCAGGACCAGGATCTGTGCTTGTCTGCTATGTATGTTGGAGGATCAGAGTGATGAATTGAAATACAGAAGCTGAAGAGCTTGTCTCTGTCCTTCGCACACAGTGTCTCGCGTAGAGGACATGTGCTGTTCTGAGCCAAATCGGATTCGACTGGAACTCAAGTTTTCACCAATCCTGGATCTTTGATCTCGAAACCTGAGTACCTTCGATAGGAATCGGCGATCGTGAGCCATATGATTTCAGAAGAGCAATGCCATCCGACAAATTAGTGAACATTGATCCAGAATCTGTATTTTATTACATTCTTCTAATCACTTGTTGAAGGCCTTTAATTCAAGGCAAGATCACTCCTTGAGAAGTAACGAAGCCCATATCCCGACAAACACAATCGCCAAAAGAACAATATAGACCAAGAAACCACCTATCAGGTTCTTCTCAATGGACACAGCGAACAGCGCAGACGCTAGAAACGGCGCTAAAGCGCGCAATATTGTTGAGACCATCTGGGCAATAGAATTGGTCACGGAAATCGCCGAAGCCCGGGGTACACTTCGCACGATGAACAGCTGAATTGAGGCTACATCCGTAGTGTTGAGCAGGAGACCTGAGGTATATCAAAATGACTCACCATATGAAACGCCGACGAGCAAGTTAGCCGTCAGCTGAGCGACCACAACCAGCCATACAAAGAGATCGACGCGACCGGCTCTCATTGCCAAAAAAGAAAGAAGAGGGTACGAGCCAATGCACACTGCGAAATTGGCAAAAGAGCAGATATAAGTAGTCCGAGGTCCGAGGTACTTGATCAAGCGCGCTGCGAGGAAAATCTGGAACAAGGTGTTGAGGAAACCCCAGATTCCACGAATCACCCCGATTTGGTAGGGGCTGAAGCCGAGCCCGCCGTTCTCGATGCTGGTGGAATACATCAGAGGGAATAGAACTTTTCAAACGTGAGAGTCGTCATAAGTGAGCGGTATGCCAGTTCTGACCTTGATAAGAGGTCTGGACGAAGCAGAAGGACCCGTAGTTTACTAATGGAACGACCAAATCGGGTACGAGCAGCTCCCAGAGTGAGGGGGGCTCATCATTTTTTGCTACAGCTGACGACTCAACCGACGAGTATGACGCAGCGGTAGCTGCGGGCGATTCATGAGCGATCAGTGGTTCTGTCTCGTCTTGGGTCTGTTCTCGATTCTGGTTCGAGCGAGCCCGAATCGTGGGCAAGGTCTGATGATCATTAGGTCCGGAATAGGAATAGGAAAACCACCGATAATTTCTCACCTCTTTGAGACCGAAGAACCCGAGGACAAATATCGACAGCGATGCAAGCCCAACGACAGCACAAGGAAGGAGATATGGATAGTCTCGAAAGGTCTTGAGCTTCCCAAAGCTTTCCGGAAAGCGGATCGCTGGTTCTGACAGGAGGCCACCGATGATAGGCCTGTTCGACAAATATGAGGCAGTGAAGCGTGGTGGCTGGAGAAGAGTACCCAAGAGTGGTGCCTGACGTCCAGGCAACCGGCACAAAAGACATGGCCTGGGCCAGGTTCGTCTTGTCGGAGATCTGATACAAAAACGATCAATGTCGTGCGGCAACTAGAATGTTGATAGAAGTGCACCTCTACCAATACGGTCTTAACAACGCCTGTTGTTGATGTTAGTCGGTCCCATGATGGGATTTTGGACTTGCCAATGTTTCCGTTGAACACGCCCTGGGCACTGCGCCAGAACAGTAGCCCCAAGAACGTCTTTGACCAGCCGAACCCGACAAGCGACACGGCCAGCCCCAAGGGTCCGAGAAGGAGCACCGGTCGTCGCCCGAAGCTGTCCGCCGCTCTGCCCCAGATGTATACCGAGAAGAACTCGGCGACGAAGAACACTGATTCCTGGAAGTAACGCGTAAGGTTCTCACTTGCTGACCTGGATGACGTGTTGGTAAACTCACGAGAACGCCAGCCCAGTATCCCGTCTTCCGCTCGTCTCCGCCTGTGATGCCTGTGTCCTGTACGAATTGAGGTACAAATGGGAAGATGACCGTCCTGAGATCGGCGGAATGAGGTCCCATCTTGTACATACTCTGTGTGTATGACAGCGTCAGAATTGTACTCACGCAGAGAGACCCTCGGCGGCTTGAATGAGGATCGAGATGGCGAGCTGGAGTGGAGGAAGGGGATTCGGGTGCTCATACTCGGGAGTCATTTTGGTGGCTAGTAGAGGGAGTCAGGATTCTTAATTTACACATATCTCGAGAAGGCCGTGTGAGTCACTGACTTTGACTGATAGGGACTGCCCGATTTGGCATCACAATCAAACCCCGCGTCTTCAAGCTCACGAGTATCACATTACATCGCACGCTGCATCTTCGAGGAGCACCGCTACAATCGCTTGCGTCACGCATTTGGTAAATGCAAGATGGCAAGACGCGCATCCTTCCGAGTCCTACAGATAACATAGATGCAGATTAGACTCTGGTGCGCATTGAAGAGAGAACGCTTTCGTTTCGTTTTTGGAGTGAATCCAACGAGGTACCTTGAGACCACTCGGGAGCAGCGCAGAAGAGAGTTGGTTGGCAACGAATGGGGTCCTAGTGATGAAAACTGTACGTTTGAGCTGCTCCTCGCGTCGCTGTGCTGAAGGGGTGCAATCAGTTACTGTTTATCCACTCAACGCCTCACGCCAGTCGATACACGGAAAGTCCTAAATCGGCCTATGACATATTTTGCGGCTTCGAAACATTTCATTCTTTCTGTTGTGCTGGCAGAGAGACTATGTTAGCCGCTGATCTCCACTGTTACGGACTCGTGACACCATGTCACGCCTCCCCTTGTACAGTATCTACATTGGACACCCTCCCCGCGCTTCGACAAGTACTTCGCGGCAACCCACGAACACCCTTAGGTTGATGGATCCGGGGGAGTGGATGAAAGTGGGAATGCACAGAGGAGCCGGAGCTACAACGTGCGTGCGCAGACCAATGTCGTATCACGGCCCCCAATGAACGTTGAGGACTGCAGCGACTCGGGCGACTTGGCCGAAACTTGGGAGCCGCACCTGGCCGTCTTCAGCTACGAGACGTGATCAATCTGCTGCTGTTTACTGCAGGTGTGGAGAGCGAGATACCAGGGGACGTAGAGGGGAGGGGAAGCAGGTTGGGCTCTGCAGACGATTTGGGTGGAACGGCCTTGGGAGGAGCTTGAGCCTGTGGCCTTGGGAGACGGTCGGTCTCCATTGTCCTCCCTTCCTAGCGCGTCAGGCGTCTGAGCACCGGACAGGCACGCTCGATTCCTTCCATGTGTGATTTCGAATACACCGTTATGTGTGTTGGTCAACTCGTCACCTGCGCTGAGGCAAGGGTGCATAGCTCCCTGTGCGGGAATAACCTAAACACTGGCCTTCTGTGTGCGCTGAGGCACGCTCGACCCTTCGACGTCTGTCGCCCTGCTCGTCGAGACAATGTGTCCCCGGCCCCCGAAGCAAGGGCACCTCTTCTCCATCCCAATGGCGCCCATGCTTTGCGGGACGTCCGCCGGTCGGGCGGGTGCTCAGAATACGCTTGGAGTCTTGCATAATCTTGCGCTGATTGTAACGGTCGGCGGCTCTGTAAATCGCGACTCGTGGACTCTGATGCGTAAGGTCTAGTATCTAGTAGCACGTTCAAATTCAAGCATAGTATCTTTTGGAGACGCTGAGCTGAGCTCCTATCAGAAAACCGCAGAAATATCGTGACATGTGATGTCACTCCGATCAGTTTTCTATCTCATTCGTGGTCGCAGCAGCAATGCGCTCCGCCAAGAGAGCCTCATATCCCACTGTGCACATCAAGCAGCGGCACATCGGGAGTATCGACACGTCGTGACAAGGCGGGCTTCGGATCCTTCCCCTCCCCAGCGTCGACCTCTTGAGCAGTCATCCGGGGCTCTCCGGCTGAAAGGATCGCGAGCAGAAGGGTGGTGGTGGGCCTGGTCTCTTACCGGTTCACACTCACGGACAGAACGTTGGTTAGCCGCTTGAAGGTCGATGGTCGCGCCGTCCCATCGTGCCCTATTCGACGTGTATTCTGATATACCAGCACAAGTTCGCTTTGCACTGAAGGCGTGTTCGAATACATGGTCCAGATTCATGCGAGTGACCGATGTGGCCAGGGACATGCAATTGAGGCATCCCCTATTGTTGGGAATTGCTGGGACGAGGACTGAGGTTCTGTGGGTGCGCCCCATGCATCTGCTTCTGGTCACGCCCATGCTCGGGTTTCCAGGTGGGTCCATCCTCGTCTCGAGTCTATCTTCTTTCTCTGAAGCAAAGCGCTTTTTGCAGCACAGAATACACGTCTACTGTAGCAACTGTGCCAATTCCGGTGTGCCCAATATCCCGTAGTGCCCAACTCCCTCCACGAGATAAACCTCGACCTCCTTCGAGCAGTGTCTCTTAACCCCGAGCGCCTCCCAGTCCCCACCGCCTCTCAGCCTTGGAATCGTGGTGCCGATGCCAAATTCTGCAACAACCAACGCATATGGGGCCTCGACCGAGGACAGCCATCGATCCACGGCAGCTGTGTATTCGGTCCAGGACTGTGATCCCAGGCCCCTAAGGAACTCCAGAATCGGGCGAATGAGGGCCCTGGTCATTTCCACCATCTGCAAATCGTCTTGCGAGTCCTGCACTCCGGCCGCGGCGGCTTTGAGCTGCTCTGCGCGACCGGAGGATCGATAAAGCGGATCCGCACTGAACATCGCGATCATGGATTGGATAGGGTAATCGAAGAACTGCGACAGCTCCCTGTGAACGTCGGGAATGGCTTCGAGTTCGGGGTGCAGCCAGAGCGTCGGGAAGTGGTCGATGAAAGCGAGCTGCTCGACTCGCTCCCCGTCCGCCTCCAGGATCCGAGCTACTTCTATGCAGACGAAGGACGACTGCGAGTACGCTGCGATGCGGTATGGGCCGTGTGCCTGTTTCGCTTGCATCTGGGACACAAAGTAACGCGCGAGGCCCGGCAATGTAGCGAGTGGCGTCGCCGGTGTAATCTGCACCCCGTATAGAGTGCGCGACTTGAAATGCGTCCGCAAGGCAAGCAGCGGAGCCAAGCTCCCCTCCCCACCGCAGAACACAAACAGAGGCGTAGCAGCGCCAGCACCAGAGACCAGCTCCACGATCGACTCGCTTTGCGCCGGTGCCACCCTCGAAAGATCCGCCCACGATACATTGCCGAGCAGCTGGAGCTGGGTCACGGCAACATATGGCTTCAATGCCGTAGCCAGCCTTGCTGCGCTCAGCGAGTCGAGGCCGTAAGAGATGAGAGGGATCGAGGGATCGAAGTCGCGCGCGTCAACACCTAGGATATCCAGCAACACTGTCAAGCCCGACGCCGAATCAGGGTTCGGGGAGACGACTGCGAGTTTCGGAGCTATCTTGTCCCAGGAGATGCCTCCAAGCAGCTCGAGCTGAGATACAGTGCAGAAGGGCTGTAGCAACGTCGACAGTCGTGTCGCGGTCAGCGAGTCAAGCCCATACGATATCAGTGGGCGCTCCCAGTCGAAATCGGACGCGTCGACTTCCAGGATGGCCAGCACTCGAGGAAGAATCTGGTCGTCCGGTGATGACTTGCCCATAACGATTCTCTCTGAGATTAGGTGGCTGAAGGTCGGAGAGAGTGGGAATCCACCATTCAGAGTCTTCCAATCGAGATCAGGGATGTATTGGCTGAACGTATGACCAGATGCGATCTTGGACAGCCCGTCGCGCAAGATGGCCCAGAGTTCTAGAAGCAGCAGATAAAGTATCAGACGAGAAATGGTGGTGGAACGCACCCTGAGTCGCGAGGGAAGTGGCAAAGATACCGGAATCCGACTTGACGATGTGGTCTGAGCTGGCACGGTCCTATGCTGGTTCATCCTTGGCACAAGAACAGACGGAGAGTGAAGCTTACCAAGAACCCCGCGTTCAATATCCCGGGTACGATGAGAGAAAAGGCATTCGAATACCCAGCTAACGCCCCATTCAGCTCCGAACAGGCACTTGCGAGAGTCAGTCACCGCAAAACAACGACATTGATCAAAGCTCACCTCGCGTAGTTGGTTTGCCCGGCATACCCCACCAGTCCCGACAGCGACGAGAACGCAACGTAGAAATCGAGCGACGCCATATCCACCACCGACGCGAACGCGGTGAACACCCCGAGCTTGGACGCACGCACAACCTCGAATGAAGCAGACGTCTGCGCCCCAAACAACGCATCCGACAGGACGAGTGTCAGCTGGAAGCAACCACCCAACGGACGACAAAGGGTGCGAAGCACATCTGTTGTGGCTGACACGCTCGTTGCATCGCAGGCTTCGAGCCGCAGCTCGAGGTCCGAGCGGCTACGCAGATAATCTATCTTGACGATGGATTCGGCGTCCCTAACCCTGTCCAGAGACTCGATACCCCGCCGAGACGTGAGCACGATGTGTCGGGCACCATTTTGATACATCCAGACGGCCAGATCGACACCAAGACCGCCGATGCCTCCAAGAATGATGTACGCTTTGTTGTTGGAGAAGAGAGGGGTCAAAGAGAGAGTGGAGACGGGCAATGTCATCGGGTCCGAGCCCGAGGCAACTGTGTCCCAGGCGGCCTGCAGCGCATGAGCCAGGACGGACGAGGAATCGTCGCGCAGGGACTGGCGAAGGAGGGTGTCTACGACCACGAGTCGGCCGGAGCGTGGGACCCATTGACAGATGTTCGGGTGCGCAACGAGGGTGTCCGAATCAGTGAGAAGGAGTCGAACGCTGTGGCGCTCGTCTGACGGATCGAGCACTTGGCATTCCGTGAGACAGGCGAGGGAGCGTGATATGCGGGAGGCACCACGCTTTGTCGAGAGGAGGGCGACATATATGTCCTTGTTTGTGGACCGCACTATGTTTTGCTCGATCAATGAGAACACCGCCGCATCCAGTAACGTCTGAACTGCTTCGATAGCTGGCAGATGATGAATTGGCACAGCGGAACAGACTGGAATGTGGGCCAACCGGCCCGGATTTTTCTCCGTCAAAGCAAGAATCAAGGATCCGGCCGGGAAGCGTGCGCTCTGGCTCATTGCAACACGACCAGCAATGATATACAGCCCAGATCCAACACTCTCCGTGAGAAAAGACTCGACGAGGAGGTCGTCTTCTCCACGAAGATGCATGTGCTCGGTCTCTGCCTCCCTGCTCGAATCTGGCGCCGAAGCCAGGGCGAGCCTAGAGACGCGTGGAACTCCGCCATCCTTCGGCCAGTAAACGACCGATTCACCGCGAGTGTATACTCCAATATGTTGCGAGATCAGATGAGACGCGTCCGCGATTTGATCATCGGATGCGAAGATGGCTAGGCGGATGCTCCAGCGAGGAAACTCGCGTGAGAGCGATGCGCAGAAGCCCAGAGCGCTGTCCGCGTCCCTACCCTCAAGCGATATGACGTATACATCGAGCCCCTCCTCGAATTGATCGAGCGCCTCGATGGCGCGCTGTAAGGCCATCTCCCCGCCGACCGAATAGCGAAAGATACGGCGGGAGTCTGCCACCGGAGGGTACCCATTCGCCATCACGTCACCGCCTGAGTTTTCTTTCTGCGCACTGAATAGAAAATTGTGTCCCTCTCCAGCCTCCTGCTGACAGACACGTCCGTTGACGAAGCCCAAAGACGAGAGCTGGTGCATCCAAGCGTCAGGAGGCATGGTGCAGTGCTCGCGCCCATCCTCGAACCCAAACCACTCCGGAAACGAACCGAACACACAGTCGAACCACACACTGCCTGGCTTGGAGCCCCATTTACGCCCGTCGAGCTCTACAACGAACAGGTACCCGCCCGGGATGAGCAGCGTCTTGAGGGAGGCGAGACAGGATTTGGTGTCCGGCACCGCGTGCAGTACATGGAGAGCGAGAATGATGTCGAATGACTGCGGCGCAAAGCCCTGAGAGGAAGGATCTCGTCGAAGGTCGTATGCACGAGGGACCATTTTATCGTAAGCGATGCTTTGAGCAAGTTCTGAGGCCAACGCCTGGTGAATCTGTTAGGCAAACATCACAAACAACACTGTCAGGGGCTTACAACAGATGCGTCCGTTACTGTATATTCCACGAGAACATCAGTCGCTTTCCCTAGCTCATCGACGATATACCGAGTCAACAATCCTGTCCCTAGGAGGAAAATGTGAGCCACCTATCACCCACTGCACAGTCCGAGTCACCTGCTCCGACTTCAAGAATGTTTATCGAGCGTCGTCCCTGCTGCCGAATTGCGGATACAATCTCCGAGAATTCCTCGGAAAGCGCCCTGTAGACGTTGTTCGACTGAACTTCCCTGCTGTAGAATCTAGACATCAGGTCGTCCGAGTACAGCTTGTCGATCGCGCGCTATTCGATTGGGGAAACAGTGAGCGAGAGGTGGTGAAAAACAAGACTTGTACAAACCTTGGATGAAGCAAACACCGTGTCATGCACTGAAGCGATCCTAGATGTGACCTCGAAATACGGGTTATATCTCTCGCGCAGGTGCTGGATCGTGTCTTCCGGCACCGCAGATCTGGTGTTACGGGCATGATAGCGCTGGGCGAACGAGAAATAGCGTGCACGAGATGCCTATGCGAGAATTTCATGATTGTTCTTCAAAAGCCCAAGAGGAAACCGGCGCTCACCTCACTGCCAACGACCAGATCCTTGTTCGCCAAGGACTTGTCGAACATTTCTAGCGCTAAATTGTCCATATGGCGATAGAGCGCGACCAGATCTCCTTCATCTGCCTCAATATCTCGGTACACAACGGGCTCATCTCGACCTTTGGACGAGAGCAACGCGATCGGTTGTTGCACCAGATCAAAGCGTCGCGCAACACGTGGAGCGGGGGCTACCAGCCGCTTGACGATCAGATCATCAAACCGGCAAACAACATGTCCGGACGTATCCGAGATAACGACGTCATAGGACTTCCAATCTAGGAATAACATGTTCATCAGCGATTTTGAACCGTGAGAATCAGTCTTTTTCCCGCGTACCTGGTGCCCACGAGCGGCGCTTGATGTGGGAAATCCACGTAGACAGGATATTTGTCTCCATCCCATAGTAAACGAATCGACCAAGCTGGGCGGGGAGGTACAGTGCGCCGCCGTGGTCCAGATGCTCTTTCGAAAGGGCCTGATGCAGCAATATATGGATACATGCATCGAGGAGGATGGGATGTAATCGATACTCATTCGACCTATTCGCGGTCAATATTCTTAATCTTTTGACGAACGTTGCATTTGGCCGTACCAGGGTTCGTCGGCCGAAGGAACTCGAACCTCAAGAATTACTTCCGAGGGTGTGCCATGAGCACGGACCACTCTCTGATACACTGGTCCGAATTGGACATGAGAGGCCACGGACTCATAGAAGCCTTCCAGTCGAATGTCAGTTCCTTTCTCGAAAAAAAGGAGAAAGAACACCCACCAGCCATGCGAATCTTGGGCAGTCGATCCCACACTCGATTCAGATCAGTGACTTGGGGAGGTGCGCGAGGCATCGTGCTGTCCATGAGACCACTGGCATGGACTCTCTGTGTGATGCGGGTTTCTTCTATTCGAGATCGTCTGAGCGCTGAGTCAATGCTTACCGAATCCGATTTCAAGGACCATTGCCGCTCGCAGCGATGGAGCTCCAGAGGGCTCGTCGTTGGCGAAAGCGAATATACCGACGTAAATTCGACATCCCAGATGACGTTCGCCCCCGTCTCCAGTATCTGGGATGCCCTCAGTACGTTTTTTGAGGAAATATGAGCGCCAAACCAGTTCTAGAAACCCGGTCGCAGGAAGGATAGGCTGACCTGATTCACCATATATCAGTATCAATGGTAAAACAATTGAGAGGACCCCGCTGACCGTGAACGACATGCTGAGCGAGAAGTGGGTGTGTCTTCTCGTTGACAACAATGTTAAGCCCCTGGAGTAAGCGACCGTTCAAGCTCACGTGTGCCGTATCACGGGAGGCATGCGCGGTGCCGGGTATCGTCTTCGGGGGAGGTATTGGACGATGGACGAGGGGATGTGCAATCAGTGAGGGTTTATAACTTGATTTGCCATACAGCCCGCTGAAATCGATCTGGTTGACGCCGAGCAGCACGAGGGATGCGAGCGTGTTAGTAAAAGTCGCGTGCTCGGTCGGATTCGATTTCGCTTTGGCCGACGAGCGACGCATCGGGCAAAGAACGAGTGAATCAGAGACGCCGTGAGCGATGATGGAGGAAGCCAGGACGGGATGATTGGAGATCTCGAGAAACACGGGCGGGTTGTCCGCGTGCGAGGTAAGAATGTGTCCGATGGAGGATTCAAAAAGGACGGGGTTTCGGCAATTCATCCAAAAGTATTCAGGAGTGAACTGGGACACCAATGTCTCTCCCGTACACGTAGAATAGACAGGAACAGCAGGCACGTGTGGACCGGGGTACCGCGTGAAGATTGCCTCCATGCGGGACAGATAATCCGTTCGAATCTCCTCCATGAACGACGAATGGCCGGGCACCATTGTGCGTATCCGCTGAGCAAATACTCCCTCTCCTTGAGCAGCGGCGACGGCCTTGTCCAGAGAGACCGCGAGACCCGAAACGGAGACACCAGAAGGAGAGTTGAAGCAAGATATCTCCAAATCGGCGCACGCGACGCTAGCAATGATCGCCCTCGCTTTCTCTGCGTTGCATCCCAGCGACGCCATCCCACGGTCCGGACTCTCCGTCACAGTCATCGCAACTCCCCGCGCCAGAGCTATCTCGAACGCCATCTCCTTCGATCCCGCGCCGGACGCATACAGAGCCGTGGTCTCTCCGGCCGAATGACCCACCAGGACATCAGGTCTAACGCCCACCGAGCGCAGCAAATCAAACAATGCGATCTGGATCATCGCAATCGCAGCAACCGTGATCGTGACCGGCCATGCATCGGGTGAGAGAGTGATCGTCACATCCGAGGAGCGGGAGGAGAACAGGCCGGTGGAGTCGAGCAACGAGCAGCCCATCACAGAGACGTGCACTTGATCCAGGTCAACAATCGTCCTCCGGAATACTGAGAACTCGGAAAACAACCTCCGGCCCATCTCGATATGCTGGGGGCCCTGTCCGCTGAGAACGAAAACCAGCGGAGGCGGTGAGCTCGGGACCAGAACCGGTGAAGGAAGGTCTCCAGCGGAGGATGAGTCTCTTGGCAGCGTGAAGGCGGTCCGCCACGGCATCTGCCGGGCACGCCGTGACAAGGTAACCGCGCATTGCCGGAGGAGCTGCGAGTCTGCGTCTCTGAGCTCGGGTGATCCGATCAAGGACTGCGAGATTTCGTTGACAGCGCGGGGTGATAGACCTCCGACCACGACGGTGACTGTCGGACAATCACCGCTGAACGCGGACTCGGACTCGGGCTCGGGCTCAACGGGGGGCGACTCGATGACCACGTGTCCAGTCGATCCGCCGATACCGGCGCTGGATATCGAGATAACCGATCTTCCGGTCGAGGATTTACAAGTGAGAGGTGTGGGCTGTACCGGGACATTGAGTGATATGCGCTCCCATTCAATGGAAGTAGACGGTTTCGTCAGGTTGACCGTCGGCGGAATGATCTTGTGCTCGAGAATTAGCGAGCTCTTGAGCAATGAGACGAGGAAGGCGGCTGATTCTAGATGCCTGTGCGCCAATCAATGAACGTCGCAGATGGACTCCCGAGACAGCAACGCATACCCAACATTTCCCTTCACACTCCCGGCTACAAGTTGATTCTGTGGAGAAAATAGTTCTCCGGCCGTATTGGCTTCTATTGGGTCGCCAGCCGCGGTACCTGGAGGGACATCAGGAGTAGCAAGCCATCGGAGACGAACCAACGCACCCGTGATGTGTAATTCTGCGTAGTCCACCTGACTGAACTCTTTCCCCGCTCTATGATAGGCCTCATTTATACATTGCCGTTGGGCCAGCCCACTAGGCACGTTCAGAGGCATGCGGGATCCAGTAGCATTGATCGCCGAGCCGAGGATCTAATCGATAGCAGAGCTGAGCTCCTCTCCGCAATTGGAGTCAGATGAAGACGCACGACTGAGTAGATCTGATCTTTGTCACGCAGAGCTTGTTCCAGACGCTTCAGAACCACCACGATGGCTCCTTCGCCTCGGCCAAATCTGTATCAAAAGAGTTATTCGCCATATTCCCCCATCATGGGTGGTTGCTGCATGGCCTCACCCATCAGCAGCGTCATCAAACGGCTTGGTGATTCCATCCGGGCTGAGAACCCCGCCGGGAACGTATCTCGCCCATTCTCCAATGCTGTCAAGTGTCAAATCAACCGCTCGCTAAGATTAGACAAAGGTGACAGACGCACGCGCGGTTGATCTGGGCTGCGCCGACCAAAGCGGCCGAGCAATCTCCCGCGACGATAGACTGCGAGGCGAGGTGGAGTGCGGTCAGCGACGAGCTGCATGCCGTATCAAGCTGGATTGATGGCCCTGTGAGATCAAGCGCGTATGAGATGCGGTTTGGCAGCGAGCTGGGAACATAGGCGAAGCTTCCATCCGTGTTGATGAGACCCTGATCAGTGCAAAAATCCGTAAGATGAAGAGTATAGGACGCATGAGTCCGGTTGTCGCACCCGCGCTTCGAAATCAGAAATCCCGCTCATGAAACAACCGACCTTCTGCCTCCGGTAGTCGATGCCTGAGTCTGTCAGGGCCTCAAACGACAGTTCCATGAGTCTCCGTGCGGTGAATGGCATGACACGCGCGTCCTTGGGGCTGATGCCGAAGCTGATCGTGTCTAGCCCATCAGGGTTCTTGAGGAAAGCCCCGAGCGCGGGGAACTTCACTATGTCAAACGCGGTAGCAAATCTATGCGCGGTTAGCTCATAGAGGCCAAAGCTGAGACTTAACACTCAACTCGCTGCTCTGGAATAGCTCTGGTGTGATTTGCTGGTACGCCTGTGACCCCGAAACGAGGAAGTCCCAGAATGTGCGGTAGTCGAGGTCTTTCTCAGAAAACCCTCCAGAGGGTATCTGCGCTGCCACACCGACCTAATATGGAATAATCAGCAGTCGCAACCCAGGCTACAGGAACAGACGAGATATTTTCACGAACAACGGCAATCTTTGATTTCTCGCTGGCCATTTTGCAGTAAAGGAGCTCAAGCTCAGAGAGGCTAGTGAGGAGAAGCAGTCAAAAGAGAGAGACAGGGCAAAACATCATGCAGCCTCGGCTACGGAACCCTGCTGATGCACATCAGCACACGTCTCGACAAGATCGGCTCCCCGCAGGGTGGCTCCATCGCGGAAATTACAACAAGAAATGTCGCAAAGTTCAAGGCCATGTTGAATTTTGCCGCGCTTCCACGCCGGGAGAAGAAATAACGATCTTGACTCGCTTGTGTCATTTTAATCAGTGTGCGAGTCTAAAACCCTGATTCATAGCAAATTGGACCTCGTCGTCCATAAATCCTGGGGCCATGCATGAAAGATGTCGTTCCTCAATTTGAAATGCATTCAAGTGTCTCATTTGTGGAAGAAGGGGATTATGATAGAGCGGCATAGGAGGATACTGAAAACGGGAGTTGCGACGTGCGGCTGCCAGTTACCAGAAGTAGCGGGTTCGCGAGGTGTGCTCGCTGCCAGATGGACTTGGAATCAAATCCGTTTCCGCTTTACCTGTGTTTGATGGACTGTCCATCATGATTGTGATGCCATCATACGGGCACGTGCAGCCTCACTCCACCTTGTTTCCCGGATCCCATCTCGGGAACGGGCAGCAATCTCTTCTGATTCTGTCGCAGTCAGCAACCCATCCTCACACGATCTAGAATGACATCGGGTTTCATTTGACCCTTCGTGGGCTCAGTGCTTTTACATCGTTATCATCCCTCCACTGCGACCAGCTCAGCATGTGCGGTCTCAGTGTTATCATCTTCGCGAACGCGGCGACGCCTCCCAGCGACGTGCGCGGTCAGCTCGAGGCGTCTCTCAAGAACATCAATCACCGGGGTCCGGACTCGCAAGGAGTGTACGTCTCGCCTGACTGTCGTGTCGGTGAGTCCGGTATATGCGTCGCAGGATCCGTCTCTGACGCTTCCAGGTCTCGGACACGTCCGGCTCTCCATTATCGACCTCTCTCACGGTCAGCAGCCGCTTTCGGACGAGGACGACAAGATCTTTTGCGTGGTCACCGGCGAGTTGTACGACTATGCCCGGATTCGCGCCGATCTCGAAGCCAAGGGGGCAGTTTTCAAGACTCATTCCGACTCCGAGCTCGTCGTTCAGCTGTATGCTACCCAAATGGAATCCTTAGAGTGCTAAATGCTCACGACTGTACAGTTACAAGCACGACGGCTTCAATCTGCTCCCCTCGTTGCGAGGCGAGTTCGCGTTTGTGCTGTATGATTCTGCACGGAGCCTCGTTTTTGCTGCCCGCGACCGATTTGGCATCAAGCCTTTGTACTACACCATTAACGACAACCGGCTCATGATCGCCAGTGAGATGAAGGCGTTCTTACCATTCGGCTGGAAAGCGGAGTGGGACATCGACAGCATCATGCACGCCGGTGACCTTTCAGACGACCGCACCGTCTTCAAGGGTGCGAGGAAGGTGTGCAGATCTGACCCTGTCCATTCGAGAAGGGCTGAATACCAGCCTAGCTTGTTGCGGGCAACTACTTGATCTATCGTCCCACGGGCTATCTCAAAGTTCAGCAGTATTGGGACCTGGACTACACGCCGACGAAGGTTCCTCAGACGGTTGAGGAGATGATAGAGGGCGTGCGCCAGCGTCTCTTCGATGCAATCAGGCTCCGCCTTCGGTCGGACGTCCCTATAGGAATGTACCTCAGCGGTGGGATCGACAGCGCCGCTATTGCCGGAATGGCCACCGACCTCCTTCGGAAGGAGAACCCAAATGCCCGCCTTGTTTCGTTCACCCTTGCGTTCCCTGGTGCGTGTGTCTCTGGACCCTCAATCCCTGCTTGACACGGCCTGCCAGACGCGAAAGGAAACGACGAAGGCCCGATCGCTGGCCGTACCGCCGAGCACATCGGTGCGGAGACTCACATGGTCAACGTCACGGAAGCTGCGCTCGTTGCGGCCTTGGAGCCGACCATCTGGCACACCGAGCAGCCGAACTGGACGTTCCACGGGCCGGGCAAGTTCCTCCTGTCCGAGTTCGTCAACAAGCAGGGCTACAAGGTCGTTCTGAGCGGGGAAGGCGCAGACGAGTTCTTCGGTGGATATGCGTGGCTCCCCGTCGACTACCTCCGCCAAGCGGATGAGGCTGGTCAGAAGCTCGGGCTGGAACTTCCCTCTGACGCTGAGCGGGTTGCGATTCTGGATCGCATCCAGGGCATGAGCGTTCCGGTGCTTTCGCTGAGCGAGAACTCGTATACGGATGCAACATTGGCACGCCAGATGCTGGGCGGGGTTTCGTGCCATCGCGCCTACGCTGCGGCGGGCACAGCCGGGCCGCACGTTTATAACCAAACGGCGATCAGCTTCGCGGGGGAGCCGTATCCGACTCGGGCTATGGCAGAGAACATCGATCCTCGTGTGCGCGAAAAGGCCGTCAGCGGTGAATGGCACAAGCTGCACATTGCATCCGTGCGTTGTTTCCATCGCTGCCATCACACCGCCCGTGCTGATGGGTTTCCCAGTATGTCACCGCGAAGACCATCATGCAGCAGTCTATTCTGAATCAGATGGGCGAGAGAAGTGAGATGGCGCATTCCGTGGAAGGGCGGCCCCCGTTCCTTGATCACCACCTAGTCAACTACATCAATGGGCTTCCTGCGTAAGGGATCTTCCCGTGGAGATGGCCACTGATACTTACCCGCCCTCCCCAGATCACTGAAAGTGCGGCCGATTAAAGGCGCCGGGCCGGGAGCGTGGTCGTTCACGGACAAGTGGTTGCTGCGGGAGGCAGTGAAGCCGTATGTGACGGAGGAGATGTATGCGCGGCGAAAGCTCAGCTACAATGCTCCTGCGGCGAATCGCGAGGCGGGCGGGCAACTGCTGCCTCTGCAGGCCCATCTTAAAGCGCGCATCACCCGAGAGAGCGTGGAACGACTGGGTTTCTTTGATTGGGGCTTTGTCGAGACGTCGCTTACTGGATACCTGTCGAATGCGGTGTTTCCCGCTGATGGGGCGCTCGACACCCGGGCTCAGTTGCTCATGTATGTGCTCAGCTTCATCGTGCTCCAAGAGCGCTTCTCTGTTCCGACCTGGTCTGTGTAGATTATTACATTTACCGTAGAATGCAACGCCGGTAGCGATCTCTCGGCTCTCCCGGGAATCTGTCTGCGTGCTACCGGGTGCCCAGTCTGTCGGAACAAATGTCAGCGTTAATTCAATTTGGTCGCTCTATCTCCATCAATCCCATTCCCTCTTCATCCGTGATGTGCTGACCCATGTGATAGCATGTGCCTAGGTTGTTCCCATCGTGAGAAGGCCTCTTGTGTCTCACCGACTGTTGTCCTCCCTTCCCAGCCGCTTCCTTTCCGATTAGATTATATAGCGTGCAAGGGCAGTCTGAGCTGTCAATCCGCGATTCATGGCTGCCCCACCCGCTGCCCCTCCTGCTTTTCCGCCTCTCGATGACACTCTGGGAGCGATGGAGATCGGTGGAGTCGTCGGGACGTTCCTCTTCGGGATTGGGACCCTGCAGACGTTCTATTACTTCCGGCACTTCACGAACGACTCGCGCTATCTGAGGTGGACGGTAAGCACTGCAGCTCTTGCCGAATTGAATTATCGCTTTACCGACGCCATCGACAATTAGGTCGCGTTCCTCTGGCACGTCATGTCAACTTCGCGTCGTCCGATGGCTCATATGCATCCTCAGGTTCATGGAATTGGGACATACCGTGTCGGCCTGGCATGCGGTGAGTATTCCTGCTCGCATGCTTTCCAGTTTAATTGAGATTTCGAAGCTCTATTCGCTCACGGTGACCTTCTACGGACGGCCTCAGCATGTAGCTTCGCCGCCGCATTCTCTGGAGATGACCATCCTCTTCTCAGCCCCGATTTACTTCTTGGTTCAGGTGCGTGGCTGGCTCTCTTGCCTCCGCAAGCAGTGTTCACCGAGGTCCGTCAGGTCTTCTTTGCGAACAGGATCCGCGTCCTCTCTGGAAAATGGTTCATCACGGTCATTTGCTGGTTCCTCACGCTCCTGCGAGCCATCTGCACCTTCGCCATGCTCGGCGTCACGCTCCACATCGCGACGCTCAGTGAGCTCGAGGTGCACTACCAGTGGCTGATGGCGATCGCGCTTTCCCTCGGTGTGGCGGTCGATGTGATTGTGGCCGGCGCAATGTGCTGGTGTCTGATGACTATTCGCACCGACAGCATTACGTTGTGAGTCTCGCCTCTAACGAATCCTCGCGTTGTCTGACATCCGTCCCAGCACGAGACAAATGGTTGATACATTGATTCTCTGGACTTTAGGTAGGTGACAGCCAAGCTGACTGGATCTGCGCTAATTCTCGCTTCCAGAGGCTGGAACCGCCACGGGCGGCACCAGTGTCGCAATCATTATATTCGTATGTCTGTCTCCTGATATTTCGGTTGCTATGCTTATAAAACACCTGCAGTTCTTCCTTCGAAAAGATCGTGAGCCGTCATTCGGTGAATGATATTCATCCAATTTCTGATTTCGTTCCCCAGTGGCATGGTTCCCCTTTTATCTCGTCCTCGCCAAGTGTAGGTCTTATACGCTTTGACCCATCGACGATCATCTCATGCCATGTTACAGTGTTTTCCAACTCAATGCTCGCCTCGTGAATCTCTTGAAACGGCACATCCAGCATTTCTGAATGGAGCTCACCAGGTTGAATGGTCGACAACGTTTCCGTGGTGCAAACAAGCCAGCCATCACACTCGAGTCGACCGTCCGATCGAACGCCGTCACTCCCAACTTGGCTTCCCATCGGGTGAGTTTCAGAGATTACTTGCTGAAGATTTCTATCCTAAACCAGTCGGGGATAGGTCACTGACTTTGAGATGGCGCATGTGTCTGCTCCACACGGTGTGGAATTCGCGTCGGCCAAGGTGAGAATTCTCCAGCTGCGAAAACCGAGAACTCACATAGCGACTCAGGACTTGGAAGCGACTGCGAGAAAACAGATGTTCGAGTGAACTTTGCACTCTGCCGACACATTCGTTTCTTGTCTTTCATTGACGGACTATCAGCTATCGTTATTCGCTATTGAGAACTTGTGTATCTTCCATGTAGAACATCCAGATATAGAGTGTGGAAGTGCTCTAAAAACAGACACGGAGCGGCAGGTCAATCGACGCAAAGCCTCATCTTCTATCAATGCATGGTGTCTATTTTGAACAAATCAAGCATCGGGAATACTGTCGCTGAATAATTCAGCGTGGCTTTGCACCCACGGGCGCGGGAGAACATCACAGACGGGCCACCGATCCCACTTCACCGTTTCTCTCCATCCAGGCCTTCGTGTGACTCCTCCAGTCCGTTTCCAGCAGGCTGTACTGACACTCATCCTGATAGCGCCCGTTCTCCAAAGGCGTCACATCGCGCGCGATGCCCTCGAGCTTCCATCCGCCGCGCTCGGCCCAGGCCTGCGTCGCCTTGTTCCGGGTGTCGGTGTATAGATAGACCCGGTGGATCTTCATCACGTCGTACACGTATCCCAGCAGAGTGTACATCGCATCGGTCGCGAATGCTTTCCCGAAGTATTCTGGGCGCACGACGATCCCCGCCTCGCATGAACAGCTGCGCTCGTGGTCGATCATATATAGGGATGTCTCGCCCACGAAGTTCACTGGCGCGCCGTTGGTGCCGGTCGTATAGATCGCGAACTGCAGTCGTGTGGGATCGTTCACTCCAGCTTCTCGGGCTCGTCGGACGGTCTCTGCTGTGATCTTTTTTGGGAGTCCGACCATGAACTTCCTCGTCGAAGGGGTCATTCGCAGCCGTGCAACGGCCTCGTCGTCTGCCGAAGTCCGGGGCATGAGCACGAGTTTGCCCGACTTGGAGAAGAGCGGTTTGTCGAGAATCATGTTGCAGAGAGAGGATTCGAGTTCGAATACTGCTGATGTGTCATGGCTTTTTCGAGGTTCTGGCCATCATGAGAATGTCCAACTTTTCAGCGGACCATGCATGTTGATCGAAAAATGATCTCGCGAGAGAATCCCATTCTGATCGGTTCAATCGAACTTGAAGGATAGATGGATGAATATCCCAGTCTCGTCATGGCCTGTGCCGACGACAGACATCGAAATTCTTAGATCAACACAGGGAAGTTGCGATCGGAGCTCAGATGCTCGACATGGATGGAGATAGCGCTAACACGAGCACTCAGGATCAGCTTACATCACAAACGAGCCGCTCGGCCTCCTTCCCCATTCCTCTCCATCCATGCTTTGCCATTTGGTATGATCCGTCGAATCAGCCTTCAGCAGACTGTACTCGTGCGATTCCCGATATAGGTCATCTTCAGAGCTTTGGTCTGTCCCGCAACGCCCTCGGACTTCCATCCGCCACGCATTGCCAGGCTTGGACTGCCTCGTTCGCAGGGTGGGTGTGTAACGTGACCCGACGATGCAGCTTCTTTACTCCAAAGACGAATTCAAGCAGAGTGCATTTACATCGTGTCCCGCAGCCAGAGTGTTCCCCAAGTATTCTGGCATTATCATGAATGATTCCCGACTCGCACGACCTGCGGTGTGTTCGGTTGATCTGATACAGCCGCCTCCCCGACACAGTCCGTCGGAGAACCGGTTACAGTGTCCGTGGTGTAGATGGCCAATGAGAGGCGGGTATGATTGGCCAAGTCGAATTCACGATCCTTGCGCGCACAGATTCCAGCGTCACGGGGTGTGGTGTCGCTATGAGTTTCTTGGCGACTCAATCCTGGCGGAGTCGCACGGCTGCCTCGTCATCCACAAACGTTCTCGGTATTAGAATGACCCGGGCGGACTTTGAGAGGAAATTTTCAGACAACATCTAGTCCGAAGGCGAAAAGAAAGGAGAATACTTAGACCTGCACAGAGCATTACTTGGGGTTGAAGAACCTTTCAATTCCTCACGTGGCATAGTTCTAGCGAACGAGCTCGGAGACAAGAAACTTTGGAAGGCTTTAGAAAGCTAGAATTCGCGTCTGTATGTTGCTAAGCAAAGGACCGTCGACGCAGCAACCTGAAGTGAGACAGAACTAAATGTCATGGTCAAGTTTGTGGCACGTGGAAAGGTCACGTACCCTGTACGCATCACGTGTTATTCCTTCACGTGACAACAGCACAAACGCATCAGCCATTCCCCATTCAACTAATTGTCCAAGCGAGTTTTCGAGGAACCCTCAACCGGATATTGAACCTAACCTCTCGAAATTTTATCGAATGTGTGGAGCCCTCGATCACGAGACTGTCATGGTATGACAAAGACGCCGTATCTATCGCCTCCCGGAAGCCCACCAGCACTTTTGGATTCCTAGACGTTGAACTGCTTCCGTCGAGATCGAACAGGTTGCGCATACCAATTGATGCTTTGCTCTGTGCTCGTTATGCATCAGCCAAGAATAATCCATAACGCAAAAGAGCCGTGGGCCATGATGATACCTGTTCTTTATTCATGAGTCTGTGACTAGGGGAACTTGTACAGTATCGGTGGTATTGGTGGCCCACTGCTGTGTACTTGAACCACGAGAACGCATTGTTGTGCGTCGTTTGTCGTCTCTGAATTCGATCGCCGAGTTAGTCTTGGCTCGTCTAATCCCAGCCTATCATCACTATGACCAGAACCGGACCCTATGTCTCACAATCTCCTTCTTGTCTAGACCGTATGTCTGGGAGCGCCGGCAGAGTTCTCCCGACCTCGGGGATCTTTGTTTAGTTGCGAGGGGTTCATTGGTTCCTGCACCCTGAGAAGATCGCGGCGTCAGCGCTTGTAGCCGACAAACGGTCCTTGGAGCGCTGCGTTACTGAGTTACCAAGCTCCGGCTTGAGAGATTTATGTTACAAGATCAATGCAGGGTACTCTAAATCGACTGTGACCGCTTTGACTGGAGAACAGAGAATCGTAATTACGCTATCTTCGTGTCTATTAACAGAAAGAATCGTTTCACAACCGCGTCTTCGAAGAACAGCCTGAGGGGGGCCGCAGGGATTGACAGATAAATCGCCTAATCACTGATGGCAAATGCAGCCGCTGCGTCTTTGCCGACATCTCCATAGGGGATTCGAGACATGACCAGCCGTCTCCTCCCACGACCACCACCACGCGACGGCTCCCAGCCCTAGCTATCCTCCCAACCTCCCAATGTCTCTCTCACCAAGCCCCCCACGACTGCCCGCGATGGATAGCACCCTCGGCGCGATGGAAGTCGGCGGAGTCGTAGGGACGTTTCTGTTCGGGATCGAGACGCTCCAGACGTTCCACTATTTCCGCCGGTTTTCGCAGGATCCCGCCTATTTGAAGTGGACGGTCCGTGCCCTGTCGTTTTTGACGCCGCGTAGTGTCAGCTCACAGATCTTAGGTCGCTCTATTGTGGTGGGTCGCCTCCGCTCCCTGTAACGGCGTCCAGGCTCAGTCCGGCCAGGTTTCTCGAGCTGGGACACTCCATTACGACATGGCACTTGGTGAGCCCGCTGTGATCCTCTCTGGGGTTGTGTCCCTGACCGAACGCCCCAGCTTTACTCACTCACCGTGACCTTTTACGGGCAGCCGCAGCACATCCAGACACCACCGATCTCCCTCCCGCTCACGATCCTATTCTCGGCCCCGCTGTACTTCATTGTGCAGGTCTGTCCAGTCGTCGTCGCTGTCGACGTCACCCTATCCGAATTCGTGCTCAATCCCCGCAGTTCTTCTTCGCCAACCGCGTGCGACTGCTCTCCGGCCGCTGGTTCATGACCATCGTCTGCTGGAGCCTGACGACAATCCGGTTCGGGTGCACGTTCGCCATGATGGGCGTCGTGCTCAACATCTCGAGTCTCGGCGAGCTGGAGGCGCACTACCAGTGGCTCATGGCGCTCGGTCTGTCGCTTGGGGTCGGCGTCGATGTCCTAGTCGCGGGAAGCATGTGCTGGTGTCTCTGGCGTCTCAGGAGCGACGGGGTTGTCAGGTGCGCTACTTCGTGTGCGGTCAGTGACCAGGCTGACAGGGGTGCAGTACGAGAAAGGTCGTGGATAAGCTTATCCTATGGACCCTTGGTGCGTAGCGGAGACCCTGCGACGACGCACTAGCTCATTCCAGTGACATAGAATCCGGGATCGCGACAGGGTGAGTGGTCCCTGTTGAGCGTTGGCATGTGTCTCAGAACCTCGCAGCGGCACGAGTATCGGACTGCTTGCTTTCGTGAGTGTAGCTGTGCTTCTCGTCCTCTTGTTTCTGACTCGGCCCAGTTCTTCGCCCGCAGCGATCGTGAGCACCATCGCACATGGGCTTCCACTTCCTCATTGCCATTGCAGTTAGCTGGTTTCCGTTCTATCTCATCCTGGGCAAACGTACGTGGCCCTTCTCGCACTCGCACGCACATGCCGACCATATTCGCAGTGTTCTCAAACTCGATGTTGGCCGCGTACGTTCACCACGGCCGTCCACACTTCACTCTCACACAGACACTTCTACAGGCTCAACGGGCGATCGCATCTCCGACAGCTTGACCGTAGGACAGAGCCGAGCACCAAGTCAGGGTCTGCTTTGCACATGCCGGTGTCGAGTGGGGTATGTCGGCCTGTTCTTTGCTGGGAAACGAGCATTCAACACTTGCAGCAAATGGAGTTCCTCACTCCGGGAGCGTCGATGTTCGGCACAACGAACGAGAGCTCGGATTACACCGAGGAGAACAAGGTGCTGGAGCATGTCTGTTGGTCCTGCCAAATCTGACTTTCCCCCAGGATCCGCGAGAGTTGCATCGGTATCCTCAATGAGTATATGTATCTATTTCCTTCAGCGCAAGTCCGACCACGATCGATGACTTGTTATGTACATACTATCTGCCGTTCCACCACTTTCTCCAATTGCAGTGATTTGTCTTTTGCGTCCTGCCAAATATCGCACAGCCATAGTCACGCGCCAAGTCGATGCTTGTCAAATTCTTCCAACTCATGATCAGTCAGCCCCTCCCGCGTTGACTGTTGAACACCTGTGATCTCTTTTTTGAGCGCATATCCACATTTACGGGTTCGCAATCCTGAGGATCGGCGAGACCGGACTGGGATAAACAAGTTCTGTGTGGGAAGGCTCTTATCTATTGGGACCCAAAACGGACGTCAACGGTTAGACACATTTTCAGATCTCGGCACTCGCAGTCAGTCTGATACCGCTGGAGAAGAAGCAATCTCGGAGGAAATATCGAATCGAGCAGGAGGCGACTGTTTCCCAGCTGAGTAGATCAAAGAATTAGTTGGTTTAGGGGTCAATTTCGATTTCTCGAGGTTAGTTGTGGGCCATCTGAAATTTCAACGCCTCCCACGGGCCACGATGGAACGATGTCCCCATAATTGGGCAGCCGAACTACGTTTTCAGACGTCAAAATATTCACTCGAACGACCACGACGGTGTTTTCGCGCTCTCAGGTGCTGAAAAGACAGGAAATCAAAAATTGCATTCCTTTACACAGCACGGAAAGCTCACCAGGCACCCTCGTAATCTTCAGCCGGCGTCCAAGTACCGTCAACAGCCTCAGAGCGCATGTCCGCCATGCCTCGAATTCGAGTGGCCCGGCCGTGAAGAACGCGCGAAGCTCGACGCTCGTCAGCCGCGGCATGCGCGACAGGCCTGGGATCAACGTCTGCTGGAAGTACGTCCCGAGATCGAGCCCGAAGGCCGGGTGCGGGCCCTCGATGATGATCGTTTCCAGCATTGACCCTTCCGGGACGCGCCCGAAGACGGACGAGAGGGCGCCGATGAGGTGGGACTCAAAGACGTGCAGGATGCGGAGGTGGGGGCTGGATAGTTCGATAGCTGATGGCCCAATTGAATATGTTTGTTCATTTTAAGAGTGAGGAGTATCGTACCATCGACTGCAAAAGTCAACTTGAGACTCACTACCGCTGTCGTGTCGACCTCAGCCAGGATCTGTGTCATATCGGCTTTGGACTCGGTGGCTATCGACAACACCTTGACGCCGCGCGTGAGGTTGACTCCCCTACCGGAGACGAACAAAGCGCTAATCGGGTCCGCGCACCAATCCGACAATAGAAGCCTTTCCAGAAGCGGTGTCCACTTTCCCACTTCTCCCTTGCACTTTTCCGGCATCGTGAAATGGATGCGGGAGAAAGACAGACTCTTCAGCGCAGTGGACGCGCTGAAGAGACGTAGAAGACATAGCGGAGACTCGATCACCAGCCCGCGGATCCGCACACTCTCCAACCTAGCAAACGCCCGCGTCAGAGCCCCTTGAGTGCCTGGAGGCAACGCGTCCCAGCGCATCGAGTACACCCCCCTCTTGCTCCATCCCTGGGGTGTACTCTCCACCAACGAAAGGCTGCGCAGGTTCACGAATGAGTCGATCACATGCCCGAGGATGGGATCGGACGACACCCACGGCGGCGGCTGGCGATCGAGAGATCCCCCAATTTGGGGATCGCAGTCTAGAGCGAATTCCACGAGCACAACAGTGAGCTTTTGCACCATGCAAGAGACGTGCGGCGACGATTCAAGCAGCTTCGAGAGCTGCTGACAAGATTTTCCAGACTGGGACGACGGCGGGCGGATCGTGATGCGTTTGAGCAAGCGAGTCTGGGCGGCCTCCAGAAGCAGATGAGCTGCGAGGGAGCATGCCCGCAGGGACAGCCGATCCTCAGCAAGCATGTCGAGAATGAGTTCCACCAACTCATACGGGAGTGAGGACATAGCGGGGTCTGGGTGTGGGGTAAGGTGCAGGGCAGAGAGGGGCCGAACGAACGGGAAAAGCTCACGACCTCGTGCCGGAGGTGCCGGAAACGCCAGCCAGGAACTTGGCACATGAAGGTTTAGCCCGGCGGACGCTGCCTCTTGAATGAACACAGCGAAGGAAAGTAGGCCCCCGGCTACTCCCTGCTAGAGGCCACTCCATGCGGCCAATTTACACTGTCCAAATCGGCACATGCGAGCATTGATTTCCACATTATCGGATTAGAGTCGACCTCAATTCGGCAATCAGATATTCTACAGGTGCAGACGGCGATTTGTCCTTGCTCAGCCCAAGATTGGCCGAGTTTTACGCCATGTCTCGCTGAGATTTGGCTGTTTGAGCACAAAGATTGTCACTATTCTGGCCTTTGCAAGTCATGAAAGTTCGTTATTTCAATGCAACGAATTCCTCCCGAGTACAATTTGTTTAGTAATAAGTCATTCCTCCCGCTCAAGCCGCCAACGCCGCAGCGAGGAACTTGGTGTAGTTGGGGGTTCCGAGACCGGTAACGGGGTCCCACCCAGCACGGGCAGAGAATCCGCTGTAGCAACTCGTCAGCCTTCAAATCCTCGAAACGGGTGGGAAGCACAACGCACTTGGTGTTGCAGCCGGGGTTGGAGCCGCTGGTGACGTCATTCAGGGCAGCACGGCCGGCGGCGGAGTAGATGAAGGGGTTGAGGTAGCCCATGGTGGGCTTGCCGGCAGCGACGAGCTGGTCGTTGACAAGCGCGATGATCGAGGCCAAGCTGGGCGACGAGCACGACGTTCCATCGACGGTACCCTCCTGGCCGTCTGCAGCAGATGGTGAGTGGGAGTAAGGAAAGGAAACAAAACGCTCGACGCACTGGATGCGATGACAAAGTTGACACCCTGGAGGGCGATGTCGGGGAATCCACGGCCGGTGGCGTTGAATTTGCCGCGGTACTGGGTGCCAATCGCTGACAGGTATCCAGAGACGTCGGTCTTCTGGAAGCTAGGCACGGGGAAGTAGTTGGAGAATCCTGGAAGAAGAGGAGAAAAAGCCGGAACGTCTTAAGATGGGATCATGAAGAAAGAAGCGAAGTGATGCGCACCACCGGACGAGAAGGACGCAGCAACCTCGGTCGTGCCCTGGGTGGAGCCGACACTGGTGACGTACGGGCATCCAGACGGGGCGGTCGGGACAAATGTCGTGCAGGTCTGGGACTGCGATCCGCTGACACCTCCGTCACCGGAGGAGAAGAGGATGGAGGTACCGAGGGCGCCGAGCTGCATGTAGGTGTTGCACATGGACGTCAACTGCGCGCGTGTCAAGTCGCGCTCGTCGAAGCCGTACGAGGTAGTGACGACGGACGGCCGGGCGCTGGCGGACTGGCCAATGAAGAAGTTCATCACGTCGATGAAGCCGTTCACGCCGTCGTTGAAGTTGTTGCCGACAGAGACGAAGTTGACCGGGACGCCAGTTGCGACGCCGACAGTGTATTGCACGTCGAGGTTCTACAAGGGAGCGTCGTCAGAGGGCGGTATGAGCTTGAAAGAGGAGACCACGCACAGCCTCGATACCCGCGGATCCGGAGCTCTGACTGTTCACACCGCCGTCAAGGGTCTCGAGGATGAAGGACGAGGTGACCGCAGGGCGGAAGTCACGGAGGAACATCTGCTGTCGCATTAGACGCGGTGGAAACGGCCCGCACACCCATGGAAACACACCTTGAGATCAGCGCTGTTGGCATACTGGTCAATGAAGCCAGTGACAGCGATGTGGTGGCTGGCCGAGTGCGTTGCGGCGGCCGTGGGCAGGTGGTAGATCGACTGGAGGCATGTAGGGTTGATCTGCGAGTTGCACGACGATGACTGCCGCTTGCGCTCGCTGGTGAAGGGAGTGAACTTGGGTCCCTGGGACGGGCGCAGGAAGGCGGTCGTCGGGCCGACGAAGTCGACGTGCGGTGCGATGTCAGCGGGGAGAGAGTACTCTAGCGTGCGCACAGTCGTCTCGCCAGACTCGATGTGAGTGAACACAGAAAACTGAGTGCCAAGCAGCGAGTTGGCCTTGGCGACGGGGACCTTGACCGAGAGGTGGTCGCCTGCGGGGGAAACCACGCTGCTGGTCAGGTTGTGCTCCTTCAACCACGTGTTGACGGCGGTCACGGTGTCAGAGGACGGGGTGACGTATGACAGCATCTGCCATCACGTGTCAGGATCGGCAACGAGATGAAACATGAATCTTCAGCGGTTGCGCACCTCCTCAGAAGTCAGGTGCTGGCCGTAGCGCGCGCTTCCCGGGGTAGAGACGGCCAGGAGCTCAGCCTCGAGACCGGCAATGTTGTTCTGCTTGAGCGCAATCCGCAGCGTCAGCTCCTGGTCGGCCGGCGGGACTCCGGTGTGGACGAAGCCGACAGCCGGAGCGGGGCGCGACTCGTGCACGACCATGGCCCGGGGGACGCTCGTCGCGGTGGCGAGGAGGACGAGGGTCGCGAAGAAGCTGGAGCGGAGGAGAACCATTGCGGACGAGGGAATACCAGAGGAGGGCACGAGAGTTTAGGTCTCTTGCTCCACGATTTTAAATTCGTCGGGATGCCTGCGCCAAGCCGACACAGCTGGTAAGATAAGAACCGCTCGACGCTTCCTCGTGTGAAACCGGAAACGAGAACTAACGAAAAGTGGGAGAAGCCGAGAAGCCCCCCGCCTTATCTCTTCACCCGCCACCGCCACTCGAAGCACCGAGCCAGGTCCTTGTTCATTATAACACGCCGCACCACGCCGTCCGCGAGCCCCCACTTGCCCTTCCTGCAGCGAACGCCGGACACTCGCCGCAGAAGTGCGAAGGACGCTTATCTGTGCGGAACCCCATGTCCAGAACATTAGAAGAAGCCCCATCACACGGTGCACCTGGGGCGCAACCGGTGGGTGTCAAGAGAGCATGCGCAAACCTAGATAGACAGCAAGATGAAAAACAACCGAGCATGGTTCCTCAGGCTGCAGAGACTTCCGGATCCACGCGTCCAATGTGCGTCGATCAAAATTCGAACGCACCAGATACTGATATTGCGGGTCATCATCCGCAATACTTCCGGATTGCACCCCCCTTTGCAGGCGGCGGGCCCCTTGCCTCCCCAACAGTATTCTGAAATCCATCAGGCTTTACTCCAAGGCTGGAGTTCCTTATCTCACGATGCATCATGAGTCGCCAGAACCCGCGTCCTGGTGACTGGATAACCTCAACACTTATCGCACCCCCGTCTTCTTGGCCACCGCGCCCAGCTACGGCCATGTGCTGAGCGTGCAATGTGATGCATGCACTCGCTGACGACATCGGCGATCTGAGTCAGGTCGCGCGGTGTTGCGGTTATGACTACAGTCGAGTACACCGCCACCTGTCATCATCGCAGTCTGTTTCCTCCATGACATTCCTTCCGGGGAAACGGAACTCGATGCACCCAAATTAGGGGCAGTGCTCCCCATGCTTGAGTGTGGTGCATTTTTTGCCCGTCAATTGTGCAAATAACTGTACCTTTGCGACTGGTCCAATGCCCCTAAAGATTTCGGTCGCACGGCAATGAGGTCGCACGACACGTGGATTCGAGGGCGGGCCGGATTGGTGGATTCTTCATGTTTAAACGAGTGATCGGAAGTAGGAGGATCAGATCGGTCCGGACCAGGCAAGGACCGTCAGCCTCCAGGTTCAAGCACTTCTAGTTACGGAAAAATCGAAGGGCCGGTATTCAAATCCATTCCGCGTTCACTTTATATGCTTGAGGAATATACTTCGAAGAACCCAGACTGTGCGTACAGATGATCTCGACACGTGGGCTGAGACCTGAAATTTCCGACTCGCGCGAGAACATCCATTAATTACCAGAGCCAAATAGAATAATCCTGCAGAGCGAGTAGGTCTCATGAGCTGTGTCGTATAGGATATCGGGGTGTGTGCACTACAGTACAAAATGGGACAAAAAACGATCGTTACAATACACTACCCTACATGCGTCAGCGCAAGGCTTACAACCAGCCAACCGGTCACCCCGAGTCTTTGTATAGCGTGACGACAGCGGACTCGCGCGTCGGCAGACGCTGGAGCTCATCGGTGCGCTGGCGCGCGTTAGAGCCGGCTGCGCGGCGGGCGTTGATGATGAGCCGCGAGGTCGTGACGGACGTGCCCGCCCAGATGAAGCTGTAGTGCGTCAGAGACGTGAGTAGGATGATTTTGGCAAGCAGCGCACAAGACAGCGACGAAGAGGAGCGATATCGGTGCGACGGACGAGATGATTGTGTTGGCTATGCGGAGCACTGCACGCGGCGGTGAGATCCACGGTACATTAATCTGGGGTCCATTTGCTCACCGAACAATATCTAAACACGAGGTCAGCAAATGATCTGTCATCGCTGACAACCATGGTAGTCACGCACAGAAAAGTACAAGAAACCGTCTCTAAACAAAAGCCTGCGCATTGCCGGATCTTCTTCCGGGCTTTGAAGTGAGCGTGGCCGCGACAGCGCGTTCCAGCACACGACCAGAAAGACAAGGACCTCGAAGGCCAGCTGCCAGCAGATCAGGATCGATAGCGCTGATATCATCGGCAGAGCAGCACGCACACCGACAACCCACAGCTCGACCACCTGCGGTTTACTATACAGCGAGCACAACTCGAGTTTTGAGTCCCAGAACATGACACCTGATTGATGGGTCGGTCCAATGATCAGATGCTGCTGAAGAGATAGACAATGATGTCACGCACGCAACATCAAGACCAGAGCCCACGTCGTCGTCCCGAAGCTGATCAGCTGGGTCGCAAACAGAAAGACAAGGGTCCAGGGGATGAGGCGGTGGTTTCGCGGGAGGAGCGTCCACAAACGCATGAGAACGAGGAAGTTGGATATAAAGATGGACAGCCAGCCGGCGTACAGCGCGATTGACATCCACGCTTTGCATCTACAGCACATGCGGGTGTCGGGAGGACGAACATGAAACGAAGTGTCAAGGAAGGGCTTACGCCTGGGATAGCGGTTAGCCCGCGCCAGACAAGCTAAAAACGCACGTACAATGGAGGACATGGTGATGGTCATCATGCCATTATGAGCTATCCTCGTCAGTCGCGGCGCAGACAGCTAGCAGCGACCAGGGCTCACTCAGAATCTGCCCGAATAGGAACGTGGGAACCATGTAGCGCTGGATGAGGAAGAACGTGCGCGCGAGCGTCCGCGGGGCGCTCCAGATGTACTCCACCTCATCATCGAAGGTGAGGATGTGGTCGAATAGGAGGATCTGCATAGAGCGCATTCATGCGGTCTGCACGAAGAAAGCGAGTGTCGGGCACACGCACCACAAATCCCGCCGCTGGGAAGAACAAGCACAAGCATTAGAAGATGCACACAAAGTCCGTGATGATGATGAGCCGGGGGCCGGCCAGGGCACGCACCACTGACATACTCGGAGATGCGCACATTTTCAAAGTCACGCAAAGCGTTCGTCGGGAGTGCAACGACGCCCGCGCTCATGGAACATGAAGCGCACCGGGGAGAAGAAGGAGGGAGGTGGGGAGGGGACCGAGACAGCGCACTTCTATCTATAGTATACGTCAGCCCTGGTCCAATCCCACGGGGCTGGCTCGCATCAAGATCAGTGCGTGATAAAGGCGAGTACAGGGCTTGACGTCGGACAGATGGCCTGCACGATGGGTACCAGTCACCAGTGTCATTCGGACGGCGGGGAGGCGGTGGCTGGGGAGGGACAATGGGAGGGTCGTGTCACCGTGCGGACTTCCGGAGGCGATATCCGACGGCTCACACTCGGCTTGGAAAGCTCAGGGAAAGGGAGGCCCAACGACATGGTGCGCATACCCGACGCCAAAGTCCATTCCTGGACCGTCTCCACCCGCCAGCGGCGTCTCATCTCCCGCACTAGAGTGAGAACGATCGAGCATGAGAGGATCACAAGATGACTAGGGTTTCAGTATGACTGCATGGCGTGGGAGGAACCAGGGTGACTCTGAATTCATCCGGGCGATGGTGGCGCGGGGACATGCAAAGCTGTGCGAAGTCTAATGTGACCGTCACAAGACAGTCATGGCAGGATGGCCCTCTCCGTTTCTATCTCTTCCGCGTACCCGCGGTCATGGGTTTTTGCGATGCTGATGGCCTCGCGCTGGGTACCCAGAAGTATCAGGCTTCCGGTGTGTTCTGAAGTGTTCTGACATGCGATCCTTCGGTATATAGCCCAATTCAAGCTTGGCCGTCTCTATTACAATGTCCCTCATCATCTGATCGGCCATTGACAAACTCGTTATTCGTTCAGACCATCTACTTTTGTCTAAAATCTGTGAGATTACCTGCGATTCAGTTCGTTAGTCGCTCATCCGTGTGATGCCCGGATATGTAACCACCCTAGTCTTCGTCTCAGCGCGGCGGCCTCGGCCGAATGCACGCCAACAACCTGGCTTCGCTCCTTCTCATTTGCATATGGCCCCGGGCTGTAGTCGTCGTTGCGAAGAAACCTGATTCTGCGTCACGTTCTAATACTTCCCTGTCACTCACATTGGGCGTCTTCAGGAAGATGTGATCACTTCTATAAGAAGGTCGACAAAATCGTTTCGGGTCCCGGTATCCTGGGGTTTCCTCTCGGGCTTAGCGCTTTGATTGCTGGTGTGCGGCTGCGAGCGGGCTTCTTACGCCGTGTCGTTGAAGTCGGCCTTGAAGACTGCTGTAGCCTGGTCTCTCATGCCCAATCCATCTCTTCTCAACTCTTCAACGGAAAATAATGTTGGACCCAAGGCGTCAGTTACACCAAACTTCGGAGGCTAACATCTGGTCCGAATAAACCCGAACGGCCGAGTGGCTGTGTTCAAAGTCACGACACCGCGTCGAATCACTTCGCTCTGCTCTAGGCTCTCATGAGAACTCCACAAACGCCTGAAACAATATCCGATTGTCAATACTGAAGCTATCAAACTTAAAAATCGACTACATCCTACGCTGCTCCAGAACTCAGTCCAACTCGTTCATAACGCTGAGGTCGCGCCCTCCCAGCAGATTCTTGATCTCAGCAGCCAGGCTTTGCGCAGCAGCGACCCCGGTTCCCACTCCCAGTGCGGATTCGAGCGCACGTAGCTCGTGCTCAGAGATTTCCCGGCTACAAGAAGGAAAGAAGCAGAGAATGAGGGTGAGTGCAGGCGAGAGCAGCGTCAGACTTAGTGTTGCCGCGGTCCGGTTCAGAACCTGAGAGAACCGGTTCTGAACCTGAACCGGACCTGAGTCCGGTTCACTGGGACCGCTTGAACTTGACCGGATTTTAGGTCCGGTCCAAGGTTCAAGGCTGGGGCAAAAATTGCTGAACCTGTAAGAACCTGTAAGGACCGGTTCGAACCGGTTCGAACCGGAACATTTGTCCGTAGTGTCAGTCCAAGAAGTGATAGCAGCAATAGAAGCAATTTGTATCAGACTTCTAATCTCCCGAGCTCCGCTATCTGTTGTTCGATGCTCCTAAAGAGGGGACATATAGTGAAATGACAGCCTTTTCATTTGCTTTGCCCTCTCCCCCCCATGTCTACTGAGCAATGCGCTATAGGGCCTGATGGCCAACTTCTTCCAGCCAGTGAGATTGTATTTTATAATGATCCAGATGATCCTGCTCCCCTTCCATCTGCTCCTCCATCTCATAGGACCCTGAGACCTCGGACCATTGGGGACCATTTCACTCAGATTCGCCCGGCACGGACTCAGGCTGTGGAGTCCAGCAAACGCAAGGCCTCCGCTGAGCTTCCACAAGCTCGACAGAAGACCTCACGCCGTTCTTCCCGCGCTGTCACTGCCTCGTCCCGCGCTGTCTCCCCCCGATCCCGCGCTGTCTCCGCTTCTTCCCGCGCTGTCTCCGCTTCTTCCCGTGCTGTCTCCGCTTCTTCCCGTGCTGTCTCCGCTTCTTCCCGCGCTGTCTCTGCCTCTTCCCGTGGTGTCTCCCCCCCAGCTTCGTCCCGCGGTGTCTCCCCTTTGTCCCGTGCTGTCTCGCGTTCTTCTCATGGCTCATTGTTGGGACCTGATGCAGAAACCTTTGTTGATGGAGATGAAGTTCCTGGGCTTAATGATGCAAGTGATGATGATCGAGATGATGAAGGGAGTGATGCCGAAGAACAGGAGGATGAGGATGATTATCTTCAAGCCTATCAGCAGATGGTTGTTTCTGGAGATACTGATCGCACAGTGAGTGTTTCCGCTCCTCTACTTGTCTAGTCTTGCATTGGCAGCTTATCCAAAAATTTCAGGCCATGCAATCTGTTCCCAAGGCTGATCGCACAAAGGATATTGATTCTATATTTAGTCCTGGATCAATTATTGTAAACAACAAAGAGATACAAGGCTGGTGGTGTCGTCTCTGCAAGTGTGTGCTAAAGCTATATTCTCAACTAGTTGATTCATAGGCTGACATGGTTTCTATATTAGGAAAAAATTGGGTGCAGTCTCCAAGACTCACCGGGAGAGCTCCAACAACAACGACGCGATATCCACCCGCTTCGGCGTCAGAGTGGCTGGTAGCCCCGCGGCGGTGAGTGCTCCAGCGCTGGATGTAGGTAGAGTCAGTAAGGGCGAAGAGAGCACAGACGAGAAGGAGAGGGGACGTACACAGCCGGAGAAGCGGCGGCAGCGGCAGCAGGAACAGCAGCAGCAGCGGGCGTGGCGTCAGCTGTAGCCACAGCCGCGCCACCTTTCAGACTGCCGAGGAAACCCAGCAGCCCGGAGAGGCCGCCACCAGCACTGAGGCCCCCAGCACCGAGACCACCTGCGCCGAGACCACCAGCACCGAAGCCACTTGCACCGAGGCCACCTGCACCGAGGCCACCGCCCGCCCCAAGCCCCGGAATCAGGTTTCCTAGAGCACCAAGGCTCGGGATCCCCAGCAGCGCGCGTCCGTCCGCGTTGCGCCTATGAATCGATTCCCGTCAGGTGTGGGCCATGGGGTTGATTCCGCCAGAGTAAGTAGGGCACTCACGCTTTCTGTCCACTGAACTCGCCCACCGCACGGGCCCCAGACGTGGTGGTGTTGGGGATTGCGGGAGCGGGGATGGGGGCAGCGATTGCTGGCGCGACGGCGTAGGCGAGGAGCACAACGGACGCAATGGTTGAGATCTTGTGGTACATCTTGTATGTTTGATGGAAGGAAGGAACGATGGGAGAAGAGGAAAGAGGTTAAATCAGAGGCGCAGAAAGGCTGATAATACGAAAGGATTTGCTCGGAACGGCGGCAAGTAGTAACGTTGCAAAAACGAAGACCAAGACTGGGAGGACGATCAGGGGGTGGACGGCATCGGGCAGCAGGGCTCACTCACTACGCGGTATCTGGTGGAACTGGGAGGACAAATGCGAATGGGTAAGACTATCCTTCCCCCCTGCCCCCTCAGCCTTTTTATTCCCAGACAGACTCGCAGAGACGCCGGCGGACGGAGCATGTTTTCGCGCCACAGTGGATACCGAATAAATTCATTCATCGCTTTAGAAACGCACGATCAAATATCCCAAGTTCCCTATCTTGGAAAGGTTGCGTTTAGACCTTGCTAAAACAGAGCCGTCATCACCTATTGATCCTTATGAACAAAATCTGGGCTAGCCAGAGTCCCAACACCGAGCCTTAAGTAAATCGAAAGTGCTGATGAGCAATAAGAGTGCGACCCACGCATCGATATGAGCTCAGGGGCCCGAGACTCCCCTCAGGTGGCACTCCACAAATGGAGATCTGGAACACTGTCCGCCGACGACGTATGAAGGACTTCCTGACTTGTCCCCGATGTCACGAACCTTCAGACTCTTGCAACTCCGCCGCGTCTCCTGATAATGGGTATATTCGTGACAACACTTCATTCGAGGGAGGCCGGACTCAGGTGCCAATTGTCGCCCCTAATGCGTTCGCTGTTTTCTCGTACTGAGAAAACATGGTAACTCGTGGCTTGATAGTCCCAGAATTCGCTCAAACTTCGAGTCGAGTATAGGCTATCATCAGTCAAATTGCGAGTGCGCACCAGCGGCTGCCGGCTCAGCCATGAGACGCGTCTGATGGGCCCCTACGCGGGGGAGATTGTTTCAATGGGACTTCATCACGGAGTGCGTATGTGCTCAAGATGATAGCACTGCGATTGAATCATTAATTGGATGGCCCCTCTAATGTATTGAATGAGTTATGTTCTGCCGGACGAGTTTTTCCATCCCTTTTCTAGACCGTAGATCCAGCGCCGAGTTGAGGAATGACAAATCTAAAAGATCACTCAGTATCGCCCTCAATGGGCACAAACCCAAACCCTTTCAGGAACACCGCCGCGGCACGCGTGGCCGACGCAAGCGACTCCAGCTCGATATCGCTGCCCACCAGCACGTCTCCCTCCGGCATCGTTGGCAGGTACTGCGCAAAGTCGTTCCAGCGATCCTGCAATCTCCTCGTACACCGCCCCGCCTTGGCTCGCAGCGCATCCGCATGACGCTCGTACAGCATCGAGAAGAGCATCTCGGCGTTTGTCGACCGCCATATCTGCCCCATGGACCCTCGGTACAACTTGTTGAGAATCTGTTGCTTCTCCCCGCCGTAGTGAGTGACTCCCGGCGGGACTCGCGCCGCTGCCGCATCTTGCAACTGGTACGAGTCCGACATGAATACCTCCTCCGGATCCCCCATGTTCGAGTACTCTCACCGGCTTGGCGCGATTATCTCTAGTTTATTTATGCTCCTGAGGATCGCGTCACAAGCCAATTCATGGTCGCGCATCGGATGCTCTCCAGTTCCGTTCTTCTCTGGTTTGCACTTACTTGGTCTGACTTTCAGAACACCTCTGAGGTACTTGAGAAGATAAGTGACATAAAGGTGCTGGGTTCCCACGACCTCAACCTTAAGCAGAATTGCAATCTCAGCGGCTGCTCGATCTCGATCCACGCCTTGTTTGTACTATTTCCATGTCTCTCATGTTGTTCGACTCGGACATCGGCAGTTGAGTCTCTGTTCATCAAGGATAAAGTGAATTCTCAGCTTCAAGAAGCAGATGGGAAGGTTCTAGTCAAGACTAAATGCCCTGACAAGCCGGCTGGTGAATGTGTAAATCTTCCTATTCTTCTCGGGTTGATACTGTGCATCGACGCGACCACGCACACTGTTATTCTCAATTCGAGCTCATTGCCTGCTGGAGAAGATTTGCTTAAAGAACACGGGACGATGTCGAGGTGCGAGGGCTAGGAAGGGCTCTGGTGATATTGCGGATGGGAGTATCACATCCAGATGATGTCCATCGTTCTCTCGCGCAACGTTGGGTATGTCCAGCTTCGGTTGGAACCACATTTCTGTTGCGAGAGACCCTCATGATTTTCGAATGAAATTAAACGGTTAGACAGCAAAGCCCTGCTTCAGTGGGTACGGAGCATGTTTTCGACTGCTCGAGCTGTCTCCTTAGCTTTTCCTTGACACTTCAAGTCAGAAACTGGCGCCGGGAGGACGTGAAACACTATTGGTGCATGGACGCGAGAGCCGGAAGGGATTCGGATGCAATGAAATGCTTCAAGAGCTGACAGGTCTCATGGTGCCCCATGGAACCTGGTCGCAAATCCGAACAAACCCGATCGGCCGACCGACAGTGCCTCCATTCAAGGGGCATTTCGACTTATTTGGACTTCGCTTCCATTGGAGATAGCAGCTCGCATGTAAGAGCGGTATCTTTGCAAGAAACATGTATATCCTATGACGCTGCAGACGCGACAGCTAAGTCCGGACGACCAAGAACTGCTCCGGAATGTCCACACCTGAGTACGGCCCCAGAATCCTCTCCAGCACCACACTGCCATCCTCTGCGCGCTTGATGTCTCGTTCCACCTAGGAAAGAATGGGACATTTCAGAATGACTGGATAGCGAGGGTATCAATACACACCTGCCACACTCGCGCGTTGCATCCGAACAGCTTGATCGTATCTGGGCAGCGGCGGACCAGGGACAAGGCCTCCGGTGCAGTCATGATCCCTGGGGCACCGGGTAGCCATGTATGCGGGTCCGGAAGATCATCCTCATTGGCACTGACGTCCCTCTCCTCGTCACTGTCGCTCTCATCGACATCATCTTCATCCTCCTCTTCCCATCCGTCGGCTCGCGCATTGCTTTGCACGGCAAAGTTCAGATGAATGGCCTCTAGACACCGCGTCAGCGCGAGGCACTCCCCTATTCTCGCCTGTCCCGAGCTATCAACCTCGCAGTATGGACGGTGCTATAACGACACGCACGACATCCCTGGCCCCAACGACCACAAACAGCTCCCTCAAGCGCTCGCATCGCAAGCACACCTCCCGAATTGTATCGACGCCGATCGACATCCGGTGCACCGAAACACGCGTGAGCCGATGCCCATGCGCCGCGACCAAGTGCGCCCAGAACTCTGCGCGTGTGTGCTCCAGATTGGACTCGGCCGCGACGTCCTTCGAGCGGGGTGTGAGGGCGAGACTGGCGTACAGATGGATCGCCTCGAGCGGGGCGCGGTCGAGCATGCGGCTGACACTTGGAAGCCACGTTGATGATGGGACACTGAGCGTGACGGATTTTAGGCGCGCGACGACAGCGGGGTGGCCAGCAATGAAGTTTGCGAGCGTTGCGATAGGCTTGAGCGACGCAGCGATTCCGAATCAGCAACACGCACTCTCCGCGCGGTTAGTCACGCACGAATTTAGGCGCGAGACCCTCCAGCGCCAGAGAGGTCAGTCCAAGCAATGAGGCTTCGAGAACGGCGCAGACACCGGCAGGCGTCACCCTGGGGCAACCCATGATCGCGAACTGCTCGAGATTGACGAGATGCGGCGCAAGTGCTACGAGCACAGCGTCAGTGACCAGCGGCGACATCTATGTCCGGCCAGAGTCAGAAAGGAACCGGAACGAACAGGATACTCACGCGACAGATGAGCGTCAGCTCCGTCAACGACGCGGCCGAGTTACGCAAGCACAGCGGGAGCCGGCGCACCACATCCTCTGTCGGCATCGTCAAACTCAGCCTCCGCAGCCCTGTGACCTGATCCAACAGCTCGGCGTCCCATCGGCGCCCCGCACGCCCGTTGAGCTCCAGCTCTGCAAGGGTCGGCAGAGACGCAAGGACTCGGAGGATGGGCGACGACAGGGTTCCGTCGCGCGTCCACGTGAAGGAGCGCAGATTCGTGCAATTGCCTAGGCCGCGCAGCACGAGCGACTCGAGAGGGTGCGGAAATGCGATGGATTTGGGAAAGTCCCGGATTTCTGTGAAGAAAGTGAGCGTTAATTGTCACCACGCTCGGGGCAGAGACTGTACCCAGCCGCAGCATGTACCGCGCTAGTCCGGGACAATCGGCCAGCGTCTTGAATAGCTGCGCCACCTATAGGACGAATAGACGCGTTTAGACCATGGGCATAAGAGGTTTCACGGTCACGGACCTTATCTTTCCAAGCTTTATGCCAGGAATAGATCGTAGCCCGATGATAAAGGAAGGGGATCCCGAAGGCGTAGAACGAGCGGTTGACGAGACATGCGTTGGCAAGATGTTGGGGACGGACGAGGTGAATGAGGATGTGTGGCAGGATGTCCAGTGGCAGGTCGGTGAAATTCATCGATGCATGATGACAGTTGTAAGCTAATGCTTGGCAGCGGGATTATCAAAGTCGCGGATCCCATGACCATCACGTGACGAGATGTGTGCCCAAGGCCTCTGCACTGTGCAGCCCAATACCGAAGCTTGAAGTCTACATACAATCTATGCATTTTGAGGTGCGATTTATTGAGGCAATTTTTGGGCGGCTCACGACCGCTTCAAGTGGAACCTTGCGTCCGTCCGCTGAAGTTTCAGTACCTAGTAGATACTTGGCTTTTTCTTTTAGAAGTTCAGCAGCAATCAGAGAAAAATCTTTTCTTAGCCTTCACGACGGCCTCCTGCGGAATCAGCCAGACGGGGCCCGTGCATGCGAAGAGGCAGAGTTCGGACCGCAGGCGAAGCAAACTGAGTGCGAGAGGTGTTCGGTGTATTTAGCTGCTGCAAAGACATCTAAATTACGTCGGAACAAATTATTAGCTCTACAGTGTACCCGATTCCAGACGAAGTATTACAGGGTTGGGCCCACCTCATAGGGCGCTTTCTGCAATAAGATTTTTCTATAACTTAGAGGCAGTGAGCTCTCTCGGAAAATCGCACAAACAACTGGTCAAGTTAGGAACTTCGGGCTTCAGAAAGCACCAATTCATACCATCTCATGAACTTCGAAATGACATACTTAAGGATCAATCTCAAACCAGTGAAATACGGGAATTAAAAACAACTGGGACGCTGTTGGCTCAGATACGCTGCCTATTTAAGTAGGTCTTGCAATGGTTGTTCCATCCGCGCACGCTGCAGTGTCTTGTCATGTCACGGGATCTGTCATCAGTTCATCACGGTGCGGTGGCATCATGATTTTGACTTCCATCCGCTTAGATCTCGGCGATTTTGACGCACCCAGATATTTGATATCCTCTACTTTCCACCCCTTTACGGAGCCTGCCGATGCGGCGAGCCCCTGACTCGATCACGACTACAAGATTGTCAGCCGAGTTCCCATCAGCATCTCTGCGCGACATGTCGACGGACACAGAGGAGTTTTCCCACACGTCTGCAAGCAACGCTATTGGCTCGGCTCCACATCGCGTTCTGCAGGGCCCATCGGCGTTCAGTCAGTCAACTGACGCTCCGGTAGCCACGCCGCTATTCCTTTTGGCTTTTCCTTGCGTTCCATCCACGTTTGTCCAACCTTCCTTGACAACGAGGAACCACCACCACACCACCATTTGCTCGTACCACCATGGACTCCTCTTCCTCTCCCACACCCGCGTCAACGCTCACCTTCGACTCGGCGCAGATACTCCAAACGATTGTGCGCGACGCGCAGGACCAGCAGGTCGAGTACAATGTGCAAACGACTACCGCGAACGGGCGCGGTGTGGACAAGAAGCGGTGGATGACGTTCGTCGAGGTGGAGGGCGTGGCCACGGCTGCGATCGACTGGCGAGAGAAAACATTCGAGATCTCAGGGACGCGATGTGCCCTGTCCAAGATGAGGCGGAAACGGTCAGCGTTTGCGAGGTGCGCCAGGGCGTCATTGATTCGCTGGGTTCGCGGACACTGATCAGGGGCGCGCAGCTCGCGATACTGGACGTGGTTTGACTGTGAGGAGTACAAAGTCAAGTACGAGGCTGAGGCGGTCAATACATGGACTGTGCGTTCTGTCCCTCTCCTTCGAACATGTTCCTCTCGGACTGATTGCGTCTAGGTCTACTCATACACTGGCTCCGTGCTGGCGACGTTTTCCGCCTCGACATCACGGTTATTCCGCGGAAAAACGAACCCCATTCTGACGTTATCTTCGAGCGTTAGCGACGAGGAAGAACGGCAATTCATCTTGCTAGTATTGTTATACTCCGAGACCAGGAGAATGGAAGGTCTCAAAAAGGAGGTGGGTCGTTCTGCGCTAAAGCACTGGTCGTAGCTAGAATTGAATACTTGCTTTTTGCAGCGAGGACGCCGCCTAGTGGATCTCTTGAACAAAGGTGGTCCGTGAGCACTACGCCTTGGAGTGCCAAAACAGATCACTTGGTTCTGGACATGGGCGGCACGTCCGACGCTTCGACTTCTATTCAACACATACTCTCATCTTGTATCTTTCGGGCCGAACTTAATTTCTGGTGCGACTGCACAAAGGCGGGTGTCGTGGGCTGCAGGAACGGCGACGCTCCACCCTGCTGGGGTGCAGGACCCTGCCACGACGTCGTGCGCTGGCGAGTAGGAACCTGGTCCGCCCACTGCACGGTTGTGGCCCTAGGGAGCGGTGTGTCGGACGGAGCGAGCGGTGTGTAGCCGAGGTACGGGGAGGACGAGAGGAACGGGGACGGTGGCAGGAAGGGAGACGGGCCGCCGTGCGGGGACGGGTAGAAGTTGCACGGCGGAAGTGCCGCGGCACCTGCCGCGAGCGGAGATGACGGATCCTCTTCAGGGACGTATACGAAGGGTCCGGACATGTCGGAAAGCGTTATCAGAGTGGGAGGGCAAGTTCTAGCGGTGCGATAGAATGTGGGGGGGAGGAGAGAGCGATCTTTGGGATCCTCTAGATCTGTCGCATTTGTGAGTACGGTTCAATCAGAGCGGTGCGTTGTCGAGGCAATGGACTCGACTAGTACCAACACTAAATCAAGGATTGTCGAGTGCTGTGCTCCAAGTCACGTCGGTGGCGGTAAGCACAGTGCCGGGAGGTGACGTCCACGTCCCGAATCCTTCTGTCAAGTACTCTCCGTGGCTGTCGTAGAAAATCGCAGTTAGAGCGGGAGTGAGGGTGGAAGACGAGCAACTTGGGAAATGACGGGCAGCGAGTCAATTTTCGTATCGCCGTCGGCGCTCATCAGATCATTATCAGTCGCTTGAAAAAAATGTGATCAGATTAGATTAGATAGTACGAGATCCGCGATGTCTTCCAAAGATCGATAAATTTTCTCAGCGTTCTTTCTCCCGAATGTCTCAGAAGTGGCGCGACGCAGAAAGAGATAAATATCTAATTTACGGTGTTTCTGAAAAGTTGTTATTTCATTCTCTTGTTCAAAGTGTGTCAGTCGTGAGTCACTTGAGTTCCCAGCGGAGAGCACGGTCATCAAACGCATTCAGTGAGCGACGAAGCGCCTTACCGCATGAAAATTAATCGGAAAGAGTGCGATATTCTCAAGCAGTGCTGGAATCTGGCGCAATTTCCGCAGTTTCACTATCACCAATTCAACCCGCTGTTCATCTACTCCACTCGCCCTGAAAGCCTTGTCGAACAACCTTAGCAAACTTCATTAGGCCCCATTTGCCACAGAACTCATGGATTTTTTGTCTCAGGACACTTCCTGCCGTCGGTCTCTCTCCGAATACGGTATCTGGGTTCAAGCAACAGCCACACTGATCTGATTGCGGCCATCCAACCTGAGGCTTTCTCAGCGTCCGAAGCGGTGATTTTTCAAGTCGCCGGCCGTTCGATGCTGTTGTAAGACCCGCACCGTGAAGCTACTATCAGACTCACTGAGCAATATGTCCCTATTAGTATATCGCCGCCCCACGTCCCTCGACGTCCGTCCGGCGAAGGCAACGCATCATCTTGCCTACTCACCAAGCCTCCATCACAGCTCTGCCACAGACACAACCAGGCTCTCGGTAGCCCAGCTCCCGACGCATTCCATCCACCTCGCAGATCATCGTCGTCTGCGCCCTCAACGCGCGCGACGGCGATGAGACAAACTAGTGAAGGACGGTCGGGGGGAGGGCGGCGGGCACGGAGCGGTACCGAAAGATGGCGATGAGATGGATTCGCTGGCGTACGGGCGCCGGTGTCCAGTGCTGTGCTCCATGTCCTAAACGGTCGATGTGGCGTAGCGGGTGTCTCCGTAGACTTTTAAGGAGGGGAGGGAGACGGAGGACGGGCCTCAAACCGTATCGGCAAGAAGCATTCCAGCGGGAAGTTCTCTCGTCTCAGTCGTCACGACCATGATAATATAGGTTTGCTACAATGAGGAAGGACTCCCCAAGATTTCCGCATCCGGATAATTGATTCGGGTAACGTCAATCAAGCAGTACCACGACGAAGTGGAATCATCTGCTTTCGAACTCCCGCGCGAACTCGCATTATTCATGGCCACTGCTTCAAGTGAACGGGAATCTACATGCTGGCAGATACTGTCTATATATGTCCGCTGAGCATCAGCTCTCCTCCCACGACCGGTCGTTTATGTACATCGAGGAGTTCTTGTTGATCAGGGTGTTATTCTCAATCACTCCCTTGAAAGTTTCCTCCCCCGTGGTGCTCTTCTCCCGCGTTATCCGGCGCCCCCATCATTTCGATTAGCTCCCCTTCATGAAAGGGTGAGCCTTGTCCCAATGGCGTGCGGCGCTGAGAAGGGCCGGTACATCCTCCTCCTCCGGTGCCCTGCGTCTGTACCACCGAGGCTCCGGTGACGGTGGTGGTGTTGCTCTGCGCGGGGATGGGAACGGGCGCAGCCATTGGCGGTGCGGATGCACCAGTACCTGACTGTCGGAAGGAATAAACTGAGAGACCGGATCTCTTCGCAAGAATTATGCTCACCATTGCGCCAGTACTCCCCGAGGCCCCGTTGCCGGCGTTGGGACTGTTGGTCGGTTGGCTGTGCGAGTGGCTCATGGCAAGATTTAATTTGTGTGATACGGAGTCCGGAGTGCTCTACATTCCTTATAAACGGTGCCGCGAGTCAAAGCACCAGTTGTGGGCCTGCTCGATAGCCTGTCTGTGCAGGGCTTTGACTGGCGTTAGGGCTTACAGCTGCGTCACAATATGGTTCACATTTCCTTCATACGATTCCGCAAGTCTAAGCACTTGGGCTTTATGTTATCGGCTTGTTTGATGGCCTGCCTGTCTTGACTCGCCGGGGCTTTGAGTGGCGTTAAGGCTTACATCTCTGTCACGTGGGCGTGAGGGGCTTCTCGGACACCGTCCATCAGATTCTCTCACGTGCTTTCCGATCTGACCAACTTACAGCTTGCTGTCATGGGCGCTATGATTTCGCTGCTCTAGTTTTCATCGATAGTCCATTTCCTTGATTCCGTCCCGCCATACGGCGAGCAAACTCCCCCGGTGATTCATATCTCGATCCTCGCTGCCCCCGGCGTGCGTATAAATAACAAAGCCTCCTTGCTCACTATTTTCGGGCTAGTCCATCTATCCACTGTGCGATGCTCGCCTCATATCTCGTCGCAGTAGCCCTACTATGGACTCTGCCCGTGTCAAGCACGCCAGTCACGCTCTACGATGTGTCCCTCGCGCTAGTTCCAACGCCGACGCAGCTGAGCGGGATCATCCTCCCTGAACAAGCCACCCTGTCGCTTTCCGCCGGGGGGACTGACGCCGCGCACGCGACGACATACGTCGCGGTCATCGGGCCGGCTAACAGCGCGTCAGCGGTGCAGACCGTGAACGGTCTCCCCGTCACGTTTCCGACCATCACAGGTACACGATCTCCACATACACACCGTAGCAGCACGTGTTCACCGGAATATCCACAGAAACCTTTATCGAAGGCCCGACCGGCCTCGTGCAATACGAGACCCTTCTCCCCAGCGTCACACTCGCGCTGAGCTGCCACTGGGCGACCGCGAGACCGGGCGCCGCAGCGCCGTGCGGTATCGCGGTCGAGGCTGGCGGCACGACCGCGGCTACGACCTCTTTCACCGGCACGCTGACCCCGTTGACGACGCTGGGCGCGGGGCCGAGCTTCGTTATCGCGTCGGCAGTCAGTGCCAGTGCGCGGAGTCCGACAGGGGGCGCTGGGGCCCTGCGGGGGTCGGGGCTGGCGGTGGCGGGTGTGGCCGGGTTGGTTGTGTTTGCGCTGCAGAGTGTCGTATGAGGGGAAGCGAATGGTGCTCTGCCGTTCGTTTATATTGAAACGATAGATTCAGGGATTTATCATCGAATTCGCTGCGCGTTGACACCGCGCGCTGATTAGATAAGAATGACTAGGCTCAACTGCTGGCTTGCGAACACCCTTCAAGAAATAAATACACAGCTGCGACGCGCCCTGATTTGTTCACAACTAGACGTGCGCACCACTTCGCTGATTCCTGCGTCCGTGAATCCCGTGGGGACATAATCCACCAATGTCTGTTCGACCACGGGACACTGGAACATGCTGCTCCTTGCTGATTCGAAGAGCGAGTGTTTTAAGACCTCAGTTGCTGAAGGCCAACGCCCGTTCTTGGCCGCGTGGCAAAATGGTTACTGCGTTGCTTTCCGGTCCTTCCCCCATGTCCACTATAGGCAAAGATTCTGTGTTCGATCCACAGCGTGGTCGTCCTATGTTTTTGATTCCCTCCCCGCACGAGTGGTTGTACTGCCCTGTTCTCACTTGTCCAAAATACCTACAAACGGCCAATCCTCGTGACTAGGACTTTTCCATCACAGGTCATCAATCTGGCAGGCATGGCTTGAAACCAGTGCCCCCGAAGTGTATTGCACAGCCTAGAGGCGAGGCATTTCCCCTGCAGCGGGCTGAACACACCGCGGGTGAACATATGTATCTGAGACAGACTGATCTTTATTCCAACATTGGAGTGGCCGCCGAAATTTACAGGCTCGCCTTTGGCGTCGACGAACGGGACGTTCAGTTGTGTCGAGACAAAAGCCTGGATGCGTCGCTGTGGATTTTCCGTTCCATGTATGAGCTTCCCATTCAACGTTTCTCTCGCTACATATTCTCTCGAATCTCCCGCCGCACTGAGTCATTTCAGATGGACATATCATTGCCATCAAGGCTGTACCCCGAAATCGGATTGCCGAGCGCGGCGAGGCGGAGATTCATCAAAGTACGGCTTTTGATCACCGTCGTCTCGGCGGGTATATATGCCCCGCCCTCTTGCCTCCACTGGCATTCACATTCCACTGCATCTCGTCTCTGCCATGATCTCTTCCCTCTCTCTTCTCGTCTCCCTGAGCTCGCTCTCCCTTTACGCCCAGGCCCAGCTGTGCGTCGCTTTTTTGTGCTCACAGGGTGATCTGCTCGATTCTCACGTCGATACAGCGCGGGGCAGACAGTCCAGCTGCAGACCATCCTTACTGCCAGTAAGCGTGTCATCTCTTACTCCTTTTTCAGCACGTACTCACGGATACTTCAAGGCGGGAACTGCCTCACCGCCGCCTCTAACGCCGACGGCGCACCCGTCACGATCGAATCCTGCTCGACACCCTCCGCGGCGAACTCGTGGGTGCTGCCCAACGGCGCGCACAACTCCGGCCCACTGCAGATCTACGGCAACAAGGTGCGTGTTTCTCGCTCGATGCGACTCCGTGCGTCGGTCGGTCGGCCGGTCCCTCCTGACGCGTCGTCTGCTTGCAGTGCCTCGATGTGATCAACGGCGCCAAGGCGGACGGGACGAAGCTGCAGATCTGGACGTGCGCAGCGGAGAACACGAACCAGAAGTGGGTGCCTGCGGGGGAGGACTCGCCGATCGTCTGGTCCGGCACGAACCTCGTGCGTGCTCTTCATTCGTATACCCCGACATACACCCTACTCTGACGCTCGCTCGCTCCCTGCCAGTGCGTGGACCTCACGGGCGGCTCGACCACGGCCGGGAACCAGCTGCAAGTGTGGAGCTGCGACGCGCAGAACTCGAACCAGAAGTGGAACCACGTCGCCGTGACGCAGCCGAAGACGTTCAGCATCGCGCTGCAGCACGTGCAATCGCAGGCGTTCTGCATCGCTGCGACCTCCGCGGCAGCCAACGCGTCCGTCGCGATCGAGGCGTGCGCAGGCGGCGCGGCGCTGCAGACTTGGGCGGACCCGCAGAACACGGGCCAGATGATGCTCGCGTCGACGCAGGGGAGCGCGCTGGAGCTGTGTGTGCAGCCGATGGCGTTCCTCTCGATCAGCCCCTCGCCGCTCGTGCTGGCCAAGTGCGACGCGTCGATAGCCTCGCAAGGGTTCAACCACCAGCTGGAGCAGCCGGGGATCATCAACAGCCACGCGTACGGCTTCAATGTGAGAGCGAGAGATCTTTCTCGGTTTGATTGGCCTGCTGCTGATTTGGCGCTCTCTGATAGTGCATTGATAACACCAACGGCAAACTTGTAGCGGGCAACCAAGTGCGTGCGGTTCCTGTGCCGAGTCTGCCTTGAATCCTAACCTCCATCCTCACAGCTCCAAATCTGGGACTGCACCTCCATCCGCCAGAGCATCGATAACACGAACCAAGACTGGATCGTCACCAACACTTTCTGATCATATATATACACGAGATGATGTTTCATGATGGACCCTGCTGTTGTACTTAAAATAATCACTGAATAGTTCAGCTTGGGTTCGGGCTCGCACGTGGGTGAGCCCGAGTCTACCACGGACCTGAGATTGAGAACATTGCCCCTGGATGAGATGAATACTCAGCGGTATTGTATGGGTAGGTTCATCAAGGTTCATCATCGGGACCTGCGAGTCCGAATTCCAGTCGGAGCTGAGTCCGGGTCTCAGTAGGATGGCGTGATCAATCTCACGTGACTCGACTGGTCAGCACCTGCCATTCCAAAATGATCGGCATCTGATTCCCATCATATCCGGGGTCAGCATCCGAGATGTATGGATTAACTCGAGCATTGAGCCGAGTGGACCATGTTCTGTTCGACTATCTCGGTGAAACGCACCGAAGGCGAATGGATCGATTGACTTCTAGATATGGAGCCCCTGTCCGGTATTCAGACTCAGTGCGAAGTTTCAAGATAACGCAAAATCGACGATTAGGACCCACAGTTGGACATCAAACGTGATTAAGAGCTGTCCTCTCCTTCTCTTCTGCTGCCTCCCCATCGCGGCACATCGGTCCTAACGCTGATTCCCATCAACTCTGGTTCCGTTCCACGGGGCGAGCTTTGCTTCGAACTTCGGAACTTCGCTATGGAGATCAGTAGCGTATTACTACTCGCTGCGTTCTGCCCGCGCCCGGCCGGTTGCTGATGTGTGATCGACCTCCGCTTGTATACGGCGCGTCCGACGGGCATCTAGACTCCACTCACACGGGGTTGGATGGACTTCATGCCCGAGGGCGATCTCGGGAAGGGGCTGTCGTGTGCGCAGTTAACGATAGACGCCCGAGCTCAAGCGCTGGCCAAGTTGAGCGGCGGCAAAATCATTGTTTTGATTCGGATAATGCGGAGTTTCTTGGCGAGCGGTGTTTGCCGGTCGCAGGCAACCGTGGTCCAAAAGAACGAATCGCAGTACCGAGGTCTACGCATGTGTGCCCATTCGTATTTCACTAGTTTAGGGGGAGAGTGGCGGAGGAACGTGTACGGGAAAATCGCCCACACGAGGCGCGCGCATATGATTCCGAAACTACGCCACCAGCAGAACTTGATGCGGAGGCGTGTGGATGATGATCTACTTCCTTTGATCGTTTGCGGATCGTCCGACATGCCATCAAAGATTCTCGTGGTTCTGTGTTCGAAACCGTAGTTTTGAGCGACTTCCACCTGATTCATGGAGCGTTCGGGGCTTTCGCGGTGTAGGCATTATATAGGGCGTCCGATGATAGCCTTCTTGGTTCCTCGGAAACCATCTCCCTCTGCGTCTCCTCACCCACTCTCTTGTGCCGATGTCTGCAGCTGCGTTCCACACTCAGGCTCTCCCCGCCGGCTGGTATAATCAGTCAGCTCCCTACAGCAACTATCAGCCCGACGCCTACTCCTCCTCGTCCTGCTCCACGTCCTCCTATTACGCAACTCCGGTTCGGTTCGCCTCCGTTTCGTCACAGAGAAGAGAACGCCGTCTAGCCGCCTCCGCCGCTGCCGATCCGCAGCAGCAGCACAACAGCGGCAACGGGCGCATGTATGTTGAGCGTCGGGCAACGCACAACGCGACGGAGCGCGCGCGCAGGGAGCGACTCAACATCCGTATGACCGTGCGTCTCCATTTCTCAATTGTCCCCCAGGGCACTGTGACTCACCAGGCCGTAATCGCGTTTCAGATGCTTGCATCGCTTCTGCCGGACATCGCACCCGGGGAGCACAACAGGCGCCAGCCGTCGCGCCTCGCCATCGCCAACTCGTGCATCACGCATATCCACGCCGCCCGGCGGCATCGCGCGCGCACCGCCGAGTGTCTCCGCACGATGATCGCCGAGCGCGCACAGCTCCGCGCGGAGCTCAATACCTGGCGGGAGAAGGCCGGGCTCGATCCCATCCCCGCTTCCGACCACGCGGGGGGCGAGCTGGACGAGGATGCGAGGGACGTGTTTGAGCGCCTGCTGAGGGGCGATGAGCTGGAGTTTGAGGTTTCGGATCTGCCGCCATCGGATGACGGCGAGGACGGGGAGCCCGGTGACGCCGAAGACATCCGAGGTCGCCCCATGACGCCGCCGTCACCCTCCTCCGCATCGTCCACGCCCCCGCTGCCTTCCGCGGGCCCCTACCGAACGGGGGCGTGCGAATGCGCCCAATGCTATCACGTGCAGCAGCCGCAGCAAGCGTGTTCCGCTGCGAATGCCCCCTTCTCTCATCACGCCCCGATGTACTCCGAGGGCCACGGCAATCTCGCATGTGGATGGCCGCAGGGCACTGTATCGACGAACCAATATGCTTTCCGGGTCCAGGGCACATATGAGGGACCTGTTATATGGTGAACATAATCTAAATTTCTTTCCCTAGTTTAATACCGCTTATGTGTTGTCTGTATCGGTTCATATCCCACATATCCTTCCACAGTACTTACTTCTATATTTTCTTGTTTACATATTTTTTAATCACGGTTTTGGGGTTCTCAGCGATTTTACCATTGAAATTCCGAAACGTATCAGAGCTGACTTCATCCCATATGAATGTCGTATCAACCATCACTGTATCAGCCCCTGGGACCTCGCATCTATGTACGAAACGCCGCCAGATGGGAAAAATAGCAATGCATTCTATCCCGGCGGGCTCGGAATTACTTTTCCTCTCCCTCTGAATTGATCTGGACACGCTACTTTTATTCTACACCTCCCGAATCAGAAGTTATAACTCTACGCTACCCTCGAAGTATCCACAGCGGTTCGCGCCGACGCATGACTGTCGTTCACACGATTTGTGGGGCCCGCATGGTCGCGTGGATCCACAAGACCCGGATGGTGTGAAATTCAGTAGATATTCCTACGTAGAGCCGAAGGAGATCTCGATTGCCTCTGGAACTGAGACATTTCGGCGCCCCTGCGTCCAGACTGCACCTCCACCAGGTAGGGTGCGGCGATAAGGATGAATATCAAGGGCGCTGAAAGTATCGATTATCACGTCTCTGTTCGGAGTGGACTCGACGCTGACAATCCTGAATGTACGTCATTGCGACCCATTGCATCATGTGTGGGTCCCGCATGAGCAGTGTGGTGATGTGCCGCTGGCCCGTGTCGTGACGTTCAAATTACATACTGGATAGTACCTAGACTCGGAAATACGGACAGCAAGTCCGCACGCTCCATACGGCGGGTAAATCCGACAAGCGCAAAAAAAAGCTCGGTCGGTACCTGTAGCTGCATGACCTCATTGGCTGAATCTCTATGGAAGCCGTTCCCAACCCCGGTTCCTCCTTTTTTCCGTGCGTCTCCGCATCGTGCACGCCCAGTCTTGCGCATTGCCTGAAGCTCCAAGAGAACAACCTTACCCGTCGCCTGTCCTTGTTTCTCTTCCTCGTTGCCAGCTTCGCACCGCGTGCATTATTTCTCAACTGAGATTTCTGCTTCCGGCCGTTGCCTGTTCTAGGACACTCAGTCCCTTCAGGGCAATCGTGCAATGCACCGTAATGAGACCCTAGGAGATCCTGCAGTGTTCAATTGAGTGCTGAGGCTGAAACAGTCCCGTGCTGTGCGCGTGAACGATTGATTTCATTGGCCCCAAGACGGATCCGATCTGTTGCGCAAGTCTCGTCACAGCCACACTTTTTGAGCAGTCTAGATCGCGGGTCCAGATCATGGAAGTGTCACGGTGAATCACGTCATGAGAAACCATCACGCAATATCGGTGACGAGAGAACGTCCTGGCTCACCGTTGGGTCAGATACGACCGATTGCTTCCTGACATTTCATTTGTTCGGCCCAACATATCTACCGTGCGCAAGGGCTCGGCGTTGGCCGAAAGTGCGAAGCGGGGGACTGAGCATTTACAAAGTCCGAGTTCCGGAGATCTGCCGCAGCTGAGAAGGACCCCTCGCTACTTGGCTGTCCTACGAGTCATTGATATTAATAGCTCCGACGCACTCTTACAAAGAAGAAGAAAGTCAGAAATACCAAGGCGGGAATGGGGCAAAAAGGCGATCGGACGCACATGTGTTCCGATGATTGACCTTGATTGACCTGAATAAAGGAAGGTAAAGACACAGCGGTCGTGGCAGATGACAAGTACGCTCAATTTGGGTTGTTGCAGAGAGACATCGAGTAATTAGGGATTGATCATGCGAGAAATTGTATGTACGAGATAAAGAGCGCTTCGAACACCAAGTGGGTAAATGAACACTAATGGCCGACGCAGAGCATAAGTTTTGCGCTCCCAAGGATGTACGAGAACTGAAAGGACAAGGAGGAGTGCCTCCGGCCATTTCTTATGCCACGGTTGAAACGACGCCACTGATGAGCCCTGCAAACTCTCTCTAAATAACGTACTGAAATCATCCTCCAAAGTATAATACTCATTTCATCAACTTGAGGACCCTACCGCTTCAAATCAATCTTATTCTCAAGACCAAACCCTGACTCAAATTCCAAGTAAATTGGGGGTCAATCCGCCCGCTTATTCTTGTGCTTCAATGCTCCGCGATTCCTGGAATGAGATCCGCTCCTCGACACCGTGGGAAGAACATACGGCCGGTTCCCCCGCGCACGCTCCCCGTAGCCCGGATCAGCGGCATCTCCCAAGGGCCGGCGGCACGCGATTTTACGCTCCCAACAGAAGTAACACGCCGGAGCCTGTTTGTGCGCAGTCAAGCATTCGGTGCGCTGTGTCTCTGGTTGAGACCGCATGTATGCACCCGATGCAGTGAGATGATGTCAGTGGTGCGAGATAAGCGGCAGCGGCAACGGAGGATGGGACATGAGAGCAGCGGTGCTCGGGGACAAGTATGCGCCGTTCATCGACTGTGAGATGCAGAGTGTCACGGGAAAATTAGGAGCACTGTGGAATTCCAGTCCCATAATATTTTCTGCCGTTTGGGAGACCGTAGACTCCTCCGGATATTTTCCCGCAGCCGGGTATTCCACACGGCTATATCTTCCTCGAGAGGAGCCATCCATAGACGAGAACGACCGCTCCACCTGAGCCAGAGGCACGCTGCCTCCGGGATGATACGGCTGTTGGCTCGCAGACTCGGCAGAATTCGGGAAAAATGTAACGGGCTGGAGCCCAGCGGCTCATTTCCGGTTGTCTCCCCCAGCAAAAACAATCTTCCGGTGGTTTCTGAGTCAGTAGAACGATGGGAGCATGCTGCTGCGTCGGAGTGAACCGTGTCCGGGCAGCAGTGGGGAATGCGTCAGCTCGTCACAGAGCCAATGATTCGATTGTGGCGGGGCACCTCCACTGACGGCGGTGATGCTGATGTCTCAGGGCAGTGTCTGGTAATCAAGAAATTTGGTGAAGCATGCGGTGAGTATGCCATGGAAAATGCCGGGGCTTCGTAGTTGGTCCAGGCCTTCATGATATTAAGCAGTTTCAAGGTCGAAGAGAGTCAAGTTGCATGTTGGCGCTCACTCACGCATCCTTCTTGCAGAACATCCTCGCGCGACGAGTCATTGGGTGAAAATTCATCTTCGCCGGTTGACGGCTGATATGCCTGGATGGTGCCGCCTCCAGCCCATACAGATGGGTGGCACATGCGCTGGCCATAGCTGACCTGGTGTAAGCCCGGTTTTCCCGGGTGGTCGATCAGTTGCAGCGGTATTGGAAGGAACATCGAACGTTGATTTATGGTGCGGACGTGATGTGTTGTCAGATGAATAGATCTAGCCAAGTTTGTAGCTTCAGGGATTGAACAGGGGTTTTCGCTTGCACAAAATCGTAGATTAAATCGCTAATGACTCATTCAATTCGACTCTACTGATTGAACGTCAAGGACCTTCTGAGCTGGTCCTTGCATGTATCTTGAAAGCACCATGCGTACGAGTCGACGGAACAACGCACATAATTTAACATAGGGCGTGAATATCCCGAAGAGAACACTGCCGGAGACTCGCATACCGACATCACGCCTGATCACTGGCCGGCAATAAGCGGGGTCTTCGGTGACCAACGACGGTCCGGATGCACCTAGACTCCGTTGTAGCAACATAGAAACATCGAAAAAGAATGCGCATGCCCGGATTACGGAGACGATGCGAATGGGAGTTGGACTTGTGTGCGAACATCAAGAACTCGTTCACCAGCACAGACGCAAGGCTTCGAAGACCCGGATGTGAGTATAGAATTTGGAATGATGGGTCCGAGTGAGTAAGAAATTCCGATGCGGCTCACGAGTCAAAAAAATAAAACTTAGACATCCAGTGTTGCAGCAATGAAGCAGCTTCGAACCAGCGCTATCACAGGCAGCGCACAAAAAAAAGATGACGTGGTGGCTGTGTTCAATCATTGTGAAATCGATCAGCCCTGTCACGTCACTCTGTGGGGCTCACATATCCTTCAATCGTCCTCTGCCTACTTCATCGATGAATCGGTAAGTCATCGCAATCGAAAAGGCTTTACGCTCACAGTACTCCTTGGGCACAGCGGACCGATCATCTTGGTGAGTGCTCTTGACACGCGTCAGTAGACTGACAGCGATCGTCCACTGACGAGTCACCAGACGATCGACGAGGCTGAGGCGTGTAATCATATCCCCGGTGCTTGCATGAGGCTGATCTCTGGGCGTGTGTATAGTACCTCCTAGACCAGCTTGTGCGTTTGGTTCTTCGCTTGCTTTTGCGTTCGACCTCGTGCTGACCGCGGCCCGCGGCCCGGCTAGCCCCCACCTAGCGCAGACGACGAGGAGATGATCAAGAAGCTTCGCCAGCGCCTCAAAAACCTCTTGACGGATCTCAGGGCTGGGGCGGAGGGTATTGCGCGGGAGTAATGGCTGGCTGCGACTGTCGGTGATTGGTGAGCAGGGCAGCGCTTCTTTGCTCACTTGTCGAGTTGGTCGAGCGCGCAGCGGGGTTCCGAACTCGCGATTTTTCCGTGGGTTAGTCAACAGCTTCCGCTCAGTTCTGGCACCACCTCGCGCTTTTCGACGCGCCTCCGTTTTTGCGAATGCGATTCTGCGATTTGATGCTGTCGTGCTGCGAGTACTCTACAAGTCGAATCCCATGTCATCGATGAGCCATCTAGATCCTTGGGCGAACGTCTGCAACACCGCGTTCAAATCCCTGGCCCATCTGTCACTGGGAGGAGGCGCGCGTGTCTCTAGCTGTGAAAAAAAAAACCATCGGGGCTTCAAACTTGGACGTCGGGGGCTGCCTGCACCCTGCCACGGTCGGCGAGCCATCTCGGGGAATGCCATATGACTACTCACTCCCCGCTATTCGTCTCATCTGAAGTTGGTTACCCCACGTAGGACGAGACGTCCCCCGGTCACTTGATGGATCGGCGCTTCCTTCGTTTGATATCTGCCTGTCTCATGCTTCAGCCTTCACACCCCTATTTTTGTGTAGTGTACAGTTCAGCCAGGGTCGCGAGTCGGCGAGATCCCCTCGATTGCTGTGCTAAGACACTACAGCTTTTCCTTAGTACCTAGTGGTGGGTCAGCTGATCGACTAAATATCCATCGTCTTGGGCTGTCCATGCGCGTCAGCGCAGCTTGAAACGCAATTTACTACGAGATTATGTGTAGTATGACTCGTCACACCCATATCGATATCACTCGCAGAATTGGCGCATTTGGCGTGTTTTGCCGGGCGTGGGTACTCTCCGTGCGTGTGCTAATCCTAAAAAACTGGTAGCCATGCTGGAAGCCTCAAGAGTCAAGCCAGATAACAAGCGGGTACTCCACTTACGTCACGCCTCGATCACTCGGCCCAACAGGGAAATCCCGTCGGACTTTGCGCATTCAGCGGGGAAATGGACAAGTGGAATGCACGACGGGCGTTGCAAACTTCTCGGGTGATGCCAGAGTTCGAAGGTGGGCCGGTCACCTGATGCCACGCTCGGGGAACTGGCACTGGAATTCAATTATTGGGCCAGTCAGAATCGAATGAGCTTGACATGAGCGTAGGAGAACATAATGTTGCTAAGGGAATGGTCGGCAAGATAATATGAGACGCTGCTCAATCTGAATCGTACCGACTGTAAGAGCGAGCAGTCACGCTATCCAAAGAGAACATCTGAGAACCACGGGAAGTCCCGAGCCACCTCGTCGGATTATCTTTACTGGATTGTCTTTCCGTGAGCAGCAGAAGCAGCAGTCCATCGCTTCTCCGTACGCATGATCCTCGTCGATGTCGAAGGAGTTCTCCGGCTCATGATCGCGCACACTCGAAGCTAACAGGGTGAATTGGGGGGCGCAAGAATGAAATGAAGCCGTGACCCGAACGTCGTATTTTTGCCGCAATAGAAGTTTTTTCACGAGCAAGATACAGGTCTCGAGCGTTTGCGGGCGAACCTCAGTAGAACCAGAAGGAAGAGATCCCATCATCGGCGGGGAACGCTCCGGACTCTCCCGGCCCGCAGTAATTGCGCAGCGGTCCCCAGGACCGGGGCGTGCACACGCACTGAGCAGGTCCTGCTACTGGGACGTGATCGTGGATTGTTCTCTCAGATCCAGAACCAGGGTAAGGACAATATTCTTACCCACATATGTTAATGCATTCCGATTCACACCGGCATGTCGATCCATGGCACGAGTTGTCCCGAAAAGGTCTGATTGCAGTCTAATTCCTATTTCCTGGGACGTTGACACGGAGGCTGAGTTGGGTTAACCTGCGGCGGTAGTCCCTCGCAAATCAGGGCTAGGGACAGCGTGTCCTGTTGGGTTGAAGCCTCTAGTTTCGTCTAGGGCTGCGCGCAGCACCACTTGGCAGCCGTCCCTGGGCAACCTTGAATCGTCGCTACGGGCTCGTGACAAGCATCCGGAATACTTCTCTGCGACTGACCTACCGTGGGTTCTGTGCCAGGGCTCGGGTGGGAACCTTCTCAAGCGATTGTACATAACGAGATAATGAAAGATTGATATCGGGTACGCGATGGAATCTCCGCGAGACCCAGCACGAGAGTCGGATGATGCCAACGACATTGCATTGGGTGCGCCGTAATCTCGTCTCAGCAGAGTGATATAAAGTGCGCACTCCTCGATCCTGTCAAGCCGCATTTTGCATCGCATTCGCTCAATCACCTCCCGCCGATCTCCCTCAAAAGCTTATACTTGGCATGAATTGGTACCAGCAGCACACCAGCCGCGACCGCACTCCTGGGTCCGCATCCTCCTCGTCCTCCGAGCCCACTTCGCCATCGCTGGGTCTGCCCTCCGCCTATCTCGACCCATGGCCCGCTTCGCCGTCTACGCCCGCCTCGAACCAGGATGTGCTGTCGTCCGTCTTGAAGGTCCGCAAAGCCTGGAAAACCCTGCGTTCGGGGGAAACCGTTTGGCCGCTGGAATTGGAAGCAGCGTTGATCGAAGGTCCGTGTCGCGCGCGCATATTGTCTCATTTGGCTGTGCGGGGCTGAACTTCGGATCCTCAGGGCTCGAGCGCTACCAGCCCGAGGACTGCAGAGAAACCCGCATGCTCGGACGCTTCCCCCGCCGGAATCGCTTTATCTCCGAGTACATATTCGGGAAAACGGGCAAGTGGCGGTCCGCTAAGCAGGTCGGCAGTCGGCTCCAGCAGTTACGGGAGTCGTGTGGGGGGGATCAGGAACATCGTGAGGGATAAATGAACAACTGTGTCACCGCTGCTGACATTTTCACCCGAAGTGTTACATCTCTTGTTCCCGTTTCGGGACTCTGATGGCGGGGCAGGGGAAATGCCGGCCCCGACCTCCTCGAACAGCCACATTCCGAGCGAGACGATCTGCATCGACCTGGTCCCGCCTGGGTCCGTCTACGGACAGCAGCGGACGGCATCAGCGTGGGCGGATAGCCCCGACGTCATTCGCGTCTCTGATATGCCGCGCCGCATCACATCCATCAATCCTCTCGTGTCGTTCTCCTCCCCCACTCCGATCGCCGCGCATTCCCGCTTTACGGTCTACGCTGAGGACGCGATCGTGCATGCTGAGACGGTCCCGCTCGAGTTCCTCCCCGTGCACGACCCGCGCACGTCCGCCGAGGACGAGCCGCTGTTTGTCTACACGGCCCGGCTGATTCCCAAGTACTGGTCGTCCATCGCGCAGAGCACAGGTGCGCTTCGTCTATTATGTTACTGCGTCTGTGGAGTGTTTCTGATCTATTTTGGAAGATCCGACGCGATTTGTGATATCGCAGGAGGTGTACAAGGAAGGGAACAGCGCGGCAGTGATTTACGCGGCGACGTACAACTTCGCCTACGCACAGCCCCCGACGACATCCGCTTCTGTGTCCTCCGAGATGTCCGCACCACAACTTGGGTACGGGGGCCATGCGCACACCGGAGTCGGCTCCATGCCGGACATTCTGGGCAGAAAACCACACCATCACAATCAAAATCAAGGCCAGCGGCGAGCATCGACGTACAGCAACAGCGATAACACATGGGCTGCCACCCCCCACGCACATTCTTACGGACATCTTCAAATCTAAGTCCATTCTTCTGCGCTGGGATCGTGCGAGTCGTGTCGCGGCGGAGAGTTGTCACATACCCCGGAACATGTGTGTACTTACCTATCTGTATAGAACTGTTAATTAGTCATCTGTAATTCGTTTCGCATTTTGCGTTCTGTGCTTTCTTTTCGGATCTCTTCCTCCGCTGGGAATGTCACGGACTCGATTCCAACTGGGTCTGGAGATTTCCTGGATGCGCACCAATCGGAAAAGGAGGCGTGTGAGAACGCCTCGTTCCATTGTTTTCCCTACCAAGAATCTCTGTCTCTGCCATCTCGATCGATGACTTGTACTTTTGCAAGCAATGCTGCAAAAATCCATAGAAAGACGTGATTTGTTTGCGTGTGCTTGCCTCCCTTCGGCGCGTCTATCATCCCACGTGACCCTACTGTCTCTCTCTGCTTTCATCTCGTTCTTTGCTCCCTAGCGACTCTCTGGACTTTCAGAACCTGTAAAACGCCCACGGTTGAACTAGCTTGGTTCAAATCAAGTGGCAAACCCTGGGCGTGGGGTCTGGAGGAATCCAGACGGTCTAGACTCTGCTGTGGCTGTGCCCTGCTACACTACGGGGCCCGGATAGTGTCTGTGCTCTGCTCCACGAGGGCTGTCTAGTCCCTGCTCATCTGCCTGGTCCCTGTCCATGGACAACGACAGATGAGCTTGGGACCAATTCGGACGCAGCTCTCGCCTTTCCTGGCCTCTAGACCTAGTTGACAAGATAGCCTATGCGAGCCTATCTAGTCTAATTTTAATCCAAGCTCGAGTGGTGGTCACTAACTGCAATTTCTTGACCTTCCTTTCTCCATCCGCTCTCCTCTGCTGCTTCGTCTCACCTCAATCCTCCGTCCTGTAGATCACCTCCAATCACGTCACGATTCCCCTCTCCTGCACCCTCCGTCATCTGGCGGTCCCCCATCTGGCGGTCCTCTATTTGCACTGGGTACACAACCCCATCTAGCTCTGGAAACGGCTAGCCCACTTGCCATAACTCGGATTGCGCGTGTCCGGCGATCCGGGGTGTCGACTCCGTGCTCTTGGATGGCGAATGGAAGCCTCCTGCAGGAGCGCGGCGGCCGCTTGGGCCGGTACCGGTGCCCAGCGGCTGGATCATAGGTGGCAGGTTGGCTGTACGTGGTGGCGATAAGAAGCGGCGCCGGGGTGGGCGTGAGTGGTGGTGGTGGCTTGTGCCAAGCTGGTGGTGCTCCCCGATGGAGTGGAGGGAGTCGGACGGAGGAACTCCAGCGGAGGTGGTGGAGACGTATCGCCGGGTGACCAAGACATGGAGCCTTCGTCTCGATGTTCTCCATTAGGCACAGCACTTGGCCTTGGGCGAGGCGCATTCGGCGGAGAGGATGTAGTACCCCGTTCCATGACTAGCAAGGCGAGCCGTCGATTGTTCGAGTCTGAGGCCCTCGTATGCTGTACCAGCCGCTTTCTTCTTCGCCGATGCCTGCATGAGCCTGAAAATGATCCAAGCTGACTCTCGCAGATCCAGTATACAATTATCCACGCCGATCATGTTTCTGTATTCTCTCGCGAAGCACAGTGGCTGTGCCGAGATTTTCGCTCTCTTATCTTTGCTGAGCTCGGTCCCGTTCCTTGTCTTACGTCGTTTCGCCCGCTTCTTGGAAATTGTTCTGGAGAGGTGGTCGATGAGTGCAGCCGCTCACGAGCGCCAATACGAGACATTGCACATGTTAGCGTCCATCTACGAGCTTGTCCTGACTCCCACCATGGCACGGCGTCGAGTGAGAACAGGAAGCGACTCTGGCTCGATGCCAGAGTCTATGAAAAGCACATACCGGAGGCCATAGGCACAGCGGTGCTTCGCAACAGATCGGCGGACTGAAATCCTAGACAAAGGAGATAGGCTGGGATTCAAGAACAGACATGAGCAATCCCTAAGCGATGAACATCCCCGAAGCAGCAAGCAGCCCAAGCAACGCCATGCCCCAGCTCGCTCCCATGCCACGTCCTCCAACATGCAGTCGCGCAGCAGCTCCCGTTTTTGCCGTATTGGTCGGTGCCGCACCGACGGCACTCGTCGTGCTCGCAGTGCTGGCGCTACTGTCCGACAGCGTGACGGCGGGGACGAGTGCGCCCGCAAGCACCGTCACCGTCGATTCGACACCCGTTTCCCAGACCACGCCCTGGCACACGACGGGCGCCCCGGATGCCGCCGTCGCCCAGCTGCAGCTGTTCTCCGCGGAGAAGCCCGGCCCGAGGTTGTCGGGCTCGACGATCCCGGTGGGTCCCTCGATGAAGATACCTGCGGGTTCGGTCAGACTTGCCACACGCAGGGCAGCGCGCCGCGTTGCAGGACGCTCCGTGCGATAAGATGATAAGATGAAACACGCACGCGTCTTGGTGCCCAGCCCGAAGACTGTGCCGTCGACGGTCACGGACGTCGGCGTCGGTGGGCCGTCGACTTCAACGTACGTCGTCCCCTGCACTGCGGATGCGTCCGTGACCACGCCCCCGACGGAGAGTGAGAGAATGGTGAAGGCGGCATCACTGACTTCGGTAACGGCCGGGATGCCGGAGAACGAGACGTCGTAGAGGGTGACTGGGTTGCCGGACACGGACGCGGAAAGGGACAGCACAAGGAGGGTGGGGAGGAGGAGGCCCCGGACGCATGCGGGTGGCATGATGGGCATCATCATGGGCGGTGGTGAGATGTCGATCGCTGGGTTTTATAGCTGGATGGACAGATGTTGACTTGGGATGGCAGCCCGCCCTCCATCACGAAGCTGTTCAGCATGATAATTGCGATTGGGCTTTGGGGGAGGATGCATGGGCAACTTGCCTCAGCTGCGATGCTTCCCTTGACAGTCATCATCGACTTCCCATTCATCCGTTCCGCACTGAGCTGATCCGCGTCGCATTCCTCGATATTTAGAGTCCTCTGTTTGAGCAAAGACGGGCCTGAGTATGGCCCGCTCTGTCTTCCCTCTATCGAAAGCCGCAAGTGAAAATCGATGCGTGACAATGTGACAACGTGACTTTGATCTCGACCTCGCACACATGCTGCATTCATTGTGTTCACGATTTGTAGGGCACACCGAGAGGCCTCCCCACCTTAAGGATCACGACCCGCGATTTCCCCATTGCTCTAGAATCCTCGGGCGAACAGCGAGAACAATCAGCGGCACTTCTTGCCATCCAGCACGTGCTCCCCAGGTGCTGCTGCAAGAGATGCCCGCCACTACCTCCGATAAAGCATTGATTCGGCTGTTCCAATCGCACTCTGATCATATGCAGTTCAATGTGCTGCCGCGGAAGCCAATCTTGCGCACCTACGCTGGCCCAGGGTCGTTGGCGATGGCGAATTCATACTTGTGAATCGGTCTTCACCCGATGCATCGCACCTGCGTAGCAGATGAGCGGAAATTTGAGCATCAATCCGCGCAGCTATATTTGCCGTCTCAGAACAACCCAAGACAGGCAGACTCGCACAAGGCGCTCTCCCTCGCCGGCGCTCCGGGGTCGGGTCTTGAGTCGGGTCTTGGAGTCTTTGGAACAGTGGGTGACTGTCCGTGGCACATTCTACGGATCGGATGTCAAAGATGTCGCTTTCGGAACGGATTGATATGGTCACTCTTTGCGAAACTGCTGGTTACACGTTCTGCGGGTCTCGTCCACCCTCTCAACCTGACTGTCTCCGAACAAAATGCCGTGAATCTCGTGCCCGTTGCCGTCTCGTCGAGCGCATTTTTCGGCACACGCTTAATTTGCGTAAGCACTGGGCATATAGAGACTGCTGGGACTGGAGCAACTGTGTCCGTGTATCGGACGGGCCACTCCACCTCATCGCTTACGTGCAACAAGACACTCATCCTCCCTACTCAGCTCCTCATGCGAGGCGCTCGACATTTCAAGATTCCGACTCAGTGCTGTCAGCTTTGTGATATGAAACTTCACTGCGCTGCCAGCAGTTCCTGTCATCACACGAAGCGCGGCCATTATCAAAGGTTTACTTAGTCGGTCTCGGTCGCCGCGGTCGGTCGATCGTCGCCGTTGATATCGACTCCCGCTATCGCCACTACATGGCTGCCGATTGCGCAGGACTTGAATTCCGGGACGGTGAAGTGCCTCTCTTGTTTCAAGACTCCTCTATGCATCCATGCACTAACCATGTACATAATCATCAAGTAGTTGCGATCATTTTGGGCGTCGAAGATTTCACCGGACATTGGCCCAACACGGTCGAATGCTCAAAAGCATCAACGGGTAGTAAGCAACTTAGTCCGGGGCTGCTGCTTGACAACGACACAATCTATCGTCAGTTTCTCCCAGGGATGAAATCCTCTCGGAAACCCATGTTCTGTCGGCATCTGTTTCGTGGGAATATACGGTCCTTTGTAAATATTGAATCGCCTATCTTATCGCCTCGGAATTCGCCAATGTCCTGCAAATCCCTGAATTTCTAGTCTTATTATGCGCACCACCAAGCCGATGCGCGTGGTCTGTACTGTGCTCGGGAGCCCGCCCTTATAGACATGTTCTGCCATTCAGACTCAAAGCTTACTTAGCTTGAAACTCTAATAGTCACATTCATTCTCGGTCTAATGCAAAGACCAGCGCGGTCTAGCTGCATCAAAGACCCTTGCCTGGCCTGTTCTCAATCTCACCCCGCATTGTAAAGCATAGGCCGAAACAGCTCCGATATCGCCGAGATGAAAATCTGGACGTTCGCCATCAATATTCCCACGACAGCCACGTGAACGGACTTCGCGAACGGAGCGCTTTCAATTGCTTTGACACACCGACTTCCTTCCATGTAAGAGCCTTGACTGCTTAGCCTTTCTCGTGCGGTCCCTGACCCACCGGCTGGTCTCCATGCCCAAACTGCTCGCCCCATTGGACCACAGCCGAGGAGCCAAATCCAATCACTTCGCGAAGTCGCGTCGCAGATGACCTGGGGGTGATGAGGGAATGAATGATGGCGAAGAACAAGTCCGCATGGCGGAAGGTCTATAAAACGGACTTTCCACACACCCTCTCTTCACGACTCGCACTTCTCTCTCTCTCTCTCTCTACACCGCCCCCATGTCGTCGCACGGCCCCGTCCCTTCGTCCTCCTCGAAAGTGTGGATCGACCCCGCGCTACTGCCAAGCGACCTCGAGACGGATATCGCGTCCGTCGCCGGCAACGCACCCGACGGCGTGAAGCAGCTCGTCGTCAACACGTTCTATGCGTACGGCGTCGGCACGTCCCCGGACACGTTCGGGTACCGCGTCGGCCGGGCGACGCGGTGGGTCGACATGAGCGTGTCTGCGGCCGAGCGCCAAGCGAGTGTGAAGAAGGGAAAGCAGCGGATGGAGGCTGTAACCGTAGCTGAGGTCACCGTGAGTAAAGGTGCGCTTGTGTCGCGTTGTTAGTTTTGCCCGCCGGACAAAGATCTTACACTAGGTTGCAGATATGCTGAATGGTGCTGGAATGCTGCACGGCGGCTGCCTCACCTACCTCATCGACAAGTCAGTTCATTGCATGTCCCACCGTCGATTGGGCGCCATCTGACATGCTCCTTGCAGCTGTGCATCGACGCCTCTCATCGTTCTCGGTCTTTTGTCGGGGATGAACGGCGTCGGCGTCACGCAGTCCATGAATGTCCTGTTCCATGCTCCAGCCCCACTGTGCGCATCTATCTATAGCCTCTGGCTCCTCTTTCTCACGTCCTGTAGCGGCACGCGGCTCAGAATCACTTCGTCGACAATTGCACTCGGAGGCCGGGTTATGACTGCACGGTGTGAGGTGAGAACAACCCCACAACTTCCCCATCCACCCCATCCCCATTCTTGCGTCCGGGTTGGATCGACAGACGGGGGCGGATTGTTCACGCTTCGTCCTTTTCTGATCATTCATCTCTCGTCGGGCTAGAGCGCTTGGGCTGGCGGATCCAGATGCGATCATCAGCCGTCCAGATCACCACTCTAGTCACTAGCTTTGTCCGCCCGTCCGTTTCGTTCTGCACACCTAACTCAATGTTGTTTCCCAATGGCTTGCTGACTCGAGCCCCTCGCAGATTACGGATGACCGGAGCGGTCGCGTGGTAGCATCCGCCTTCCTGAACAAGATGCAGCCGCAGACGACTCAATCGAAACTATAAAAGCTTGTGTCGACTCTGCGTGCGTAAAGCGCCTGTAGTTGCTATGTATGCCTGGCGGCGGATTCCGGATTCCATGGATATAGAAGGATTTAAGGTTATTTAGCGGATTGGAAACGTATGCATTTTTCTGCGTTGGATTTAGCACTTCAGAGCACCGCGCTTCGAGTCTACTTCCCGAGAGCCCTTACGAGATGACTTCGTGGGAAAGTGATGATTCCGAGAATTCTATGCCGGATCGACGGTTCCCACGATCCGGTCCTTCGACAAACCCGGGTTTCCGCAGGATGCACACGAAGTGCAAGTCCGACATCGGCAGGGTTTTCCCCCGTGGCCATTCTCACTGGAACGCAAAGCCATCATATCCGGCAGATACTGATGATGGCCAATCTGCGTGCGTAAGCCTGTAATGTCAACGCCGATCTCTTCCTATTATGGACACTCCTTGTTCGACATTCTGTTTCAAACTGAATGAATAGGCAATGAATGTCAGGACGCTTCGAGTTTCATGTATCCTAGGGTCCAGATCGATGATGCGAGGATGTTTGAGAGGGTTCGCCATCGCCATCGCCATCACCATGGCACTGGGGAGCTACCACCTCAATCCTCCATTGCTTTGGGTAGAATTTACCCAAAGCGAATCAATTCTGAGGTTCAGGTAGTCCCTTTCGTGCATTCCTCGCATCGCAATTTACAATGAAACCCGCCTCAGACTTTGCGATCAGTGATGCCTCGCTTCGAAAAGGAACTAGCAAGGCTGTCCCCCATGTCTGCACAGAAACGAGACGAGGTGGAAGCCTTCTGGGGGGCTCGACCGCCCCCGCCTCGTTTCGCTCCACAGCAATCAGAAAGCTATGCGTAATGAGTCAAGAGCAAGCTCAAGCAGAAATGCAGGGCCTGAACGGGAACGCTGAGAACCGGTTTGTATGGAGGTCGAAAACTACATGCTGATAACCGAGTCTATATATCAATGATACGCCTCGGCAAGTGATATAAGATCAAATGTTGAGTGATTGCGACCCCCGGGACCACCTTCTGACTAGAGCATAAGTTCAAACAATGTATGTAGTAGACTAGAGCATAAGTAAAAACAACGTTTTTAATTACCAATCCCCGTCTGCTACTAAATCATCTTCCTCGTCCGAAAACCATGCATACAAGCTCTCAGGCTCCTCTTCGACAGGGCCGAGATCTGGCTCAATTTCATTGAGCATTTCACCGAGTCTTGCATAATGTTGGGGATCTGAGAATAAACATTGTCAGAGACGGATGCAAAAGCTTCGGAGGAAGAGCACTTGCCTAATCCAGCACCCTGATTGACGCCGCCCATGTATGCGCCAGGCCCAACAACGTCTTCACCTCCTCGCAGCTCCTTCAGGTTCGGGAGGACCTCAATCTCGTCTGGATACTCGTTGGACGCCATTTCTAATGCCCGGGTCCAGTGTGCGCTCTGATGCATCACGTGAAGCTCATTGAGCTTGTTGAATTTGGACAGTAGTCGTCGATACACCTCCCAACAGCTCTTCCGATTAACCGGAGGCTCTCCAATGTCCCGATATATCTGGGAGATGAGAACCTCGAAATCCAATGGAACGAGCTGGAAAATCTCGTGGTCGGGAGGCGCATACATGTCACGAACCTTCTGAATCCCGACAGGATCAGCTTTGATCTGAATTGAACAATTTAATGAAAAATACAATCCTTTCAGTGAGACCATCCACATACCTTGAAGTCGAGAATTGCGTAGTCTTCGGGAAATTCGAACATGTGGCTGGGGACACCATTCGGAAGAATTTTGTTGCGGTCATGTCGTTTGGCAGTATTATTGACGCGATTTCGGTAGTTGTCTAGTTCTGCCTGTAGCCACGGAATAAAAACCCAGCGGAACACGAGACTTGAGTGAAAGTTTTCAGCATCAATCAAAGGAAGATAATCGGAGATACTCACGCTTCAAGAAGAACACCAGGATCATACCATCCTTGATTCACACCAAAATCGAGGATATCCTCAAAGCCTGGTGTGAATCGGCGACGCATCTGGCTCCAAGTAATCTCTGGCTTGACATTCTTCTTCTCGCGCATCCAGCGATGTTGTATGTTCCAACCAGAGAGGGATCTTGATAGTGTCAAAGCTGAGTGTGTCCGTTAGCAAGCCCAACGTTCTCTGAGCCTGGATCACTCTGAGACACAAGTGGCATAACTTAACATGCCAAATAATGAGTACAGGTGCGATAAAAAAATAAATTGGGAATCACATACCTCCAAGATTCTCGATCACATCAAGATAGTAACTAAGAATAAGTTGAGGATTGTTATTGTTCCACCAGATCCTCATCCAATGAATGAGACCAAGGAAAGGATCGATGCCGGTGTGAAGTGCAAGACCGAACTTGTACTTCCACTTGTCATGTTGGTCTACAGCCCAGATATCATTAGCACCAGCAGCCCAGAAGCGCTTGCGTTTGAAATGGCGCTGTCGGCGTTCTCGGACTAAATCTGGCTCATAGACATGAAAATAGTGCATCACTGTCTCACTACATGATGATCCATCAGGTCTGGGAGAGCACCAAGAAATTTTTGACGCACCGTGCAACCCGGATGTTCTCCTCATGAAAGAGGAGGCTGACCATCTCTCGACCTCCAGCCTTTGGATAAGTGATGCGAAGTTTGGAAATCTGTCAGGGGACGCCGCGCTCCTTGGGCACGTGACCATGCACGCGACCCACTGCACCCTCTCTGCCGACCCGTGCCTGCTCACCTGTCGATCACCCAGCCTCCTCCTCCTCCTCCGATCCTCATCTCCATCCATGCCGACATCCGCCCTCTCCCTTCTTCCCCCGGCCATCTCCCTCGAATCCCCGCAAGCGGTCTAGCCAAGCCCGATTCCTTGCACCAGGGAGTGCTACTGCCGTATGCACTCCTCCCCCTTCACTTCGGCCTTCTCCCCGCGGATGTGGTCTACTGCCGTACAGGCTCGTACCAGATGCCCTTGCGCTCATCCGCACCACCCCTCTTCCCAGTTGGGCATTGGTCCTCGCCTCCAATGTCTCCACTGGCCGGCCCGGCACTGGCCTGGCCGCTGGGCTCCTCCAGTGTGGCCTTCCACTGTTGGTGTCTCAGGAGCTGGCCATCACTGGCCCCTCTGAGCCACTCACTATCTTATCTGGGTTTGTCATTATCTACTTGTCATCTGCCATTGTTCCATGGCAGTGATATCCCATCATCATCAGTCACTTGTCACAGCTGACTATATAGTGTGACACCTGGGCACATGGATCCTTGAACCGTTCTCTAAGGATCCCCCTCTGTGCTCAGGTGAGTAGTATACCTCCCTTGTATTTGATAGTCTCTAAGGATCCCCCTCTGTGCTCAGACTCATGTGAGGTTGTTGTGTGCTGTGTGCTCTCTTCCTTCGGGCTGGCAGGAGTTGCCCTTACAGCAGAACGGTTCCACCCCATTGGACTCCACCCAGCTGAGCGTCAGGACAGTGGCAGTCTATGGCGCCCTGTTGCTGCGCACTGGTGTGGCCTCCAAGCCGGCTGGCGGCTAGTGGTTTTGTAATTGGTGTGTCCCTGTCGAGTCCCTGGTAGTGTTAACTGGTCCACTCCATACATCGCATACGCATCACCCACGAACCCCCGGTCATCCCTCCCCTCCTCTTCCTCCCCCCTCATCTCCCTGGCCTACTGCCGTTGAGGCTCGTGCCATCCGACTCCGACCTCCTCCCCCTTCGTTCCCCTCCTGGATTTGGGACTTGGCCTCCCTCTCTCTCCCCCCTCCTGGCTGGATGTTGGTTCTGTGGCTTGGTGGATTTGGATGGCTGAGCTGGGTTGGATGAGTTGGTGGTGGGATGACTGTCATATGTGCTCTGGTCTCTGGTTGGGTCCTTGTGCCCTAGATATGTGATTCTGCTCCTCTCCTATGCTGCTGAACACATTCTACCCAACCTGCTCTACTCCCCCTCCCCCATGGGCACCTCTGTGAAGCTGGACCCCCTGGTCTTGTGTTCCCTGCCTTCCCACCTGCCTCTACCCCTCTCCACCTCCTAGCTGGCTGCAGCCCTGCTCTGCCCGGCTGCCCTCTGTGTGCCCTCTCTCCATCTCTCCCATGGACTCCCCTCCCCCTGCCCCCTGCCAGCCCCACTCCTCCAGAGCATTTTCGAGTTTTTGGGGCAGTGGCAGTGCTCGAGTTTCCCACGCTGTCAAAAATCCGGCCATCCTCGGGCTTGCTGGCAGTGGCAGTGTCTAGTCACCTGGCTGTTCTCTCAGGTGACCCCCATCACCCCCGCCCTCCGTGGCAGTGCCCCGCTCCTTGCGCAGCCACCGCTCCCCGCCCTCTGCACAGCCACCTGCCTCTCCCCTTTGGCAGAGTTTGGTCCGCTCTCTGCTCATGTGACCTCATGGCTGTGCTCTGGATCCCCACACTGCCACCTGTCTCCAGTGGCAGTGCACTGGCATAGCCACAGTGACAGCCCATTGCCTTTGAGGCAGTCTGCTGTCTTGTGTAGCCACACTGTTAGTGTTCTGCCTCTAGGGCAGTCTGCCACTCTGTGAGCTGCTGCTGTGTGCTGTGTCATGTGCAGGGAGTCATGTGATGTGTGGCTGCGCTATGTCACATGCATATCACGTGACCGTCCTTTCAGTCATGTGACCAACATGTCACGTGATCCGTAGCTGCGCCCCAGGCACCATTCTGCTGCGCTTTTTTGTGGCTGTGATGGGACCCTAGGCTTGGGTTCCTCTGTGATGTGATGGATCTGGCATTGCTTGCCCATGGCTGCCGCTCTCTGCTGGGTCTGGGTCTTTTCTCATCGTGCGCTGGGCCGTCTGGCCTCCTCTCTTCTGCTGCTTCCTCGTGTCCTTGGGTCCGCGCTCCTATGCCGCCAGGCTCTCCCTGCGCATCCAGGCCTACTTCTTGGTTGCTGCCCACGCTCGTCGTGCATTATTGCAGGTGGGCTGCAACCTTGAAGGGGGGATTGTCTATTGTCCCCCGTGACCGTCCATTGGTCACTTGGCACCTGCTTCTCTGCAGGATCGGTTCGGATGGAGCATCCCTTGCTCTATCCCCAGCTGATTGTGATGTTGCACCTGGCGCAGCAGACCCTCTCCCTCCGTCCCATCTCCTCTGCACTCCTCCCTCTGTTCCCATCGTCTCCGCCTTGGTCCATGACCTCTCCCCCCACTGTCTCGCCTCTACGCACGTCTCCACGGGCATATACCCCTGGCTTCGGCCAGCGGAACATCCGCTACGTGCCTCCGCTGTTGTGTGAGGCCTTGCGCTAACCGTGTGATGGCTGGCCCCCTTGGCCGGCTTGTTACGTCTTGAGCGTCAGAGCAGTCGGTCCTTCTGTTGGCTCTGTCCCCCCTACGTGTGTCTCCATGGGCGTATACCCCCGGCTTCGGCCAGCGGAACATCTGCTACGTGCCTCCGCTGTTGTGCGAGGCCTTGCACTAACCATGTGATGGCTGGCTTGCTGTTGTGGCCGGCCTGTTACACCTTGGCTCCGGACATCCACGGCAG